CTCATTACAGGTGAATGATGGATGTTATAATTAATGGTATTTGAAAGCTAGTATTATTTGGCCATCAATTTTTTAATAATTGTAATATTTATAAATAATTATAGATTAGTGATATTCAAAAAATTTATGCTGTCATATCAGTGTGCATGAATATTAAAATTAACATACAAAATTATTTGCCCAAGTTATGTTGAAAGTGAAGAGAAGTTCGGTCATACTGAGCAACTCACTGACATCTTTTTTTGTTACTGTAGGTCAAGAAATTGTATATATTAAAATATTTAATATTATTGTTATTTATTCAGTTTAAATACATATTACAGGTGAAACCGTAAGCCTCAAATACTATGCAGAGGAGTACTCTAACCCGAAGATTTTTTGGAAAAAAGTGAACGCTGAAATATTACCAGCTCCACATGTTGGATCAGCATATAGGTACATACATACCTACAAATAACAATATATTTTATTGGTTTAAACAATTATAAAATAATGAATCCATTCTAAAAGATAAATTTAATTTTACAGAGGACACATTCTACAAATTAGTTAAGTAAACAGGAAGGATAGAGGAAGGTATAGTTTTATAGATGATAATGGAGTTGGCCATGGTATCCGATATAGTGTTACTGTGCAAGTAAAATGTGCACCATCCATAACAATCCATTATCTCTCTAAGTTGCAACTAGATAAAAATTTTTTTAAAAAAATGTGGTACACTTGAAAATTGGAACCTGATTTTTGGTAGAAATTTTGTACACAGTATATATATATATAAAATAAACATCATTATAAAATCAACACATTTCTTGCTGCGCTCAGAATCTAAAAAATCACAATCAAAAATCAATTAATTTTATCTGATCTTTATTTAAATATATTTAATTATTTCATTATCTATCTTTAGACAGTCTATATTTAGACAGTTTTTGAGTTCAGACATCTCGTATATATCTCAATAAAATAAATTATCTGTAAGCAAAACACTGTAAATGTCTTACATGTGTAACTTTAATATGTATACATAAAATTGCATGAAAATAAAATGTCTTGAGATGATATTTTGAATTACCTAAATAGAAATAATTAATTTGATAATACATAATAATGTTCTTAAAATAAAAATAATTATTAATAAATGCTACAAAAATGCTCTAAAAATGGTTAAAGTAGTAGAAAATTTAAAATGCAAATTTCATTTTTAAATTAGATATTTATTATATGAATCAATTTATGTAACTATACTTAGAAAGCTTTGGCTTTAATGCTATAGGAACACGAAAAAAAAAAATTGAAATTGAAATCCAGGTCTTTTATAATAAATTATAAGAAAACACCAGAATATGGAATAGCTGTTTATATTGACAGTTTACTTTATTATGCTGCGACAGTGCAGTGGTCTGTGGCTAAAAATGTAGTGTTCGGCTTTTCATGAAGCACAAATGTCCAGTCTCACAGTTAACATAGATACCAATATCATAGGTGAATCAAGATTAATATAGGTCTGCGATAATCTATACTATGCGCTGCACAAACGGCATGCATGATTTGGCAATTGAGGTTTTAATTTGGTATAGGTACTATGTGTATATCATTGTTTGACCAAATAGAAATGTTTACAAAGTCGACTGGGGGTCTCTAATATGTTGTACTTAGCGCTAAAAAAAAAAAAAAGTAGAATGTAATGTTTTAGATTAGCTAGTAGAAGAAAAGCTGTTATTATGGGATACGATTCATACAGTCTATTTAGAATATTATAGACTAATGATAATTATAAATTTTAATCAACAAATACCAAAATTAATATGAATAAACTATTCACCTAACATCCCATATACATAAATGCTCCTTATTAAATAAAACATTTAGTAAATTTATATATTGCATAATATAATATACCTACTCAATATAATGTTAACATTGTATGTTAAATAGATATGTGTTAGCGTTAATGCACTTTCAATTAATGTATTCGATGAACACAAAAATACATACTATAGCTAGTTATTCTATATACAAAGTAGATATTTTATAAACTAACAGTAACAATTTAATTACTGTTTTACTTCATTTCTTAAAAAAAATTATGATTTTCTATTAGCAAAAACGTAAAGGTATTACGTCTTGTTTTTTTTATAATTGTTTCAAATTTTGTTTTCATTAGAAATCACTCTTATTATACTATATGAAACGAATACAAGATACAACACTGAAAATAATTGAAAGCACCACTAGCAACGCAAGGCCTTGGTACCTACCTACAATAAAGTGCCGGAGCCAATTTTTAAATTTATACGAAAGAGAATTCTGATAATATTTTTGATATATCGTAATATTGACTAACGTTGGTCACCAAAATTAGGTTGGCCATTAATACTAATATATCTTTGATTTAAATGTTGTCCAAAGTTTTAAACGGATTTTTAATTTTTTATCCCCACAAAATTTACTAGACTTGCATATCAAGCATTTTTATTTATTTCCACTATGTACCTACTTAAAAATGTAAAACTTATTTTTATACGACCTATAATGGTTACTATAGAAATATATACAGTTTTTCGTAGGACATTACTTTTTTTTGATGTATTTTCCTAGTGTGCTAAGTACATGAAATTGTACTCTTTTTTTTTTTTTTTTTTGAAAATACTATGGGTTAAATTACTTACACACGGAGCGGTTCAGAAAAACTATTTTTCTTAATAAGACTGTCTTGTGGTTTTCTGGCTATTTTTGTTTCTTGGTAACTATAAACATATTTATGATTTTTTTTTAATTTGATTATTCAATAATATTTTATGGATAGACCTAATGTATATTAATACAATAAAATATTTTGCCACTTTAGTATGAACCACGGATCACGATAAATTGTAATGTTTGCATCAATCCAACATATAATTAGGTAATATTCATAGATAATATAAGAATGGATAGGCCATGAGAACGAATATTTGTATGGTTAAAAGAGGCCTTATCAATAAAGTTGTATACTTGATCAAAAATTATCAATAATTCATAACATTTTTACTTAATGATTAATTATCATATATAATCATTATTTAATATGTATTAATATTTTAACAAAAACATTCAAATTACATTATAATTAATATTTATATACCTACACAATATACTATTAGAAAAAATATACATAAATCATAACTCTGGTTTATGAAAATTTGGTATAGTAATAGTAGGTACCTAAATGAATTTATTCATGTTTGAAATGGATAAGTATCGTTAATTTAGCCCTGGTATGTTTTTCTTTTATATCATCTTTAATCTTTCTAATGTCGTGAAAAATGTTTCGTGTGTTTTACACATGACACGTTCCTTATTAATTGCATGAAATAATTTGTACCTGTCGTTCTACTAACAGCCAACATTATCACTCACTATCACTATTAATTTACCATTCACCAAAAATGCGAGGTAATTATTATCGCACATTTATCTTAAAATATAATATCATTATTATATTATATTAATTATGAATATTTATTATTATTTTGCCATCAATATTTTACAGTCTCTACACTTTCTTTAGTTTTTTTATTGTTCATACTATTTCATGTAAAAAAGGACGATGCCATTGAATTATTACCTAAACAGTATCCACTTTATTCATGTGATTAACTTCTAATAATAATAAAAACACCAAAATTATTTTACTTAATTTTAGTTAACAATATATTAGTATTTTTAATAGTTACGTTCTACTGATTACTGGTTTTAAGAGTAAGTAGTAGGTATTGATTTTAAAATCAGTGGTACAACCTACTTCGTATTGTACTTACTAGTAGTAGTTTGTGATTTTATATCATAAGTACAGTCGTGTGAAGAGTTTAATACAACAAACTTTTTGCATAAAATGCATATCTGTCCCTGAAAAAATGTATATTTTACGATTACATAACATAAGTCGTTATTTACCTTCACAAAGTTCATATTGAATTTAAACTAATATTGAAATTTTATTACAAATTTAAATTATTATTAAAATTAAAACAAGAAAATGATGTAAATAGCTATAATCAGCACGTCCAAAAGTTGAATTTATTCAACTCTGCAGTATCCACGGTAACATCTTGGTAGACATGATCAAAATGTATCTACCAAGATAATATGAGCCAATCAAAAAAAGAGTATTTCACAAGACACGAAACGACATGGCGAATTGAGGACTCTCCTTTTAGCAGGCGCGGTTCTAGGACTAAATTTTCGTATGGGCAACAATAGATTTAAAATTAGGTTTTAACTGCAAATAATATTTCTCATTTCCTCCCCCTTCCCCACAACATTTTTTTAATAAAGTTATAGTATTATTATTATTATAGTGTATAGATTAAAATATTCATATTAATTATAATAGATAGGTAATAAAGGTTTTAAATATAAAAAAAATAGAGTAATCCATAGTTTTGAACTAATTATGTATAATTATGTTTATTGAAATATATTTAGATTTAACTGTCAAAAAAGTTCAGACTGTTCAAACTAATTTTAAAAAAAATAGTAAGCTAAATTTGAAATTGTATTCTTCTGTTTTTCATGCTTGCAAACACTTCAAGGAATAATTTGTCTGAGTTTTCAAAATCAATTGATAAAAGTGTAAGACTACTTAATCGTGAACTCTTCATAATTGATCCTAAATATGTCTTAACACGGCGCATGGTGGAAAAACTGCGTTCTGCACTAGCAGCTGAAGACACGAGAATGACCATGACCAATTCAATTAATTTTTTACATGGTTAAAAGTCTCACCGTAGTTGCTTATTTGTTGATGTAGGTCAGATTATGTTAAATTATCCAAAAATAAAGATTTTCCAATCAGACACTGGTTCTTCAATACTTCTATAGTCATTAGTTGTATCTGATTGATACATATTACCTAATTTAACTAACAAATCTGAATTTAGAAATTCATTTGATTTGGGGTCACTTGCTTGGATATAATTCAATANTGGGTAAATTTATAAATCATTTCATTATTCATGTTATCTAAAATCTGGAAAAAGACTTTTAAATTCATTTTCTGTATCTTTAGATGATATGTTTTGTTTTTCTTTTCTACTAGTACTAGCACCAAGTGTTGAATAAGTTAAATAGTTATCCAAGGTTGATGAAATTCTCTGTTCTCTTGTTGGACGTAGTGTATCGTTAGGTTCAATATTCAAAGTCTGCGATACACTAACAACTTCATTACAAATATTGATAAATATTTTTTCTGACTTTAAATTGATCAATTTTGCACAACGGCTATAGTCAAGTGTTGTCTGTAAGTTTAATGGTAGAATATTTACTAAAGACAAAATATAATCCAAACAAAAAAGTAACAATAGTTTTTAAAGAATTCATTTGAATTAGTAAACCTTTAGTTTCAGCAGCTTCCTTAGATTTTGAACTTTCAGTACACTCTTTTAATGCTGTTAATAATAATGTAAAGTTGTTTTTAAAGTAATGAATACTTTTAAATTTGTATACTCAACATGTCACAGTGCATAGGGACTTTCGACCCAGTTTTATCAAAAAATGTTTGATACTTTAGTGTTAATGTTGACTGAAATGCATATACTGCTTCCATGAGATCTATAGTATCATGTACTTCTACCTTTCTTGACTAAAACTAAATTCAATTTATGTGCATGGCAATGTATATATAGACACAAATTTCCTGACATATCTTTAATTATTTTTTGAACTTCGTTGAACTAACCAGACATAACTGATGCTCCATCATAAGACTGACTTACAGTTACTCAATTCTTGTCCAAAATTATTCAAAAATAATTTAATATTACAGCTTAGGGCATTAGCATTTAATTCTTTGAGTTCAAAAAATCCTAAAAACCTTTCTTTTATCACTGAATTATGTACATACCGAATACAAATACTCATTTGCTCTAATTTTGTATCGTCTCTGATTTCGTCAACAATTAAGCTGAATATTTTACTAACTTCTTGTACTTCTTTTAAAATAGATTGAGCAATCACTGTGGAAGCTGTACTTATCATATCATTTTGAAGTATTTTACTAGTGTATTTTGCATTATTTGGTAACGCTTTATAAGCTGAACAAAATGTTTGACTTTCAATACATAATAGCTTTACAAGCTCTAAAAAATTTCCTTTGTTTTCTGTTGCAATGTCATTATTCACAATTTCAGGGATTACAGTTGTTTTAGAATGTTCTCGCAAACCAATATCTTGCCTAGCACAATATATGGCACACCTTATTAAACTTTCCAACATTGTCCTATTTCNGCTTCATTGTAAATATTGATGAATATTTTTTCTAACCTTAAATTGATCAATTGTTCCATAGTAGATTTGATCAATTTTGCACAACGGCTATAGTCAAGTGTATTTGTCTGTAAGTTTAATGATAGAATATTTACTAAAGGCAAAATATAATCCAAACAAAAAAGTAACATAATAGTTTTTAAAGAATTTACTTGAATTATTAAACCCTTAGCTTCAGCAGCTTCCTTAGATTTTGAACTTTCAATACACTCTTTTAATTCTGTTAATACTAATGCAAAGTTGTTTTTAAAGTAACGAATACTTTTAAATTTTGATACCCAATGTGTGTCACAGTGCATAGGAACTTTCGACCCAGTTTTATCAAAAAATACTTGATACCTTACTGTTGATGATGATTGAAATGCATATACTGCTTCCAAGAGACCTATAGTATCATATACTTCTTCTACCTTTCTTGAAACGTCAACTAAAACTAAATTCAATATATGTGCATAGCAATGTATATATGTATACAAATTTCCTGACATATCTTTAATTTTTTTTTGAACTCCGTTGAACTGACCAGACATAACTGATGCTCCATCATAAAACTTACTTACACAGTTACTCAAATCTAGTCCAAAATTATTCAAAAATAATTTAATATTACAGCTTAGAGCATTAGCATTTAATTCTTTGAGTTCAACAAATCCTAAAAACCTTTCTTTTATCACTGAATTATGTACATACCGAATACAAATACTCATTTGCTTTAACTTTGCATCATCTCTGGCTTCGTCAACAATAAAGCTGAATATTTTACTACCTTCTTGTGCTTCTTTTAAAATAGACTGAGTAATCACTGTGGAAGCTGCACTTATCATATCATTTTGAATTATTTACTAGTGTATTTTGCACTATTTTGTAACGCTTCATAAGCTGAACAAAATGTTTGACTTTCAATACATAATAACTTTACAAGCTCTAAAAAATTTCCTTTGTTTTTTGTTGCAATATCATTATTCACAATTTCAGAGATTTTAGTTGTTTCTGAATGTCCTCGCAAACCAATATCTTGCCTAGCACAATATATGGCACACCTTATTAAACTTTCTAACGTTGTCCTATTTCTTGCAACTTCAACTCTTATTTTTGAGTCAATAATAGTTGTAACACTGCCTTGTATTTTAGAATTACACCACCCTTTATATTTAGCCAATGCTAATTTGTGTGTGTCACATTTATCATGTACTTTAACCATACTGCTTATATGTTTCCAATCTGAATAACCATGAATTATTAGATTACCAGCTTTAGGATTACAATGTTGACTTGGTGGTTAAGAATAGATAAGTCATATTATATCTACACAATATGTAATAATTTGTTATCACATTATGCCGGCTATTATGAAGATAGCTACCGTTCCGAACGTGTGGTGTCGTTCGCTCCCGCCAATTATGAACTAAGATAGTATTATGAACGCTAAAACAGCTGCAATCTCTAGCAGCGACATTATCACATAGATAATATATTGGCACGATTAAAAATATAATACCTATATTATCTTTAATCGTGTATATTAGTAAGTTCGTCATTAATGTAATAATAATAATATAATTTATCAAATGATGAAACATCTTATTTTTATATCAAAATAATGGGCACTAGAAATTTTGGTATGAGCAGCTGCCCACCCTGCCCATACGTTAGAACCGCCACTGCCTTTTAGAGTAATTAAATTAGTTATTTTAGTTGTTGTTTATCAGTAATAGTTACTATCAAATTACTGAAGATGACAATTCACACTCCAAAGAATAACGGTCCGAATTGTAGAATGATAAATTAATATAGTTTTAATTTTTTGTACAATGAGTCTATTACGTAGAAAATATGTATTTTATTCATATCTACAGAAAAAATAGATAAGAAATAGCTACCGTTTGTTACTTACACGGTTCGTAAAAACTGTTTTCCTTGATAAGACTGTCTTGTGGTTTTCTGGCTATTTCTTATTTTGGTAACTATATAATTTATATATTATATATATAAATATAATATACAGTGTATTATGTATATTATTGTTGATAATAATACGTATTAGGTACATAAAATGAACGAAAAGCTTGGAATGAGAATTATTATTTTTATTTTTAGAGACGCCCAGAAGCAATTGAAGCTTCATTCGTGTAATAGCAGAAATTAAAGAATGCAGTGTTCAAAAATTGACCAAAGTCAGTAAAAAAGCAACCAATGTGAATTTTGATATTTTACATGACGGACAACTTGATAAAAGAGTAAATATATAATAATTAATAAATATTAACTTCTCAAACATTTACTTTAAACATATTACTTGATTAATTAATTGAATTAAATAATGATTACTTAATTATGCAATTTTTCAATAATATATTTAAAAGTATGTATGTATAATTGATTGATTATTTATAAAATAATAATATGTTTCTTAACATTTTTCAAATATTATTACATTATTACGTAATATCTATTTATATGTATTGGTAATTCATTAGGTGCAATGTATGATAGAAGTGATGTTTCAAATAGGATTATTTCCGTAAGGATGGATTTAAAGATCATCCTGCTGTAATTGAACAACTTGATTTAGTCGAAAAAGGATTAACAATTTACTCATTTATTAACTTTAGATTTTGCTAAAAACTTACAAGATATTTTAAGTAATATTTACTAATTGTTTTTTTACTGTTTTTATCTATGTATGGACCTTACAGTTGATTAACTACAAATGCTAAACTTGATTTCTAGATGTTTATAAATTTGATCCCGATTTTGAAACAAATGAAGAACATTAGAAATCACCGCGAACAGAAATATTAAGGTCAAACAATGAAGACGAATCAGATAATGATGATGATAAAGGATAAGGTAAAGAAATTTAATTTATAATTATTATTGTTAGATTAATTATTTTAATTTTTTTTTGTCAGTTGCGGTTTGCACTTTGCTCATCGTACACGTAATTATTACGCTCCGCTTAATTGTCACGTTCCCATTTCTTTTTCGTGTCCGAATGTGTCGTGTTTAATATGTAAAGAATCATAATTCATCTACTTTTTGCTTTCTTTACAAGAAAGCAAAAAGTAGATGAAGGGGTGCGTCTTCGGGCGTTCTTTTTCTTAAATGGAAATTGAATAATTCAGAACTATATATCATATAATTAAAACTTATAATTCAAAACCGATTATTATTATTTTTTTTTTTTTTTTGCATTTACTCAAACCGTCGCGGTCGTGCTACCACTGCAACGAGCATTGGTACGCAACCTTTGCTCCCTAGATAACATGCCACAATCTTCCAACATACCGATATCGCCGAAAGTGAAAAATGAAAATAAGCTTATACAGGCAGCTTACCTAATTAATAATACTACAAATAATTCTATGATGAACTCTTCAGATTCAAGTTCTATGCTCGATGATGATACCATGGACAATAACTCGGATACTGGTTGGACAATAAAGGCCAACAAAAGAAATCTTTCAGACTCATCTGAGCCGAAGTCTCCTGATCCTAAACAATTAAAACAATTAAAACAATTCCAAATACAAATAAAAATTATAACAAATTATTTATAACGGCTAATCGCTATGAAGTACTTTTGCAAACTTAACCTGTTACCCGAACTACACCAGACCCTGTCTCAGCGTCTACTACTCCAGAAATATCTACCATCAATCACATTAAACCTCAGCCACCGATTTTTGTAAAAGGCATAATTGACTTTTCAAAAACATGTGAAGCCTTAATGGAGCTTATCGGGGTTGATAATTTTTATTGTAAATCTTCCTCTGATCGCCTAAAAATTCAAACTGCCAACTCTGAATCATACTGATCTCTGATACATTTCTTAAAAGAACAGGATGCTCAATTTGACACTTACCAGCTAAAAGAATATAAACCTACTCATGTCGTCATCCGCAATATACACCCATCTACATCCACAGAATTAATTAAATCTGAGCTAGAATTGCGCCTTTTTGATGTGGGGCAAGTCACTAATGTACTTCACAAAACCACTAAATGCCTTCTCCCCCTCTTTTTCATCGATCTGGAACCGACTGATCAGTAGAACGACATATTCAAACTCTCTAGTATTCTTCATACTAAAATAAAAGTTGAAGAACCCTACAAACCGAAGATAATTAGTCAATGCTTCAATTGCCAAGACTATGGTCACACATGATCATACTGTGGTTACCCAACTCGCTGTGTTCGCTGCAGAGACTCACATTCTTCTTCATGCTGTACCAAACCAAGAGATGGTCCTCCCAAATGCTCGAGCGACCATCCAGCCAATCAGCATTGTGGATGCAACGAGAGACATAAACATAGAGACCTCCAACTAAGCCTAACAAGAAAAGTAACTTTCTACATGATAATGTTAATTTTAAGTCTTCAACTAATAACCATACCACTGTAAAAGAAAGCCACTCAATTTTGGAAACTAACTACTCTAGTACCCTCTCCCCGACTTGGGGAGATAATTTTTTCGTTATTTTAAATAAGTACCTATTACGATTTCTAGCACAAATATGACTTCAATTGAAAAACGACAAGAGACATTTTTTTGTTGAATTATCAATTTTGTTTTAAATAATGCAGCTCGTTTATTAATTTTCGAATTAGTTTTCATAATAGTTGGGAAAAACGTGGAAGGTTAGGTTAAAAAAAATTACCGCACTTCAAATTATGTTTTACTGGACTATCATCTTGCGTCAAACAATGGTATATCGTTACAGATATAAATGGAATAATCTTATGTATCCTATATTCCCAACTTCCCATCTACAACAGTGGCTACTCCCATCCCCAGTATCAGCTATTTTTTTTTTTTTAAAGTTTTAAAAGAATTAAAAAAACATGTTTTAAACATTCTGTATTAAGTTTTTATAATTAATAATAGTTTAAAATATGAAAATATGTTTAAATCAAATGTTTTTAAACAAAATTTTTAAAACTGCAAACCCTGAACAATCTGTAACAAGTTTAGATACATAAATATTCTGTTCAAAAACCAAGTTACTTGATTAGGTCTAGTGTTGTTATTATATATACATAAATACTTTTCTATGACATCAACATCACAATTTAAATTCTGAATACTTATATATATATTATTCAGAATTCTTTTAATTATATAAATCAAACAAAAATGGTACAAAACACAGACAATTTTTTTTTTTTTTTAATGTTCCTCTTTTATTCTAAATGCTTTTGTTATTATTATAAAAAAATAATAATAACAATGTTATAATAGCTGAGCATAAAAATAAACTAATACTTTATGGAATATTTTAACCAATTTTTTTTTCACAAATTGAACTTATTTTAATTATACTTTATTTGGTAAGAGATTAAATTAAAAATAAAGAACTGGATACAAACTAGGATATCATAAAAAAAAAAATTGGTTGGGTTTAAAATAATAAAAATACCCAACAATTTTCAAAAATTAGACTTTTTTAATAGAACTTAATTTAAAAAATATAAAGTATAACTTGATATCATATTAATAGGAAATGAATTTGAAAATAAAAAAACTTGATATCAAATTTCTGGAATATCACCATTGTGACGTGCACAACATTTAGTAGAATATTTTTTCAATATTTGATGAATAAGATTACCGTGAAACTCAATTAATGGCATTGAATTTCTGGTTATGGTTTTATAAGAAAAAAAAAGTGTTTAAGAAACACAGGTCAATAAGATGGAAAAAAATTTTTTTATACCATTTTAAGTTTTTCATTAGAACTTCTAATGGACAGAGTAAAGCTTCAGAGTTGTCAATAACCTTCATGTATTTAATATATTTATTCAAAGATAATGGTTTTGTTATCTCGTATCTATGAAGATAGAATTATACTGGTTTATACGTGGATAGTTTATACGTACCTACAAATTTATTACCAAATAATATACACAGAATACTTAACTTATATTTATATATTACATTTCTTCTCAAATTATAAAATAGATACTTACTGAGTTAAAAATCTGCAGAGAAACCTATCCTTCGAGATAAATATAATAAGGAAAATCGAAGTATTATTAATGGTACCACCAATGGTTCCCAGTCTAAATTAACCTAACATGCGGCTTGTTGAACATTAAATCGTGGCTACGTTAATGCAGAAAGTAGAATGCATGTTTGTGTCGTATAATAGCTATAAAAAAAAAAAGTAACTATAATAACTATTTAAAAAAAGTCGGTTTCACAACACTAGGCTCTCGATCGAAGCGCGACCCGTGGACTAAGTTTGCATTTTCATCGTTTTCCAAATGCACACCAATTTAATACCTTGTTTATTTTTTATAATCATTTTAAATAATAACGAAAACATTTTTTCTTTACGCTTTATTAGAATATAATTTCTTGAGTAGATTAAATATGATTTGTGTACACATATGTATTTTTTTTTATACAATACAATTTTTTTACACGTGTAGTATTATACTTCATTAGAATAAAGTGTAAGTCCAAGTAGTAGCACTGATTCTTTACTCAATGGTATTGGTTTATGAATCACTATAAGTATAGATATGTAGATTTATTCTTTAATAAATTTCCAAAAATCCTAAATGATAAGAAATTCTAAGTGATCAATTTCGATGCTATTTTCTATTTCATGAGTGGAAACTCCTGCATAAACTAAAAGGTGCATAAGCAGTATAAACAGTTATACTATTATAGATAGGTAACTAATATTATTACATACTGTAATGAGTAAAATAAATAACTTATAATAATAAATTAACATAAAACTTCTATGTTTGTGTGTAAAATAAGCCTATATTGATAAATTATATCTATGTGGTCCGTGTAAAAATAGTAGAGTAGTGCCTGACTCCCAGATATAGCTGGACATTTGGATGAAATCAATGTGAAAGTACAAGAAGAAATAGACAATATTGTTATAAGAATTTTGTTATTTTTAATGTTTTGAATAAAATAATGTTATCTGTTGTACCTAGTATCTTAGGTATAACTTACTATTAATAAAGGCAGTACAAATAATAAAATGGTCAGGTACCTAATTTACAAGTTAATAATTGTTTTAAATTTTTTTTGTTTTTAACCATTTTGAAAGAAGACATATTATTACATTTTTTGATGAAATAATTAATACTTACATACCTTATCTACCAATAAAAACTTACAATTTAAACAAATATTTGGTTTTATAGCTATATAAAGATTAATTCAATCATTTTGATTTTAATTTCAACCTTACTTTCTTTTAATAAATTATTCATATTTGTATTTAATAGACAAATAATTTTACCTACAAAAATAATTGTACTTTTAAATGGATGGAGTAAATTGCATTCATCATACTGTTTCACAGAAATAAAAATATTTTTACAATAATTGTAATATTATTTTTATCTTTTGTAGCTAATTTGTCAAGGCATTCAAGATGACTTAGTTTAGAACATACCCAACTAGCTATATATGCAATAGAATTTTATTCATGCAAGTCCAACTCTATGAATACAATGTTCATGTCACTCAAATTGTCATCAAACGAGGAGTCTATTTCATTACCTAATGAATATTGATTTTTTAAATGATTTAACTTCATATTTTGTTTATTCTGCAGTAAGTCATTGCATTTGGTTAAAAATTCACAAGCTTCTATTTCACAATTTCCAGTTATAAGTGGAACTAGAATTTGTACTACGCTTATTCATATGGCCGAATAAAACTTAGACAAATCTGAAGTAACATTTTCACCTTTTGCATGTACTACAGAAAATAAACTTTCTACACAATCTTGGGTCAGTCATTTAGTAAGTAAATATTTAAATTCAAAATTATTTTGTTAATCCTTAAATAGCATTGTTAAATTATTAATATTCCAAAACCAACTACTAATACACGGTGGCTGTTTTTTTTTTTTTGATTTTTGAATTGATAATTTTGTTAAAATTTCAAAAGACTTAATTTTAAAAGAGCCAATGCTTTGAATTATCAGCCAATTTTTTTAACATATCTATAACAATGACGTACACTTGACACTTACTGTACACCTAACTTTATCTAATTTTTATAATTACATAGCTTTTATGTTATGAATGTTCCTTTTTTTTACAATTAGTTCATTTTTTTTTCAATAAAACTATAATATCTAAGATTATGATATGAACACAGATCTCAATAAATACAATTAGTTCTTAAAATGTATTGAAGAAAAAAGTAATAAAGAATTGCTATAGTAAAGTAATTGTTGTTATTTAAAAATTACTTTCTATAAAAGTAATTAAATTACCATAAACTTTTCACCACATTGGTAATGTCATTGAAAACAGGTCATAATTATTTTTTAATTGATTCATATTAAAAACATGTAACATATTGAGCTTCACTAATTGAAGTTTAAACTTGTTAAGACAATAGTAAAAACTAAACTTTAAATTTAACTTACAATTTATCATTTGTAAGAAATTTATGAAATTTAAATTCCAGATTTTTCCTGTTGTTGTTTTTACTATTCCAAAAACAACAATACTTGTGTGAAGTCATTTTACAATGGTAGGTATAAAAAACCAAACACTTCAAACACGAAATATTTGGAGAAAAATAAACATAAGGAGAAATTAACAAATTTTCCAAAGGTTTATATAATATCATCCTCCCTACCATAATTAATAGAAAAAAATAGAAAAAGTTATATATAATTCATTTTTTTTAGCTTAGATTATTCGTATAAATTATTGAATTAATTATTTAGGTTATTTGTTATTATAAGCAAACGGTATTTCAAATAAATGTGGGAAGTTTGCCAGACTATTTTAATACTAATTTGGCGCCACTGCTTATAGATATACATTAAATTCCCCTTTATATCCTACCTTGCTGAATTCTCAATTACAACAGTGGTCCATTATGCAGATTTTGTCCACATTTTTTTTTATTTATATATTATAATTATCATATGTTTAATTAATAATTATTTCTTCACAATCAAATTCCAATGACTGTAGAGTAATAAATTTCCCATTAGAATTAAAGATATCATGAATTGGAATATTGCTCAAAATGTAAAACAAAAGATAGGTACCTAGGTAGATTTAGTTATCTTGTACCAATTCTTACTAAGCTGTCTCCATACTGTACCTGAATAGTTGCTCAGAAGTATCAAATTAAAATAATCTTAACTTATTTATAGTTTATCAAATTATAATATTAAATGATTAATTAAATTTTCTTTTTTATTGTTTTGAAATAATTTTGAATATTAATGTATTTTAGTGGAATAAATTTACCAAGTGACAATTTCTAACTAAAATTTTAATATTTCTGAGTGAGGAGAATGTCACATCCCCCCATAATCCACTGGTTTGTTCCTCGTCACTTTTTAAAAATTCAATAATTGGCATAAATTTAAAGTTGAATAATGTCACAAGTAACCTATACGTTTAACTCTTAAGTTGATTTTTTTTTTCAAAATGTTCATTCCATGATGAAAAGAAATGCATAAAAAAAGAAACTAATTTATAAACATGTATAGCTAATAGGTAGAATGAAATTATTATTACTATTATTATAAACTGAAGAAATTAATTTATTTCCATAAGTAGTATTTTAAACATAATATATACAATATTATATATATATATGTAATCAAATTATCTGTTCATATATATTAATTGGGCACAATTAGTTATTGGAGTTTAATTTTGTTAATTTTAAACGGTATTATTTGCAGGCAAAATTAATTAAAATACAATTATATCATATCATATTATTATAAACATATTTTAAGCAATTTAAAATACGTTTATTATATTTTTTGGAATGTTTGCACAGGATTCATTGACCAGATTGTTGACCAGTTCATGGATTTGGTTATCAGCAACACACAAGTTAGCAAAAACATTCAAACGGTCCAATGTATAGGGATTCTATAATCAATAATAATATACATAATTAATATTTAATTCACTTAGAACAATATATATAATATATTATATAAACTGTGATGTGTTGTAAGAATATTAACACCTGCAATTTTTAATACTAAAACATTTTAGAAGACTGTATATTAATTATTAGAGTTCTGTGAAATTGTAATGTGTTAACAAATGGAAGATTGAAAAATGTTGGTAAATGAAACAAAAATTGATTATTAATCAAAGCCAATAGGTACATACTTGTGTCAAAGAAAAGCAACTGTCAGAAATAGTGTTGATTATACTTCGGTAGCATGGGAACATTTTTAATGTAAGCTGTTGGTTATGGGGTGCATCATATTCACCAACGATTTCTTTGATTTCAGGTGTTGCTGTCAAAACCTTGGAGTAAATGTCTCTGAATATATTATTGATGATTGATCGCATCTAAAAAATATGTTATTGTTAATATAAAAATTAAAAATCAATTTGTACCCACCACATTGTGAAATTAAAAAAAAAATAATACATTGTATAACTGAAACAAATTAATCTACATATTATTAAATTTATTAAAATAATGTAGTTACTTACTCTGTTATTTTTACTCAACTCAGTTTCCAATTCGCTTTTTTTTATAGCAGTTAACTTGTCATTGGTCAATTGATCTAGTACACTGTATTCGTCTACGTCCTTACTGGACATCCCACTCATTACAGTCTATAGAAAATAATAACAGTGAGAATAATATGTATGCTGAATTTATAATACAATTGAAACTACAATAAAAAAACGACTGTACAAGTTGCAGTGTTATTAAGGAATACTTTCGATTAAACAAATTGATTCATTTTTAGAGGAACAAATGAAGAAATTAATTCCATTATTTTTTGAAGTAATAGGAACATGAATTTATTCATTATTTTTAGGAATAGTAACAAAAATATTGTAATTCTTTTTTTTTTTACATTTAATTTAATTTATTAGGATTTTAAACATGTCAATTCTAAGAAGTAAGAATAGTTTCCAATTTTAATTAACTTGATTAACTCACATTACACTTATTTTTTTAGGAAAACTAAGTATCTACAAAAAAGTATCAACACAAGTAACAAATGAAATCCCTCAATATCAAATTAATTGTATATATTTGAATAGTTCCAAAGCAAAATCTTTAGTGATATTATTATTTTTAAATTAAGAATATAAAAAGATAATTTTAGTATGCATTAGGTATTTATAAAAAAAAAAAAGGAACGCTTAGAAGAACAACTTCCTTTTTAAGGAATGAGGAATGAGAATAAGTTCTTTTTTTGCAGTAGGAACTAGGAACGGGAACAAATTATTTTTTAAAAGGAACTTTAACAATGTTGACAAGTTGTAGTAAGTATTTATTATTTTATATGATTTACTTTTTTAGAAATTGCTTTAGTTGATTGACTGTCATTTTCTTGATAACCGATAAATGAAGAGAGTGGTTCATTGCCAATGTGATAATCACCATAAATCATTACATTGGAATCATCAATAGCTTCTCTGACCACACTGTAATCCTCAAAAACTGTTATGTCTGCAGCAGAAAAATCTCCATACATCTATATAGTGAGTACAAATTCGATAAAATTCCACAACATGCTATATTTGATGTATTATTAATAATTAATAGTAGATTATGTAAACATATTAAACCATACACTGTCCGAGTTTTCCATCCAAGTGACACTGAAATCATCTCCTAAGAATGTATAATATGGAAACCCTACATAGTAGCATGCATACGAATTTTCTCTAGGTCCAGACGCAGTCACTGCCATAACTATAATAATAAGTAGTTTAATAAAAAATAATACTGCTTTAGTCAAATAATTATACAATTGTATTTATTTATTTTCTGAACAGTTAAGGTCTTTTTTTTTTTATATAAAAAAGAAACATTATATTATTAGACTTATAAATATTATACTTACTATTTGTTCTTTCATTCAGTATTCCATCGAACAAGGAACCACCATAACTAGCTTCAATATATAATAACATCTTTAAATAATAAATTTAATTAATTTTTTTTTCAAATTATAAAACTATATCTCATACACCTCTCAGATGTACAGTTTACATATTTTTACATGTTTTACCTTTGCAAAATTTCCATTTGTATACATATTGTTAAAAGCATTGTTCAGTTCATCGGCAAATAGGAAACTATCTGGGAAACTCAAAAAACCAGTTGAACCGTGTGTGACAAAGTTAACAAAAATTGTATCATGAGGTCCCCTTTATATAATGAAAACAAAAATAAAAACAAATAACCTTCAGTTTTATTTACTGTAATATGTAACACTACAAATTATCAACCCGAACAAATTTGTTTTTAAATAGTGTATTATTATTATTGTTTTTAAATTCTGTTTTTAGGTACAGATTTGGTATAACAGATAACATGAAAAAAAATTACTCATTTAGTTTATGTAACTAAAGAAGTAATGGATAATCAAGCCATCAAGGGTTTACTCATTACTGTATATATAAATCATAGGCGTAATTTCCCTAAAATTCACGGGTTGATAAACTCTGAAATATACATACTTAAGTAATAAACTAATAAAGTACCTAAATAAATAAAACAAAAATCCATATGAAACTTATTTATAATACATATTGTTGATGTATGATCATTGATCATTGATATCATAACAACAGTTTTCGCGATCACGTGATATCACCATTATTCTATTTTGTGGTATCACAATCCCCATTTAAGATTAGGGATCTACCTAGTTGCCAGAAAAATAATAAAGAAATTGTAGCAATACTAATTGTAAAAAAAAAAAACAAAAAATTCGTCACATACAAACCTAAACCTTAGTGTCCTTAGTTGAATTTTAAAACCTAAAACATTTGGTTTTTGAAAAAACACTGTAGTAAAAATAAAGGAGGGAGATAATACAAATAACGTCGACAAATCATATTTTGAAATAAAAAAAGTCAGCAATGCACGTAATACAAAATGATGGCATTATAATATGTCGAAAAAAACAGCTGGCAACAGAAAAATATTGTATCATATATATCTTATACATTTTCTAACTAAGCAACAACTAGCAATATCCATAGGTACATCAATACATCAATGATCTGTTTATCATTACATTAATAGGTACACAACGAAAAAATGACGGTTTACTATCACATACGTAAAATCAAAGAACTATAAATCGATGAGTATCATGAGGACGTGATAATTATTATCTATTATCGTCGTTATCGTTACTTAATAAATATTTAATAGTTTGGAAAAATTTTTAAATTTGAAATTTTGAAATATAGAAAATTTAGTGAATGTAAAATTCCAAAATGATATTATTGCACCCCCAAGATATCGCCCATGCCGGAAATGCGGTAAGAAAATGATTTAATTGTTTAGGATTAGGTAGGTACTTAGTTTATTAGACAATGCTATTACCCATCGCTTTCTAGTTTGTTTAGGTGCAAGATCAATTGGTTTACGATAGTCGATAGATGATATTTTCTCTTTAAAATTTGAAGAAGATATTTAGTGTATTTTGAAATCCAAAGAAAACGAGAAAAAAAACTATGAATTCAAAATGTCACGAAAGTTTGCCATGTGAAAAAAACGAAAAAGTTGGTTAAATATTGAATATTTATCAAGGTAATAATATAAAATTACATATGTACTCTTATATTATATGTATTTTTACTGTGTTCTGTATATAATTACTTATTATCCTTTGGAAATTATAACATTTAATAGATAATGATATCATTTCCTTTTCTTATTAGATATTGTCATAATTTCCTAGGAATTATTATGGTAATATTCTTTTACAATGAACAACTCATTTTTGGTAGGTTTTTAAATGAATTTGATTTCTGTTTAACTATTGTAAAATTGGTTAAGTTTTATTTTAAATTTTTATCCCTACTCTAAGTAATAATCTATTATGGATTTTAAAATAACAACCCTCCCCCTTTTCAATCACGGATTCAAATAGACAACATTTCTCTAGAAATTTTGATATTCAGAACATTGATATCAAATTCACAGTTTATGAGTAATAACAGTATTAAAAATAGACTGAGTTATTAATTTATCATTTAAAAATACTGATTTTGTTGCCTTTCCCTACTCTTCTAGTATATGTTATGTATAGTTTATGTCCAGTATATATGGACAAATTGATCCAGTTATACATAATAGAATCTTGTAACATAATTTTATATAATTTTATCATACCCTTCAACGACTTTTCCACTTCCTACATTCTGCATGCCTGTTTTATTTCCAGTGATGATATTTAAGAAATTTTCACTGTTCACATCCTAGTAAAAGTAAAATATAATTTAATTAGTACCATGTATAGGTTAAAATATTAAAATGATAAATTCAAATTTGTGATTTTTAATGCAATTTTAATGTAGCAATGGAAAATAATAAATACTTCTATGAAAAATATTAGTTTAATCTAATACTATTGTAAAATTATAGGTATAAATTTATTTAATAATACAAAATATCTTACGGATCCCCTGTAGTCTATTTGAACTCCTCGGTAAACATCCTTACCACGGAAAGCCTTGTGAGGTTTATTAAATATTTTTCCTCGCCTTGGATTTCTTTTATAAAAAACAAAATGAAAACTCAGACAAAAATCAAATAGGTATTAAAGAAAAATTCTATATAAAGTTAGTGAATAACAATAATAATGAACCAAGTTAAGTGTAATTGAAATTATAAATAAATATGTATATTTAACATACTATAAATAGTTTTATACTATAATATATTAACTTGATTTGTGTAAAACAAGTTTCAATAGTTATTGTTTATAAATGATATTAAATTATATTATTTGACTAACTATAAAGGAATAGATAAACATTGCAGTGATTGTGGCACAATTTTAAACTTAGTCGAATAACTTCATGTTTTGGTAAAGTTTAAACAAATTATAAAATAAAAATGCATTTCACTTAAATCATCAAAAAGTTATAATATATTTACACAATTTTTAATAAATTGTTTGTGTATTCATTATTGTCACTCAATTTAATTAATAAACAGTCATTACCTTATATTATGTGCAATATCATCTACTATCATCGTTATAATGTTTTCTTCTGGTATTCCGTTTGATTTAACAATTTGGTATGCGTGACATATATCCGCCTAACAAAATATAATATAAATTACATTTTTAAACAAAACAATAATTATTTAAAAGTAAGTTATTACTTATAAACTATTTTATCAGTTAATGTTTTGTTAAAATTATTATTATTTTTAAATTCATATTATGTATATTATTTTTCAATCCTTTTCCAACTCCTACTTCCCCCCTTAAAAAAAAAAAAAAAAAAACCAAAATGTAATTTAAAAGTTAAATTAAATTAAATTAAAAAGTTTTTATTTGTGTAGTTAAAATTAATCTAAGTAATACTAGTACTTTAAAATTAAATAATATTAATTTATATTAATATATAATAATCTGGTTCCTAAATCAACTTTGGTATCTGTTAATAATTTATATCATATTAATAATTTTTTTCCCCCAACTTTGTAAAGTATAATATTATTTATTATATAAATAGTACCTGCCTATAACCCCTATACGTTGTTCAGTAAGTTGTAAGTACTAAAATCTCAAGGGGCTAATATGGCATATGCTAAACAATTGAAAACTACTAATATAATTTAATTTCTCGTGATAAATAATATGATCAAATGACACAAGCTTATTAGGAAGTATTAATTTATATTTTTAATGATTCTCAAATATTAAATATTATAATTTACTGATAATTGGATTACTGTGGGTATTTTAATACCTGATGCCTATATTTTTTCCATCCACTTGTTCCCGCTACCAATACTACCCATTGTTTTCCTTTGTACAAAGAATCACCCAAAGAATTATCGATTTCGAACTCGTTCAGTGGTGTATCTCTGGCGAATGATCCAATACCAAATAATACTAACAATGCTAAATTAAAAATTCCTGCAACACCAAAGAATATAATAATAATTAATATTACAACATACAATATATAATGTTATTATTTTAGAGATATTTTATATGGTACTAGGATCCTATTCTTCAACTAATTGACAAAGCTTTTGATTCAGTTGAGAGTTGATTATTATTTTTCAGTATTTACAGGAAGTGTATTTCCTAAGTACTTTTAATATACAAAGTAAAGACTGGTTGAATTTAGGATTTTGGGTAGGAGGTTATAAAAAACTGATAACAATTTTTGAAACCATCAAAATTCAAAATTAACTTTAATTATGCATATACACATTTGACTAAAAATATTATAGGTATTTCAGAATGTTGACATTATACACATAATAGGAACATTTACATTTTAGAAGAATTTAGTTATTACTATTTTGCTCACAATAATATATTATTATTATTGATCTTTCTTTGGTTTATTATTTTTAAATCAATTATTTAAAATGTTATACAGCCCAATATTTATAATTTTCAAATAACATAATATGTATAAGTGTATAACTCCGCAGAACTTTTGTAATCAATATAATAACAGTATATAACAGTTTTACATTAATTCCTACACTGGGTTACATCTTATATACATATAGAACAGTGTAAGGTATTTTATTATTAAGTATACCCTCTTAATTTACTAACTATTAATTGTTTTTTTTTTTTTTTTTGAATATCTTCAGGGGTGTCATTTCAATATTTGCTTGGGTAGGGCATAATAATGACCGGCCCAAAAAGTATAAAACTAATCAATAGTTGTCTTGACTTTTGAATTTGGCCGTTCTGTCTACCATTTTAGATTTTAAGTGGAGCGAGGAATGTATTGGCTTTACAATGATGTTTATTTTTTTTTCCTGTGATCAACTTTTCTAAATAAAGCACTTTTTCTAAAAGGAAATTTGACTGGGGTGGTACTTTTTTTTTAGCATCTTCCTCTCAAATTTAAAAAGCTTCTCCTTATCTCCTTGAGTTATCTACTACGTCTTACAAGCATATGTCACTATAATAGCAATATAATAAAACTCCATATTGAAAAAAAACAAAAACGCTCCCTTCGATCAACCAACTATAATTGAATACTTGTTTACAATTTCCATCAAACAAACTGTATCTGCTTTTGTTAACATATGAGTTATTTGAGTATAAATAATCTTTACTTGGTTTTACACAATGAAGATTATTGTTATAACTTTCAATAAACTTTACGCTAAAAAAGAAAAATATGGAAATGTATCTTTTTCAACTTTCATAATACTTTTAAAATATATAAAAAAAAAAGTATTTTGTACTCATTTCATCGTAAATACCTGACAGATTAACGGTTTCCAACCCATAGGCCGCGGTCTACTTGTAGGCCTTGGCCTTGGCCTGGGCCTCAGACACTGGGTATACGGCATAAGCCAAGGGTTGGCAAATTCTATATTATTTATATTATTATAATGATTTATAATTATAATTTATAATTATTTATAATTTTATTGTCTATATTTTGATCGATATTTATTAATAATTAGACAATTATTGCTATAATACAATTTTATTGTTAGTCGTTTTCTTATCTAGTATTCTAGAATATTTTTGTCATTTTTATAATATTTCGTCATGTTTGGTGTGAAGTACGGGCACGGTGCGATAAATTTAATTCCCATATCAACTCTTTCGTGGGAGAAAATAATGTCGAAAATCGCATTGATTTTAATTTAACCTTAATTATTTGTTTATTAGTTGTGATAAATTTTTTTTTTTATAAAAAAGTTATTTTTAAAATTTTATTGTACGATACATTTTCTTAATTACTGACGTATGTGCAGTATGTATATTATACATATATATTAGTCATACGTGCATATATAGGTATTTTTATTTTTACCTGCATATTAGTTTAGTCGGCCTCGAAGTTTTTTTTTACAAAATTGGTGGCCCGCACAACTAAAAAAGTTGGAAACCACTGTGATAGATCATGTTCGCCTTTTCATAATAATATTATGTATCTATGTTATATTATGACCCGTAATGGCTCTATAGTAAGTACATGTATACTTGGTAGCCGGCCCAAAGCTACTTTAAAATCTAAGGTTAGGCAAACGCATACTTCCCCCCAATGACGCACCTGAATATCTTTAAATAAGATTTTATCAGCCACACTTAAGTAAGTAAATTATATTTATATGAATTTGAAGGATATATATTTTAAATTCTGAGCGGAGCAAGGAATGTATTGGTTCAATAATGATGTTTATTTTCAATTTTTTAATTTTTCTTTATTGGTACACAAATTCTACCAGAAATCTTACTCCTTGTATTAAGAGTGGCATCTTTTCTGAAAGAATATTGTATCTAGTTAGTACTTTATGGAAAGTTTTGATTTTCCTAGCAGTTTTCATAAAAATTGGGGAAAACGGAGAAAAAATGTAAGAAACCAGAAAATTTACTAAAATAATGCTTTTATTATTTTTAATCTTGTTTTTTTGTTATAATTTATTTTAAAAAGTTCGTAGGGACTTAAAATTTTGACAGAAAACTTATATTTGCCTTTTCTAGATGTAGTAAAATATTTGAGCCATTTTTGAGGTATTTATAGACATTTAAATTCTGCAAATTTTTTCGTAATTTTATTTAGTGGGTACTTTGTGGATAAAATTGTCAGACCAAACAGAGATGCTAGAAAATTGGATAGGAAATTCATTATAAGTTGTACTTAGTGGTCAACAAGAAAAAGTTGAGTCGTAAATGTTACGGTCTTTCATAACATCTATAACCGAATTTCAACTTAAAATCGTTTTTCGTTAGCAAAAATTAATCGTTGTGTACAGTTATACTTTAAATTCCGCTGTATATCCTACATTTTTAACTTCTCACTTATAGCAGTAGCCCAATAATCGTGCGAAGTATGTCTTTTTTTTCGTGATATGTGTTAACTAACTTTTGGGAGAGAGAGGTTATTGATGACAACTATCCATAATTTTAAAATAACATTTTTAAAATAATTTTGTATTTTTACGTATTAGAAAAAGCAATCATCTATTATTTTATATGGATAGGCATATCAGACATAGACGCATATACAATTAACTACCTACTTACCTAACTATAACAGTTTATAACTAATTATTAATAATTTAGTTTTATATTTTATCCAGTTATACATCTAACTTCTGCTCCCTATAACCAACCAAACTCAAAAGAGTCTTACTAGTGGCCTAGCAAGGCTATGGCGAACTGTGCCTAGGCCAGGGGTGTGAATTGCAAATAGTCGCAAAATTGGGTAATCGTATCGTCAGTTCTTGTTCGTCATTGCTATTGACACTATCGCACGCTTGTACGATTGTTAAATCGGTTTTTAATGTATCATTAAACTATAAACGTATATTGTATAACCGTTTCTTGGCCGTCTGTGACGTTATACGAGTTATACAAGTTATATATATATATATATTGACACGTTATACGCTCGCACGTGAGTTACATAGGTAATTGATAATAATAAATAAATGAATCAATGCGTCGCCTAGAGTATTATAATAAGTGTATTACACGACCGGTTTCGAATTAAAAATTCATCATCAGGTATATTACAGTCAAAATGTAAAACGCGACTCGTATAAAATTCCAGGCGACACATTAATTAATTAATTTATTTTATTTTTATTTATGTATTTATTTATGGGTTAATACTCGTAACGAAAAACGATTTTAAGTTGGAATTCGGTTAACCTTTTTAGTCATTTTGTTTTTACTTTATTATTTTATTAATAATAAATCACTTTTAAATTTTATTATACTATTAATAAATTGGTTTTTAATGCAGTATTCAACTAAACAAAATGTTCTGTATTCGATATTATTTTCTCAATATTTTAGTTTTACATCTAAATTATATTATGCATAGGTATAAACATTATAAACCTATTGTACCATGTTGAAGTAATGTGAAACGGCATATAGTCTCAAATTTGAAACATTTTCATTTCCTTCTCATTATCTATAATATATTATCAATATCTGATTATATCTCACACTTTTTTTAATTATTCTTTTTACAAGTTAAAATAATGACTTCCAAAAAACCTTCGGATGTCTGGTTTGAGAATCAAAGGAAACTGAAAGAATCCAATAATCATAGTTTATCCGCATCTTTAGTTAAATGGCTTTTGAACCTAGTTCAAAAAAAAGTTCAGTAGTTCCTTCATAAACTTATACTAATGATATTAATGATGAGATAAAATTATCCAAAGTTTCTACTATCATTGTATCTGAATCAGTAGTTCAAATTGAACGTGGCTCTTCAATCTCATCTATTCATTAAATCTATTCAGTCTAAATAATAGGGGGAAATTTAAAATTAGTTATTTCTCACCAACTATATAAAATTAATTTATTGATTTGATAGAAAAGAGTGTTAAAAATAATATTCTTGAAAACATTAAGAAAATTAAATATTATGCTATATTATTTGTTAGCACTCCCGATTTTTCACAATCTATATTTATTACAATCTAAAACCCATTATAAATGTTCGGTGAAAATTTTAGATCTCCACAATAATTATTTTTAAACTGAATTACAAAAAAAAAAAAAAAAATAACGTTAATCGATTTTGCGTAAATTATTTAGAAAACTTTACAAGGTAAATCAAAAAATGACTTTCTACCCCCTAACCAAATAGATAACATTTTCTACAGGAAACTACCCCTACAGTAGATTATCGGAGCAAGATTTTTGGTAAAAGTGTTGTTTATAGATAGAAAACATAATACAACAAATATAACAATAATACTACAAAAAAGTACGCCTAGAATCAAAAATAATCGCTAAGTAACCTGGTTGTCAATTTAAACAGTAGTAAAAAGTATTCATATAAAATAACAATAGATAATAATATTATCCACCTGAATATCGTGCACTACATGTTATATTTATTATCAATAGATGTCTGTAAGTATCACAAATTAGGTGGATTAGTTTAGGTTTTAAACAGTTTGTTGACATCTCGTTCATTTAATGTCTACCTAATTAATAGGTAGGTATTTTAAATAATATGTAGGAAACTTACAATATATTCTCAATTTGCACACTTCAGTAACAATTACTAAAACGTGCCCTCAGACCGAAAATTAATTTGAGCGGATATAAATTTACATTAAATAAGAAGTAGGTAGCGATGAGCCGAGACCTAATAGGTATGTATACTATAATAATTAATATTATAATATTATCTACATTATTGTATAATTTATTTATGATTATTAAAAATATCTACGCTCAGTAATAATAGGACAAAAACTTACCCATCGTAACGACGTTTTATTCTGTTGTAATAAATTATTATAAATAAGTGTTAATATTGAGTTCTGCGGATGAAATGTTCAGTGATTTAAACATACTCAATAAAAATATTAAATACGTTTATATATAATTAGATAGAATATAGGTATGAGTGTATGACGAATACAATTCTCACGAGCAATCCACTTATTGCAGTTGTTGATAAAAATTTGAACTGATTTTACTGATTATCATAGTATAATATTATTATTATGTTGAAATTTGATATGCTTCAAAATTATTATTTTTTTGAGTGGGTATTCAGCATTTGAGTAGGTATATACTATACTAATACACTATAGGTACTATCATAATAATATACAGAGTGTCCTACAGTATTATCCATCAACTCTATCAATGTTCGTTATTTTCTAAATTGTTTTTTTGATCGAATTTTATGAGAGGAGGACACATGTGTAGAGACAAATTAAATTTTTATTTTCACCCCTCAATCACTGAAAACAATTTTTTATTTTTTCACTTTTAAATTCTGTGTTTAGCGAAGAATGTATTGGTTTTACAGATGTTATTTTTTTTTATGTGATCACTTTCTAGCAGAATGCTTACTCCGATTATTAAGTATAGCATATTTTCTGAAAAGTAAATGATAAAGATAAATGTTCTCTGAGTGGTACACTAAAAATATTTTGAAATTCTCATTAATATTCGTGATAATGAGGAAAATCTGGTTCTTTAAGTTAAAAAGATTAAAAATAAGGTTAGCATTGGCAACCGTTTTTATTTATTTTTCGTTATTATTAAGTTTCTATTATTTTAATCTTTTTCAAACAATCATTGTTGTCATGGAAACGCACATAGTTGTAACCATTTTATTATAATCTCTCTATATATAAAATAACATGTTCTGACTGACTGATTCATCATCGCCTAGTCCAAACCACTGGATGGTTCGGGCTGAAATTTTGGCAAATAAATAGCTATTTTTGAAAATTCAACCTCTAAGAGGGTAAAATAGGGATTTTTAGATATATTTGGTATGCATATCTAGTTGCTTATTTATTTATTTTTGTTTATTCAAAGGTTACCTTGGTATTACGGAAAAAAAAAACTATTACAATTATTATTATTACTATTATTTACCGTACTAAAATTTCACAATAGAACACATTTCGTCCACCGAAGATGGACTACCCACTTTTCACCTATTTGTTTACATTTAATTCTGACATGGCCAAAATCAAAAAAAAATATGGGTAAAATAATAATAATACAAATTGGCACGGGCAACGCCGGGCGCGGGACAGCTAGTATGTCATATATATTATTGACAAAGCAACACTATCAACTGAACTCAGCTCAGAATCGTTTTTTCGTAAGGAATGGTTTATCATTGCTTACAAATATTCATTAAATTCCCGTATGTATTCAACCTTCCCAACTTGAAACTTCCCATCTAAAACAATGGCTGCACCTACGTGCGAAGTATGTCCGTCATTTTAAAATTAAAATGATGAAAGGGATGAAAATAAAAATTAAATTTTTCTCTACGTGTTTCCCTCTCACGAAACCCGATCGAATAAAAAAAAATGTATGAAAAAATTAATATTGACAGAGTTATTAACCGATGTATATAACACTATAAGATACTCTGTATATATATACCGACTATGCTGTGTAATTCGTATTTTTAAACTATAGAATGTTTTAATTTTTCAAGAGCGGTGTTTAATCGTGTTTATATTATTTGATATTTTCTATTGACTATTATATCTTTATCTATCTATGTTGTGTAGGTTGTTTTTCAGAACCATAAAGGTAGGTACCACCTATACCTATCTACATAAAAAAAAAAATTGTCTACATCTCGAATGTGTTTGGTAGGTATTCATACTTATATTTAATTTATGAACAATATTCTTGATAAAAGTTGTATAGATAAAATGAGTTCCGATATCTTGAGTGTAACGCACTTGGCCAGTTTTCTGTTATATTTTATCATATTTTACCGGTTGTACATTTTTTTTTATCAGAACATTTTTTAGAAGTTCAAATTGGCCTAAGTTTATCTTTCAAGTGAATTAAAGCATAGCATAATCAAACATTGCATACAAATTTCAAACAAATTCTTCTTATGTCTAAACTTTTAAAAATAACTGATAAAGTTGATTACCCTTTAAAATGTATACAAAAAAAAAAAAAAAATAATACAATTTCTATGATAAAAAACGAAAGATTTATTTAAGGTAAAGTGTTAAAAGTGGCCAAATTCAGCACACATTTACGATGTATTATATAGTAAATCGGTAGATAATTAATTTTAGTTTTAATAACCGATGAAACTTTAAAAAAAATAATTGAATAATACATAGTATATAAGAATAGTACATAAGATTGTATGGATTTTAGATCTAATATGTATTATTATTTCGATTAGTTCATCTAACTTTATATCTAAAAATCCAATGGCACCCAAACTATGTTTTTATGGTAAAGCAGAATTTAAAATTCAAAACCACCATTCACCTCAAACACTTTTACTCATATAATTATATACTTTCCAACCCCTACAAATTTCTAACTTTTATGTTTATACCCATTTTATTCGACGGTATCTGGTATTTGAATTGATCGTGACTGAAAATTGGTCACCAGTTAAATTGGACTCGAGAAAAAAATGAATTTGTAGGTATTTATTTATATAGACTTCTCTGATTTATACTACACAGTTATTAAATAAAATTACCAACAATTATTACAAAAAATAATAATAATAATAATAATAAAAAGTATAATATAAAAAAGTCAAAAATATATAAAAATAAAAATAAAATACAAAAATTGTTTACCGCTGTAGTTGAAAGTTATGGGCTATTTCTTTTGAACAAATCAATTATATCTCTACTGTAAGAATCCGATTAATTTTAGAATGCCATTCTTGATAAACTATTCAAATTGTGTATAAGTTATTAAAACATGTTTATTAAATGTATAACAATAAATTATTTAATTTTATTAGTAATAATAAATTATTATTGTATTATTATAGTATTAGTATTTTAGTAGAAACTGGAAAAAAATCTTCACAAATTCTAAGTCTTATAGTTCCGATTATTTACGCGAATTTTTTACGGCGACCAATTTGTGACCGCGATCAACTGTTCGCGATCAATTCACCGCGATCCCTATTCGACTATCCTAAATCCCAATTACTGGGAACACTCACCCAAAATATAATGTATAGCAATTATAAGGTTATATATAATATTAGTAGGAAAACGTTACAAAACGATATAAATACAGTATAAATATAGGCGATTGGATTATTTTTAAAACTTTTAATTATTTTTAAAATAGCTAGGCAAGACAATAAACTACAAGCTTAATAAATTACAACAAAATAATAATTATACTATAGGTATAATATCGAGTCATCAGTTGATCTAATAAGATTATAATAGTACAAATTACTTCATAGTATGTGGAATAGATGAAGTTATAGTGATGGCCAGGGAGATGTGGAGGACGAAAATAAGAGCAGCTGCCTCTCCCCCCCCCCCATTATAGGATTATAATGAAATTAAGAAGAATTAAATATTATTTTGTATAAATATTAAATATAACTATGACCATGTTTTTTTAGTCAAAAACAACGTTTTCAACTTGATTTCAACATGATTTCAAAATACATTTAGTATATCTTTTGAAATGTTCGCACACGATTCGCTAATTAAATTCCGAACCATATGATGAATTTGATTGTCAGCGACACACAAGTTGGCAAAAATCTTCAATTGATTTAACACGTATGGGTTCTGTAATAAATACAAAATAAATCAAGATTAAAATATTAATTAATCTCTTATTATAATGGAAAACCCATTTAGCATACATAACTCTGATAAAGGTACATACGAATAAAATTGATTTGTTTTTCACTAAATTTACTTGAATTTGTACACATATTTAAAGAATAAACGATTTAGGCGAATTTTTAAGATCAAGTTTAAACGCCGGGCAAGATTAGGTTATGGCACCATCTAGACAACGACAATGACGAGGACGTCGCATAACAATTATTTCAGGAGTTACGTGCAAGTTTTCGAAAAATAAAAATTGATCAATTCAAATACATTAAAATTTATTTTAAAACAAATTTACAAGTAATTATTACGTAATAATTCAATTAGATTGAAAAAAAATTAGATTGGTTTTCGTTGATATTCTTCAAAATGATTGTAGAAACCAAACACCATTTATTAAATACAAGTCGCCAATTATTATAGAATTGACTTCAGAGAAGTTTCAAGAATTTCTGCAGGGACACGGCGTTTTGAAATGTTGAACTCATTATCGAAGGTATACAATAAAACATTTGTATTTTACAATATTGTTCTTTTTTTAAATAAATGTAACTTATGTAACACCTACCTATACTTAGATATAATTAGGCTTTAGATTTATATGCAACAGTATATTTTTATTTTGTTACGTCCAAATGGAGTTTTAGTGAGAAATATCCATGTATTATTCTAATATATATGGTACAATTTTTATTTCGTATAATTATGCATATTTTGAATAAAATGCATATTTTTACATATTTTATCTTCAAAAACGTAAATAAAAAACAATGTATGTTTTTTGACATATTTAGTTACACAACGTTAAATGGAATATTATCTACACAAAAATATCCAATGATATTAACCTTGAATATTATCTGAATAGTATCTATTTTTGTAGGTACCTATTTGATCTATTAAACATTTTACTTAAAAAAATTACCTATTTTACGACTAAAATGAATGGCTAAAGTTAGTAAGTGTTTTGACATCAGGGGCATACGTCCATGGGTGGGGGTCTTAAGACGGACCTCAGGAAATATTGATAACATAACTGTAGATAGTTACAGCATCTATATTTTTATCTCCCCATATAAAAAATAGTTCCTGCTTCCGATTGCAGTTATCTTGGTTATCTGCAGTTATCTCGATTGCAAATAATATAGCGATGTAACATGTCAAACATTATTAGTTAAAATTTAAATGCTTTTGTTTTACATAGTTTACCACTAAGTTTTTATATTTTTTTTAGATTCTAAGCGGAACGAGGAATATATTGATTTTACAATGATGTTTATTTTTTAATCTGTGAACAATTTTCCTACCAAAAGTTTTGCTCCGATTTACGAGTATAACACATTTCTGAAAAAAAATATGATCGAAGAAATACTTAGAGGAATTAGATTTTTTATTTTCCCACCTGTTTTCATAATAAATGGGAAAAATCGGGAAAAACATGGGAAAACCCAGGAAAAAAGGGAAAATAGGTACAATATTAAACAAATAAGTATTATTAAAGAAAATATATAATGCATAATATGTAATTATTTTATTATAATATGACATATTGTTGACAAAACAATACTATTTACCGAACTCCGCTCAGAATAGTTTTTCGTTAACAGTGGTTAATCGTTGTGTACATATGTACATTCAATTTTCTCTTTACCTTCCGAACTTCTTACCTATAGCAGTAGCCCATCCATGTGCAAAGTATGTCCGTTTTTTTGAAAGCATCTATAGGTATATTATAGCCTATAGGTTACCCAGGGGTGGCTAAATGGTCAATCGCGGATGATTTAAAGGTCGATTTCCTTTTGTTAGAAATTATTTTTATATAATTAATAGATAAACCACAATAATTGCTGACGATTTTTATATTTTATTGTCAATTTATCAAGTCACACAATTTAACATAATTTATTCCGATATATTTAACATACATTATCAGTCTGTGATGAAAAACATTATTTAACTATGCATTTTAATTTTATTATTTTTAAATATATGTGTGACTTATGTTTATTATTAATACCTATTAGGAGGTAATTTATAATTATTCATGGGAAAACTGTTTGAAGATATACATTATAACAATAGATCCAAGAGCCAACTGGAGAAAAATAGCTGAGGACAAAGAGTGGTATAGAAGAACTCGTTGTACGGAATGGTCTTAAAGACTGATCCCCCCCCCCAAAAAAAAAAAAATGTTTATAAATTACTTGTTAGAAAGTCGACCCTTAAAGGAAAAAATATATTCTCAGTAGATCTTTATTAATAAAAGTTTGGCCACCCCTACTATATAGGATATGGTTTAAGTAGAGACGGATTTACACAATTGCCGCCCGTAGGCAAATTTTATTTTGTCGCCCTTTGAACTTATTAACAGGAAAATGAATTTTTATGTACTTATTTAACATAACTACTAAAAAAAAATAAATCATATAAACTGTTCTAATTAATTTTCTAATCAATAAACAAATATTGTTTATAAAATATAATGTTTACCCATCACTAATATCCGAATATTAAGCTTATCCGCCTTAAAAGTTGTGTTGAAAATAATCGAATGTCTTGTCAGAATAAACATATGGATAATACCTATATTAACTCGGCCGCCCTCCATTTCATAGTTTTGAAGAAAAATGTTATAATTTTATCTTTCGAATAGAAAAAAGTCGTATTTTTGTACACATATTGTGTAGTAACCATCACTTGATAAATATGAATAGAATTAAATTAACTTTCGGATTATGAAAATGTATCACTATAAATTATAGTTAGGTAGTTTTCTTCAATTGTAAATATTAAAAATTACCTCAGAAAATCTAAAAAAAAACCAGTATTTTCAATAAAATATTGGCGTAAAATTGCCGTTTCTAAAAATTTGCTGCCCTAGGCAACTGCCTACATTGCCTGACGCTATATCCACAATTAGGTTTAAGCGATGTTAGATTAATATTTTGTATTTACTTACAGAATATATCTGATACCAGATATATTATCCAGCATTAAAGAAAATCGTGTATACATGTACGTACTCGTGGCACGGAGAAGCACGTATCGGAAATTTGATCGACAATACTCCTGTAACACGGAAAAATGTTTAACGTGGGACGATTGTAGTGTGGTTCGCCGTATTCGCCGACAATTTGTTTGAGTTCTGGTCTTTTCGTCACGACCTCCGAGTAAATATATTTTAACGCTCCATCGATGACCAACCTCATCTAAAATAAATAATAATATACTACCAATAAAATATAGTTCACATACTGTTATTGTATATTAGTTTTTTCATTTATTTTTAATAGTTATAATATAGGTACTTGGTCATTCTGGCGTCGTTTTATTTCAAATTTTTCTATTTCTCGAGCAGTCATTTTTTTGTTGGCATTGTGACTGAATATTTTTGAGTTCTACAACAGAAAAAAAAAAACTGTGTAAAAGCCTCATAAGTGTGTATATCTACTTAGTATGTTACTTATTGGTTCATTTTTAAGTATTAATTTATGTGTATTACCAATTTTTCATTATGTTTCGATACCGCGGGGGTTTTCTGATAGCCAATAAACGTAGACAGCGATTCAGTTCCGACGTGATAGTCACCATAAATCATAACGTCGCTTGTAGTGACATGGTTTCTGACATAGCTGAAATAGTTGAAAATAGTTCGGTCTACAGTAGAGAAATCGGCCGATGTCTGTGAAACAAAACAAATGTCTGCTATGGTTAAAATCGAATAGAACCCACGGGTTGGGAAAGTTTAGCGTATATATATTATATTTAGAGGAAAGTTGGGTATAATGGGCACCCTAGGGAAAATTAGCTCCTATTTAATAAATGCAGTATATGGAACATAGTTTTATTTCTGAAATTAAACATTTGTTTTTTATAACTTTATCTGGACTAGAAAGTTAAGAAAGTCTAGGAATTTCCGGCGCTGGGCTAAAGCCACAATATTCAAAAACAGCTTCATGGTGATATATTTAAAAAATTAGTTATAGATAGGGTTAACAGCAAACATATCACTTTTTTTTTAATTTAAAATAAAAACCATGATTTTGTAATAAATTTAAATTGCCTACGTTAAATAATAATTAAAAAAATTGTTTATTAAACACCTACTTAGTCAATTAATTGTCCATTGTTGAAGTTGATTAATCGAAAAAGTGTAAAAAATTTCGTATAGGTAATAAATAATTTAATTTGGGGGTTATTTTGTAACACGTTATCTAAATATATTTGTTTATTTATTTATTAACGGACATAAGTATCCAAATTCATAAATAATGAACACTTTGGTAGTATCTTAAGATTAAGTAATAACTAAAAAAATATAAACAAATTATATTAAAGTTACTATAATTCACATTTACAATAAATATTATTAATCAGGTTCTATTATATAAATTAATATATATAACTGAATTAAAAAAATTAATAAAATAATTTTTATAATTTAGTTGGTAACTTCATAAAGTGCAGAATTTGTGTCCTACTTAAACTATTTTGAAAGGCATTATAAAAAAAAATACCCATGTAAATTCGAGAAGTCTTGAGCTATAATGTAGTTAACTAGTGGCTTATTAAGGATATATTGGCTCTTTGGCTAGTCTATGGCGCGGGCCCTACCACGGGTACAGGAACATATTTAATTCCGATTGAAATTTTTACTTATTAGCGTTTTTGGTATGGATGCTCCTGTGGTGCGGACTCATAGATCCCTGTAGTTATAATTAATAATAAATTGATAACCATGTCATCGAATTTAACATGATATTATTTATCATACCTCGTCTAAGTTTTCCATCCATGTGACACTAAATACATCTCCTAAGTATAATTTATGACTTTTATACCCAACGTAATAACATGCAGTTGTCTTACCATATGGCCCAGTAGCAGTTATTGCTAAAGCTGTAAATAAATACATTTTTAAATTTAATAAGGTAATATAAATTAAATGAAACATATTAATCATTCATTTGGATATTTAAATGAAATTAATACAAATAGAAAATGTAAGGAATAAATTATGTAGTGTAATTTATTTTACTTTTTTGAATTAACATTTAAAACTAATTTTAAAGTCTTATTATGTGTAATTTTAAATGAATTAATAGATATATATTATTTAATCAACATTCAACACGATAGTCATGATATTATAAGTATATCTATACGTCTTACCGCCCATATCCCCGTTAAGTATTCCATCAAACATAGAACCAGCCTTGGGAGCTTCAACGTACATCAACATCTAGGTAGATTAGGTATTAGTAATAATTTAGAGAATATAGAATAATATATCATTAAACATAAACATTGGCGAAACAAACGCGATTGTTGAAAAGGAGTTATTTTTCGAATTTTTTTTTAAAATAATGAATGGATAGCTGCTCAATATGAAAGCAATTAAAAATAAGTACTCTTTTACTACTAATTTAGTAAAAATAGTTGAACATATTTGGATTATATTGGGAATATTATAATATATCGACCCAAAACTTAATGCAACATTAGACACATGGTAACGCAGTGCTAGAATTGGGAAAATTTAAGAAGGGGTACTCTGTTTACTTTACAAAATTAGCGTCCCCGTCACTTTTTATACCTCGTTGTAACGTCGGGGGCTATTCCCCCCACATACCCCTTACACCTTCTTTCATTAATGGTGGTAATGCCTACTTTATTCCAAATTTCAAGAAAAAAAAATGAATAAATAAAAAATATACATTTATTAATAATTATTTATTTAAATAGTTCCATAAATTATTGTAGTGTACCGTTTTTCATCTTTTAATTTAACTATTTTTGGATAACAAGTTTATTCTGCGTGTCACTTACCACTAATTATCCAAGATTTTACATATAATTGGTATGAAACTATTAGTGGGTAGACCAACACGTTGTATAAATAATAATGAAGATTTATGCTTCGGGGTTAATGCATTTCTTTTCCCAAAAAATGACCTCTCTAAAGTACCACCCCAAGAAAATTTCCTTTCAGAAAAGGGTCGACATCGTATACATCGGGGCAAAATTTCTGGTAGAATTTTTGTATACAGTATAAAAAAATAAAAAATAATAAACCCCTTTGTAAAACCAATATGCTACACTCAGAATTTATTAAGAACCTTGGTTATAAATGTTATCACATGCCGGTTATGATCCTAGGGTTATAATTCTATGGTTATGGCGAAAGTTTATAACTAGCTGCTATTATAATATTTATTTTACAATCACAATATTTATTTACAAGTCTGTTATTTAGTTTCTCATGAATTTTCAAAATTGAAAAAGCATATATTGTCTTGATATTTTTAAATAATATCTTGAAAAAAATAGTAGAGGTATGCTACCATTTCTTAAAAATTAGTTGAGGTACTCATTCCCTCCGCGTCCTCCCTATTCGAGCACTGCGGCACTGGGTATAGATTATAGGTTGCTTTTGGGTTATTTTAGTTTAATTTCGCCACTGAACATAAATACATTTAATATGTATATTATACAGTAAAATACTATAAATGGTATTCGAATATCGTAAAAGAAATAATTACTTTTGAGTATTTTCCGTTTGCGTACATTTCACTAAGAGCATTGTTTAGTTCATCGGCGTATAAGAGATCGTAGGGGAGAGCCAGTGTTCCATGATCACCGTAACCGACAAAGTTAATGAAAATTGTATCATGAGGTCCTCTTTATAACATTTCATTAAAAAAAAAAAAAAAAATCTAATTTAAACTCTTATTCAATTGTATACAGACATTTTTATGCATTCGGTTTTTATAACCGTATAAATTGGTTCGCTATTAGATTTGCATTCATCAGTGTCTTGCAATGTTTTTCAAGTGTTAATAACTTGATAATATTTGCATTTTTACTAATTTTTTTGGAACCATGTTTTGGTTAAAGAACAATTGAATACCGGTCTCATTAAAAGAAAATTCTATTGAAAAAAAAATTAAAATATTAACAGTTGTTGACACTTAGAAAACATTACAGGGTACCCTTTAAAATTTTTTTCATTTTTTATAATTTTGCTTTCTGATAAATTGATACAGTAACCTATATAAGTTTAAGCATAATATTATACAGCGATCAATTCTTTAAGACACTCATTATCTTGGAAAATATTAAATTTTTTTTTTTTTTTTTATTATTGTGTTAACATTTTTAACTTCCATTCAACCCGTTGACGCGGTATTTTACTTTTAAGTTTGGGTAGTGATGTAGAATAATGTAATATTATTTGTGTGAAGATCCGACTCGCGAATCCCTAGGTGTTTAAGAGGACGTTACACATGCATTTGTTGTTTCTGTCTTACAAACACAAGATATAATAAAAACATGCTTACGCAGATTACACAGAAATCGCTTACTTTTGGTTTTAGAGTCAAAGCACCTACTATGAAATTAATAGAGAAAAATATTCCAAAGGGAAAAATGTTGCTTTTTTTGAAAAATTTATTTATTTTAAAATTGTTAAGGAATTAAAAAAAAAGTTAAAAAAGTAATTGTTTTTAAACAGTAAATTAACTGCTATATTCGGAGAAAATTGAAAAAACGCATCGTCTTGCTCTCCAAAATATTGTTCTCTTTAAATTTGTAATAGATGTTTTTACTCTAAAACCAAAATTAAGCGAGTTCTGTGTAGTCTCGTAAGCAAGTTTTAGCTATATCGTGAAACAACAAATACATGTGTACCTTCCTCTTAGAAGCATACAGGCATATAAGCAATTATACATATGCCGGCGGACACTGACAATAATGTCGCCACCTAAAATATATTCTCATATACAGTATTTGTTATAGTTAAATTAGGTAAAAAGATTAATTATTTAATTTCAGTGTTTATTATCCGTACCCTTCAACGACTTTGCCGCTTCCAACTGATTGCATTGCTTCTTTGTTTCCAGTGATGATGTTTAAAAAATTCGTACTATTGACGTCCTGGCAAAAATAGAAAAATAAACATTGCAAGTAATTTATACATGTTTATCTCGGTTAAATAACTATTCATCGGCTAACAAAAACGTGTCTTACGTTCGCCCTGTAGTCGATTTTCACGCCTTTGTATACATTATGACCATAAGGCTTATTGTAGATTTTGCCTTTTATTGGATTTCTTTTAGTAAAGACAATAATTATACATGAAAACGTAAAAAGAAATTGCATTAAACTATTAAGGAATAATGATTAATATATAAGTGATATTATAACCTTCATAGAAAACGTCTACATAGGCTATTATTTATAATGATCCTATACCCAAATAGGCCATCATTTTATTTTATAATTCAAGTCATTTATAATAATATGTAAATGTATACTTTTTATTATATGCAATATCATCCACCATCATAGTTATAATATTTTCCTCTGGTATTCCGTTTGCTTTGACTATTTGGTACGCATGACATATATCTGCCTGCATTAATAAAATAAAAAACGTATATTTTAAATCCGCATCGTGTTGTATAGTGATGCAGACATCTAGTTCTATACAAATAAATACATTTTATGTAATAATAATAGGATAAAATCTTTTTTTTGTTCATGAAATTGGTGAATTCAAAAAAGCATATAGGTATACGTGACCTGGTGCCTGTAATTTTCCCATCCGGATGAACCAGTCACCAACACTACCCATTGTTTCCCTTCGTAAACAGAATTCCCGATTTTCCTCTTGGTTTTTGGGTTCGAATCGTTTTTTTGTACACTTCCGGCAAAACATCCGATGGACAATGCCACCATTGATATTAAATACAAAATTCCTGTATCAATAAAAAATAGTGCACCTAGTATTTATTTTGGATAAATGTATAAATTAAGTTATTTAACTACTAAACTTACATTATACATCATAATATATAATAAACAACTATTCAAACATACACCTACAAATTATAATAGGTATTTAACCAGAGCATCACTTCTCTGGTACATTTTGTTTTACAGTAAATTGTAATATTAAAGATAATTATTATACCTATCGGTATAATATATTTTATCTTAGTAGAATATAATATATTACTTTACTTTCCCCAATTAATAATTATTTAAAAATATCGGTATTTTAATAGTTACTACAAAATGGGTATAGAACAAAACAAAATTAAAATATAAGTCATTAAACTAAATCAAAAAGTAGGTAGGTAGGTGTAAAAAATGAGAGTACAAAATGCAATTTAAAAATTGACTCATCTACAACCGTTGCAAGAATTCGTTATTGTACTCGTGTAGTGGAAAATTTAGAGAGGGCAAAGGAGTCATAACCCCGGACGGAAAAATATCAAGGGCAGATAAATTTAAATAATTTTAGGAGGCAATTTTTAGAGGAACGGAGCAAAGTTAAGGTAAAATAAAGAGAATGTTTAAGTTGGGTGTATGCATAAAGTATACGTAATTATGTAAATGTGAGCGTACAAATCCTAGACGTATCTTTAATTAATCTTATTTAATGATGTGTATTTTGAGTGTAGTACAACTTGTTAAGGTTAAAAATTAGATATCCTTAAGAAAATTCGTTTATACAAACATTATCTTAATTTTTTAAATTGTATTCGGTTAATTTGTCATTAAAATATTCCGAAAGTACTATAGTTACTCTCGCAAGACACAATATAAAATATTAGCTAGATAATTCTCAACTTATACAATTTTAGTTATCAAACGAAATACACTATAGAGACAAAATAATATGCATTGATGTATTTTCTTAAGGTTATATATTATCTGTATACGTATAGAAGATAATTAGAAGATAAGATTAAGTACCTTATTAGAATAATTCTGTAGATTTAACAATTAATTAATTAAAGTCCCCTATAATATCCCACTTTCCCAATGACTACATACAAGTTACGGTATAAGGCAATTTTTGAGATAAGCATATATAATAGCTGCGGTCACTCTATTTATAGTGTATTTCCTAGTTGGGACCATGCTTTAAAATGTCCGAATCATTAGATAATTTAACATTTCTTAAAATTATAAGTTTTAAAGCACACAATTTTCAAAATGTGATTTTAATTTTTTTTTTTTTAAACTCGATATTCGATAAAACAATTATCAATATCATTTTTGTGACGGTAAGCATATTTTAAAATATAATATATCTACACAACTAATAAATGTAGGAACGCCTCTATTTATCTGCAGTATTGAATATTAATACAATTTTAATAAATACATATACATTAAATATTTTAATAAGTTTATATATAAAAAAAACCTTTAAATGACATTTTTAAATACTATTTTAATTATTAGATATACATAAAAAAAAGTTAATAATTTTATAAGAAAAACGAACATTTTTGACCATACCTACTCAATAAATAAAAGTGTACACAATCTTAAGTCTTGTTATGAATGGGGAAAGAAAGTGTTTAAATATACCAATTAGTATGAAGACCGCAATTAGTAGGTAACCTTTTTATTGGGTTATCGCAACTAGTAAATATTGAATTTAATTTGTATTTGTAAGCAACGTTAAACCATTGTGATTCGAAGCGAGATTTGGATATAAATTATGCTTTAAAAGGCCGTAATATTTACATTTTTGTCAAAATTTGATATTAAAATTCTTAGAAATAAAACAATATCTATACTATATTTAAAATTTTTGTTTTTAATACAGTACGACTTATTATAAACCTTCTGTTAAATTTCCATGCATTTCTATTTAATCTAATAACTTATCTACAGAGTATCTATCGAATAAAAATTACATAAAAAACACGTAACATAAAAATGTCTATAAATAACTAAAAACTAATTCAAATGTTTTAAAAATGTTACCATGTCTAGGAAAGGCAAATACAAGTTTTCTGTCCGAATTTTAAATCCCTACAAATATTTTTAACTATATTATAATAAAAAAACAAAATTTAAATTGTACAATCTGTACAATTTTTCTGTTTTCCTACGTTCGGAAAATCAAAAAATTACTTCCCTAAAGTACCAAGTAGATAAAATTTCCTATCAGAAAAAATGCTATACTTGATACATGGGAGCAAATTTCTGGTAGAAAAATTGTTCACATAAAAAAAAAAAAAATATTATAAAATCTATACATTCTTTGTTACGCTTCCGAAATAATATAACAATGAAAAAACTAGATACGCAGTAAGTACAAAAGGTAAAACAAAAAACTGTAAATGAAATATATACCTATATAGGCAATAAAAACAAAAACGATTTACCTTACTTACTTAAAAACTATTTTAAAATCTATATATGAACAACGAAATACAAGATTAAACAAACTCAAAAAACCTAAAAGATTACCTGCCTAAGCAATAAGCACACATAATATGTATATATATATAAATATAATATAAATTATGACAAGAATATCGATTTAATTAATTAATAGATTATGTAAGTTCAGGTGAAAAATCTTCCATAAAACTTACTCATTTTTACTTAATATTACTTCGATTAGATTTGATATCTTGACTTGTTTATAATATGGCTTCACTTTTTACAATGTTATAAATAAAACTGTGTTCTAGTTTTTATAGTTTAATATGGTAATAGAGCACAAAAAAAAAAAATGTATTCTATGTCAAGTACGTCCTAGAATACTAGAAAAACCTTTCTGATGAAAGCAAATAAATGTCGATGACTAATTAAAATATTTGTAATTAATATAAATAATATTAAGTAGGAATAGGTAGGACCTATAAGTTTTGAAGGATATCTGTAAAACTGATGCATGTAACAATAACACATTATGTTGTTACCGAGAAGGCGCAGGCTCTGAAAATTCATAATATATATTATACAATGTATTTTCTATACAATTTCAAATGTAAACTGAACCGCGTGTATATATATAATGTATAATGTAAATTTATTACTTATATTGAAATGTTTTTCCGAATTTTATTAGTATTATTTTTTCATTTTCTATCTGCGAGCGAGTTTTTTTAGACCAGAAATCGTGCTCGAATCAAAAAATGATTTTGGATTTAGTTAGTGCATTGAATATGTCAATGTTTGATTTTTTAAGTATTTTCAAAATAATTGGAAACGATTTACAGAGCTTCGCGGCATTATCAATTTCATTAATTAATTTTTTTTAAATTTAAAGAGTAAATTATATTGATTTTCTAAAAGAAAATCGTTTTTTGATTTTCTGTGATGTAGTTTAGTTTTCTTAATGATTAGGCAAAACTGGAAAAAATGTAGGGAAACGGGAAAGTTTACGAAAATAACGATTTCATTATTTTAAATTTTGTTTTTTTTTGTTCTAAATATTATTAGAGATCTAGAATTTTTACAAAATACTTATTTTGGACTTTTCTAAACGTGGTAAAATTTTTAAAGCGTTCTGTCGATTTTTGAGCTATTTGTAGGCATTTACGATTTTCTAGATTTTCTTTTTGTTAGTTTTTATTTGGTAGGTATTATAAGGTACGTTACACTGGTAACGTATCTGGTATTATATGAATACAGTTGTTTGACCAAACAGAAACAATTGAATATTTTTAATTTTTATTTGCTCTAAATTTCACTGTCATACCAAAAAAAAAAAAAAAAATTAATTTTAAATATACTCTGAAATGCAAACAAAACATATTTTCAATGTTCATTCAACATTTTTCGATTACAATATTTATCGGGCGTCATCCGATCGCGTCCTGTTTAGAACTTTTTAACTCTTCTTGAGTTTCGATTGCTTTCAGTTTTAGCTGCTGTGCGTCTGATTTCATCCTAAATAAAAAATTGAGAATTTCGATTGTTTCCGGTAATATTATTCAAACTACTAAAATTCATATTATATTGCATGTGATATTAAATTAGATATAAAATTAATAGATTAGAATTTAACCTTTTTTGGTATATAAACAGCGCGTTTTGGGCACAAGTTATTAAAGACATTAAACTTATTATACCGGGTGATCCATTTAAATGGGTACACTCGTTATCTCGGAAAGTATTAACTTTTTCCGGAATTTGTTTTATAGAACATTTAAAAAACAAGCTGTTCGTTAATTTCTGTCACCCTTATTTTTGGGGGTAAAACCACTAACTACTTTTGATTTTTAAATAGCAACTTATATTAAAAATTCCACAAATAGATGAAGTATTAGTTAAAATAAATTTTAGCGTTGTAATTTTTGATTTTTGTCAAGTCCTTGACGAGATGACAAAAATCAAAAGTGGAATAAAACTTAAAAGTGGAATAAGTCCTTGACGAGATATTCCACTTTTAAGTTTGGGTTGAAGGAGTATCATTTGTGTGGTGGTACGGCGCGCGGCGTGTTAATAATGCATCACTACTCTCATGTGGCTACACACACGTGTGAAGTATGTCCGTCCTTTTACAATGTGTATATTTAGGTTAAAAGCCTATATATAAAAACCACTGCCTATATTGAAAAAAAAGAGCTGATATGGGTGTGACCACTGTTGTAGTTGGGCAGTGGGAAAGGTGGGATACATAGTTATTTAATTTATACCTGTAACCAACGATAAACCATTGAAAACGAAAAACGATTTGTAACAGAGTTCGGTTAATAATGTTGCTTTGTCAATAATATATATCATATTAATATATGGTATATTAATTACATATACATTATATATTTTCTTTAATAATATTTATTTAATATTGTACCTAATTGCCCATTTTTCCTACGTTTTTTCCTATTTATTGAGAAAACTCTTGGGTAAATCAATGGCCTCTTTAAAATACCACCCCAGTAAGATTTCCTTTCAGAAAAACTGCCATACTTGAAAATTGGAACAATATTTCCGGTAAAAATGTTGTTTACAGAAAAAGAACAATAATAAACATCACTGTAAAACAAATACATTCCTCACTCCGCTCAGAATCTAGAAAATCAAAAAAAAAAAGGATCCTAATATTATAAATCTAATGTAGTACCTATATATATATATATATATATATAAATATTTATATTTAACCATCATTTACTAAACAAACTGATATATTTTTAAACACCTACCAATAATAATTGTTAATAACCAATGCCCTTCGAGGTATTAATTATATGAATAAATAAATAATTCATTAGCAATATACATTATTAAATATCAAAAATATTAAACATATTTTTTATAATTGAATAATATCAGTTATCAGTATTGCATATTAAGGCTTCGTATTTTATTAAGCAAGTACCCATTTGTTTACTCCTGCTCAGATATTACTTATAATATTCACTTATGCACTTATACTTAAACTGATAACTGAAATGAAATTATATTTTCATTAACATATACCTTATCATAAGGCTATTTTTAAATTATACCTCATACTTACCTGTTTAAGCACTTAACAGTTATTACTATACAAAATGTTTAAATTTACTTTTTACACTATCTACACTTGAGTAATATTTCCGCGAAAATAAGATAGCTTAAAATGTAATCTTATCATGCCGTTGATTTCTTTTTGTTTTCTATACAAATTTAGTTGTTTGGAGTCTTAAACGCGTTAAATAATACATCCTTCGTATTCGTTGTGAGGTAAAGTTTTGTGGTAAAGGTAGTTGTATTTAAAGTAAAATATTTAATGAATTTAATTTAATATAATCAAGTTTTGGAGTAAATAATATATTTTAATAATGATATAGTAAAGTGGTTGAAATAATCCCAAAAACATATTGTCTATTAAAATTTTAAAACACATTGATTATATTTTCTGAAATATTCACACACGATTTAACGATAATATCTTTAACCACCTGATTAATATGTTTGTCAACGGCATATAAATTGGCAAAAGTCCTCAATCTTTAAAATGCATAAGGATTCTGAAATTCAGAACAAGACAAAACTTTCATTAATTTATAAATAAATATAAAAACAAACTTGTATAAACCAAGGTAAAATTATGCTCAATTTTAATTACTAACGTAATCAGTAAGATAAACTAATATACCAGATGAAAGTTTATTTTTTTACAAACTTCCTAAAAAAAAAAATGCAGTGTGCAAACGTACTTTAGGCACAAAAAAACAGCATTCAGTAATTTGATCCAAAGTACTCCTGTAGCATGGAAAAATATTCAACGAGAGATTTAGTTGTTTAGGTCGGTTGATTTCACTGATTTCGATTTTTATGTCCGGTTTCGTCATCTCAATTTCCGAAAGTATACGCCGATGTATGCTATCGATTATATATCTCATCATTGCAAAATAATTTATACAGATCATTTTACATAATATACATCAGTAGTATAGATACTTTTTAGATACAAATATATATATTATGTATATATAAATAAATAATATACATATAAAACTAGATTTAACTTATATTTGTTTAGTTAGAACCAGTTGTGTTTGAATTATATTAGTGAAAACTAGAATTATCCAGAGAAAATCCGTAATTTTTATTTTAATAGTTTAAACTATTAAATAAAAAAAAATAGTTGCGTAAGACAAACATACACGTATCTAGTTCACTGTTTTGACGCAATTTCTGCTGCAATTTAATTTTCTTTTGACTACTTAACGACCAATCATATATTCAATTGTATGTTTTGGCAAATCTCGGCTAGAAACTGTCGTCCCTTTAAAAAAAAAAAAAAGATTAAACAAATTATTTTGCATGCTGTTTTAATCTTAATTATTAAATAATGCATTAACTTATAATAGTATATTATATTTTTTCCTGCACGTTAGTTAATATTGCCTTAGATGCTTCCTTTCTTGTAGGCTTGAATAACCGATAAACGTATAAACTGTTTTACTTACTAGCAGCCTTTTGCTTGCTATAGAATGTGACGTCACTAGATTTGGTTCTTTACGATTTGGTATTGGTCTAAAACGGTTATGTTACTACTGGGTGACTTCAATTTCATTTGCTAAAACAATTATAAATACTATCTGAATAAAAACTGACATTTGGAAGTCTAGGTTTGGGTCCAACTTTATTTTACCATATTATAATATATTACTACATAGCTAGGGATAAATTCCCAAACTTTGTGTTTTATCAAATGATTAATTATAAATTATATAACATATTATTATGGTATCTTGTTAGTCAGATACAGTCTCGTTTCATACATTGAAAACAAAAATGTTTACAATTTTAATCTTTTAGAAATAATTTACTAATTTCGATAATAATTATTTGACAATTCTAGATTCTGAGTGGAGCGAAAATGTTAATTTTTTTATCTGTGCGCAACTTTTGTACCAGAAGACTTGCTTAGATTTCTACTTGTAGCACATTTTCTGAAAGGAAATCGGAGGAGGGAGGTACTTTAAATATGTATTTTTTGATTTTCCCAATAGTTTCCCCAGCAAATGTGAAAAACCGGGATAAAACATGGGAAAACCGGAAAAGATGTAGGAAAATTGTGAAAATCGGTACAATATTAAACAAATTTTATTAAAGAAAATGTATAAAGCCTTTTTAATTATTTTACTATAAAATGACATATATTGTATTGTTGACTAACCATCCTATCAACTGAACTCCGCTCAGAATCATCTTTTCATAAGTAATGGTTTATCTTTGCTTACAGATGTACTTTAAATTTCTGTCTATATCCCAACTTTCCACCTACACTAGTGGCTACGTCCGTCGCCATTATCTTACTTTTCTTTATTATAGGTACTTATAATTTTCATTGTCTGATCAATTCTGATACTTGAAATTTTTAAGCTTAATGAAAGGCAAAATTTTTAAATACTTAAGGAGTAGAGAAGTAGCCTGTAACAAAACCAAGTTTGGTTTTTCTAATATTTTAATGCAAATTGTCAATAAGGCGATTTGTCTGAAAATGTTAACATATTTTAATCGAAATTTACACGAATAATGTCTTTGTTATTCTACTTTAAATACTAAAGAATAATAACTGCACTATTCAAAACAAGAAATTATTTGTATCATTTTGTTTATATGTTAAAATTTTGAAAAAAAAATCATCAATTTACATTAAAATATGTAGGTCCTCATTTGAAAAACAAATGTTCTTATCTCTACGAGATACTCGTTGAAATAACTCCACAATATCTAATATCGTGAGAAATTTAAGTGTGAAAAAAACTTAAAAGTTTCAAAAACAGAATTTGAATTTATGTATAACAAACACATGTCATAACTCCTAAGTCATTTTTTTGTTCAAGTGTTTATGAATTTTAGATACAATTATTTTAAGTAATAAAAAAAAAAAATGCTGAAATTATTTAAGTTTAAAGGTTTTGAACAAGTTTGATTTGATAATATTATAGTATATAGAAATTAAAAAAAAAAAAACAAACACAGATTAACAACTTACAATAATTATTGAGAAACAGTAGAAAAAAAATGTTAAGGTTTAGACAAGTTAATAATTCCCATATGGTTATCTGCTTAATAATCTAAATTGGCATTGTTTGTTTGAATAATGTCTGATGAAGATAAATTAAAGAATGTCTTAATAGAAATTGTGAATAAAAAACGCCCTCTTAAAAGACCAAGGACAAGGTGATAATACACTGTAGAAAAGGATATGTGACTGGTAGATGGTAATGCAATGTTGGATTATACTCTAGATAGAGAAAAATGGAGAGGTTGACTAGTGGCAGATCAGGTCTTAAATGGACCACTAAGCTGTTAGAAAAAGAAGAATGTCTGATAAAGTATATTAAACTTCTAATAATTAAAATTAATTAATTATATACAATTTTGTTTTGTTTTCATAAGACTATCAACTAGTTGGGCTGAATTTCATAAAAAGTGTGAATTACAAATTAATAATTATTTGTAGTAAAACAAATATATGTAAGTACAAGTTTCTAATGATAGTGTAAATACTAATGTTATAATATAAAGACATATCAATGTACAGTAAGAAAAAAAAGAAAAGAAATTCCTAGAGTATAGATTGTTTTGATAATAACTTGAGTGCATACTTATTCAAATTAATAAGGATTTTAAATATTAGGTTCAATCATGTCATCAATATCGTTTTGCACCATACATATGACATATCATAGAAACTTTTGACGTTATTAAATATAATTGTGTTAGGTGACAACTTTCTATAAAATCAATTTGTATATTTAATTACATTCAACTAATGAAATGATGGAATCATAGTTTATTGTTAATCATTTTCTAGATTTTTTTTTCTTTATGGGATGGTAATATTGGAATTTTAAGTAGAATAAAACCAGCAGTTACATTTTCAATTACAAATGTATGAATAATTAAAGGTTATACAATTCCATAATTTCTTCTGACAAATCTATTCTTATAAGACCTTCTGTATTGTCTGCCATATATTTAGGAAGGGGTAACCAATTATCACATGTTCTCACTAATTTTTCTTGAAACCAAACTTTATTCAAAATCATTGTTTTTAGTGTATTATCAAAACCTATAGAATAATGTATTAATTTAATTAACCAAAGACAACTAAATAAAAAATTGTATAATTTAATTAAGTCATCAAATGAATCAGCCTTCAGTTTTTCAATAAGATTACCATCAAAAGGTTTAATTTAAAAATGTTTATTGTCTTTATTGTTAACTACTGTTGGCAATATTCTACCTGTCTGAAAAAATATACCACACAATCAGTTCTAAAATGCATCAATTGTACAATCTGATATTATATTATAAAAATAAAGTTATTAATTATGATGCTATTTATTTATTTTAATTAACACCATGTTATACTAACTAATATTTTTCTGTATATTCTTCAATTGCTCATTGACCCCAGATCCCAGATAGCTTAATGTAATTATATTTTATATTATACTACAAACATATCGTGTAAGTCAAACTTCTGTTTATGAAATATATATATATATATTTTATCGATTTCATAAAATGGAAACTTTTGTTTTACATATTGTGTAATATTTTAAATTAATTACATCAATAGGTAATTTTTCGTGAAATCAAAATAATAATATTGACACGATAACACGAATCATATTTTTAAATTGTAGGAATCAAGATAGGTAGGTACTGTATAACGGCAGTAATGGTAGTAGATAATATTATTATTATGTTATCGATAAATAATCACATCAATTGTATGAGTGCATTCTGGAAAATGTCTATATTATATTATTTGTGTTTTTATAATGGCAGTATGTCTTCTGACTTGATGCGAGCTATCATTGTTTATTACGAAATAATTATTTGAGATGAAATGGAATTTGATTAATTTTCTGAATTTCATGAAACATTAAATACTTACTACTTGGAAAAACCTGGGAAAAAACCACCTACCAAAAATGAGGTTCAGTTGATGATTGAAGATAATTTAGCAGCCAAAGTAAATATGTAAGCAGTCGTTAAAATGAGTGATTCACTTTTCTGCCAACATCGACCTTATCTTTTACCACCAGTATAATAATATATATTTTTAAGGGACAATGTTATTTAAATTGCATTTGTAAACATCAATGTGAAATAAAAGGTATGTTTGTTTTAAATCTTCTGTTAAGTGTAACAGTCGTTGCCATAACAGTCATATTCTGGTCATATTTGTAATAATAAGTGTTTACCAAATTAAAAATTTAACTTAATTTAAACTGGTCGCATTTTTTCATAAACAATCAGAGTTTATTATAAAATATATTATAATTTAAAAATAATAGATTCATGTAATCATGTTAATGTTATTATTTCGATTTCACGAAAAGTTGTATAGAAAATCACCAGACTTGAATTATGTTGCATTTATAATTAATAAATTTAAAAAAAAATACTTCGCACTTAGGTGGATCAATGTTGTGAGTGAGAAGTTGGAAAGGTAGAGAGGAAATTTAATGCATATCTGTACACGACAAATAACCCTTGTTAATGAAAAATTATTCTGAGCGAAGTTCAATTAATAGTATTGCTTTATAAAATAATTACATATGCATTATTATTATTATTTAATAATATTTGCTTAATATTGTATCTATTTTCTGGGCTATTATCAAATGACCTCCCTAAAGTACCACCCCAGGAAATTTCCTTTCAGAAAAGGTACCATACTTAATACTCCAGAGCAAGATTTCTAGTTTAAGTTTTGTTCTATTCTACACTCAGAATCTACAGACAGTTAAAAATATAAAACGAAACAAACACACATTATAGTAAAACCAACAAATCCCTTACTATATTATGAATCTAAAATAGTACCTTTAAACTAAAATTATAATTTGAATAGGTACATAACAAATACCATTATTTGATGTTATAAAATAGTTCAATGTATACATTTTAAAATATTTCGTAAGTCTCATTTATTACAAATGATGATATTTTTTATTTATAGCAAACCAAAGTGTTCTTTGTCATGGTAAATAGACATTTGTAATGCAGTGTTGAACTTATTAATACTTCATAAAAACCTTCCATATAATCAAAGTGCTGAAATGAAAGTTATATTAAGCACATTATAGAATAAATTTATATTATTCATCACAATCTGTATTTTTAGATTTTATCTATGAAAATGAATCAATTGACATCTCAATTTGCTGAGCTATCACAAACAATTAATGATAAACTTGAGAATAATGCATCTCATACTCTAAAAAATATTAAGTAAGTTCTAATTTATATTAATAGTTTTTTTATGCTTAAAAATTGAATGATGTTGACAGTTAAAGAAATATTTATTTTAGAAGCATGTTTTTTGAGAACTCACAGCCTGATTCAAATAATACACCTAAAACTCATGTCTCAGGTGGATATATTGCTTGTGAGAAATTTAAATTTGTATTAATTTGTCAAATATACCTGTGTTTAATTTAGATCAACTAAAAATGTAAATTGAAAGAATCAAAATCAAAAATTAATCTGTTCTTGCAATGATGTACAGTTTGAAGATTATTATTATTATTGTATTTAATTATAGGTAATTGCTTATTGTTAAATTATATTATTGTGGTTTTAAACATTACAGAATTTAACTGATGACTAAATTCACAAAAGAAATTAAGCAAACCTATTGGTTTTAATGGAAATGTTAAAACAAGAAGCATTTTTGGACAATACACAACAACATTCAAGCATATTGAAGACATTTTGTTATGAAAAGCAATAACTTTTTTAAAGTCAAATTTAAATAAACATTAACTTTTTAGCTTTATTATCAAGATTTTATAATACTTTTTAGATTCTTAATGAAGCTACAAAGCTGATAAAGCATCACTATCAACTGAACTCCGATCAGAATCAATTTTAGTAAGCAATGGTATAAAAGCTAATAAGGGCTATGCCCCCATAATCCCTTTTGCTCTTAAAATAAGTAAATACACATTTCGTTTACAATTAAGTACATAAAAATGTAGCATAAATATTTTAACATTAATTAATTTGCATACACACTCGCATTTGTAGAAAAACTGTATTTTGTTCTGTACATTAATTATGAAATACATGGATAAAATATTCAGTTCATACCGTGAAAAATATCAGGTGTTTTGCAGGTGCTAATTTTAAACTTGGGTGTGTTAAAGTCTCCCTTGAGCTTCCCCCTACTTGAGCCTATGCTTATTATATTCATTCTTGCTCCAGTTTTTCAATAATTTTTCGAAACTAATTATTCAGATCTTTTTAACGCAACAGATACAATCTGGATCATTAGAAGAAATTCTTTTTAACTCATTGTAGGCGTCAGAAATGTTATCAGTGGAAAAAAAATAGTTAGAAAGAAGAGATTATACTGAAAAGAGTATGAGTGCTCAAATGAGATATCAGGGAGATAAGATGTGTTGAAATTTGAAAACAGACGAAATATATTTAGAAAAATTAGAAGCTGACTGGGAGCAAGTTCTTTAGATCACAGAAATCACAAGGATAAAGAAAGAGCTGAGGCTTAGTAGTAATAATGAGTCTGGTAGGTAGTTAGGTTTAGAGAGGTATTTGTACTTAGTTCTTAATCTAGAGAAGTTATTTTAGTCAAAAAAAAAGGTTAGGTTAGATTAGGTAAAAAAAAATAATAAAATTAACATCATTGTAAAACCAATGCATTCCTCATTTTGCTCAGAATCTAAAAATGAATGTTAAATAGTAATAGAAATTAGTATTTAATGAAGTTTGTGAAATGTATTATGTATAATAAAACGTATGTTAAATATTATAAATAAATAAAATAGTAATAGTAATAATGATTAAATTGATACAAGTGTATGCCTACTATACTTGCTTAGTATATCAGTACATTATTTAGGTTACACAACGTGCATTACTGTTTATCATAATCATAGACGTATAAATTAAATATATATATCGCTCTCTAGCGGAGCAAATTATATTGAATCATTGTGATACAGAAAACCCATTATCAGGTATTGCTCATTTTACGATTATGATTTAATTTATTTTAAAAGTTGGCAATTCTAAACAGAGAAGTTAAAAAATATATTAACGAATGATATTATTGGACGGTCTACGAAACAGTTACCGATTATAGTTTTTAGCCACTCAAAGAGATTATCCAAACCATGATAACATTATAACGTGGGAACAAGAACAACGCTATTATGTTTTATGTTTTCCATGGTGGTTTCAATACCCATGTTATGTAGTTTTGAACTATTCAGTCGCCAATTCGCCATAGCTGCCAAGTGCCAAGTCTGTGTTAGTTTTTCTTTTACAAATTTCAAGTGAATAATCTCGAAAAAAGGTAATTTTTTAAATATTATTACGGACAATGCATCATTTTCATTAAATTAAATTTATTGTTTTGAAAATTCGATTTGTTTTTTTTTTGTTGCAATTCGTAATCTATTTGTTGGCCAACGCTCATATTGAGAAATGTAAATAACCTCTATAATTATTGTAGTTCGACTAAGGTGTTTATACTTTTCAAACGAATTTGTATGCAGGTTGTTGTGATGATAAATAAATAAATAGGTTATGTTCACGATGTTTACATGAAAACATGTAATCTATTAGAACGTACTATCGCATATTGGGAAGTGGGATTGGGCAAAGCAGTTCAGTGCCTGTGTGAACCTGCTTCACGTAATGTCTGTGACACACATTACTACTACTTGACTAATTGTCAAGGAGTTTTCGTATTTCATATTATTTTATTTCAATATTACTTGCATAATATTACATTGAAAGAAAAATTAATTGAAGCCGTTCGTCTACACTAAATATTGTACGGTACTAGTACCATATTGATTACATGAACTTTTATCTTGATTTTTTCTTTTGTTTATTTACACACTTTTCCATATAGATTTATTTCGTTGAATACAATAGGAAGAGTTCGTCCATTTCTTTGTCAAAATCAGACTCGGAACTTGGGTCTAGTTCGTTTAGTTCGCCATAATTTGTACGTTCTACGACCGATTAATTACAAATATGAAAAAAAACTGCATTTAAATGTGTGGAATCTAATCTGCCTTGCCCAAACTAACCTACCCTGCGCTGGACTGCTTCTCAATGTGTACCTGGGCTTAAAGCCTTCATCATTTTTTTTCTTGTTCAATTCAATAACTACAGCCATTGATTAACTAAAAATCTAAATATATTTTTATCAGAATAATAAATGTAAATTAATTAATTTAGGTATACTATTAAATAATGTGAAATATACTAATCCGAGCTGTGTATTTAACTTTCATTTTTATAAGATCATTATCGTAAAAATGTCGGGCAAACTTAACTAAATCATTACCTTCTATATTAAATACATTTGAATAATATTCCCATTTTATTAGTGATTGTGATGGACTTATCTAAAGTATTTAAAATGAAAATAATATTTAATTAATGTTTGGTTATTTAAAACTCTTTATATTATGTACCTATAATTATTTATTGTGAAATAACCGTTTTCAACAAACGTTTGAAAAGACATAAACCTTCCAAGAAGAACTAAAAGAGTTGTTAAAAAATGTTTTAAATTGTCCATTTTTGCTGATACATATATTTATAATATGGTTGAAATTGACAGTTACATAATGTATATTATAAATTTTTTTACTATCAAACAACATAAATGTTTACCCCTAATGTACTCCACATTGTTTGATTCACACCATAAACATGTGTTACTAAAATTAAAATAATGCCTACCAATATTTGTTTGATTCTGAAATATGTATATATTTTAGATTCTGAGTAGAACAAAGAAACTTATGGTTTTTTAAAGATGTTTATATTTTTTTTTTTAAAACAACTTTTCTACCAGAAGACTTGCTTGGATTTCTAAGTTTTCTGAAAAAAAAATTGTTATGTGGAGGTACTTTAAAGATATAATTTTTTGATTTTCTTAGGAGTGTTTTCATCAAATTTGAAAAACCAAAAAAAAAAAAAAAAACGGGAAAATATAAGAAATGTAGGTATTAGTTAAAATATATTATGGCCTTCTTTTTTTCTGAGCATAACTTTTCTACCAACAATTTTGCTTCAATTTTATTGATAGCTATGTTTCTAAAAGGAAATTTCACTGGGTAGGTACTTTAAAGAGGTGATTTTTTAATTTTCCCAATAGTTTTTCCAGCAAATATAAAAAACCTTGATAAAACTTAGAAAAACTTGTAAAATTGGTACAACATTATTAAATAAGAATTATCATATAAAATATATAAAATCTATTTAATTATTTTACTATAAAATGGCATATATATATTGTTGACAAAGCATCACTATCAACTGAATTATGCTCACAATTGTTTTTTCGTAAACAATGGTTTATCGTTGCTTACATCTTTGGTATATATTAAATTATCTATAACATTGGCCCCATTATTCTAGGATATCTTTTCATTAAACTTACCTTTCACACTTTCAACACTTTGAATGTTGCTACTGACCAAATGATTCTACAAATTGTGAACTAAATGTAGATTTCATATTTACACACTTATTTGATATTTTTGCAAATTGAAGTAAGTTAATAATATTTTAAATATCTTTAATATTCTCTGGCTTATGATTAAGTAGTAAACCAATATTTTTAGTGAACATTTATTTACTGTTTGTAAGTATAAAGACACTGAAATCTATTTAATTATTTGCAATAAATCAGTTTCAAATTACTATAAAATTAATTATTAAATTAATATATAAATAAATAAATGATACATTTATATATAAAAATAAAAAATTAATTAATTAATGAATGCTTTGCCTGGAGTATTATGGTATGTGTATTGTATGATCGGTTTCCAATTCAAAATTCATCATCAGGTATATCAGAGTAAAAAGTAAAACACGACTGAATATAAAAAAATAAATGAAGGAATACATAGAGAATAGATTATACAAGTTGGCTGTTTTACATACAAATTATTTATTTATTTTATAGAGATTATTTAAAATGAGTTATTATTAGACATATATATGTTAAGAAGTTTTAACTATTTGGTTATTATTTATTATTTAAAAAAAACATAAATTTTTACTTTATTATTTTATTATTAAATTAATATTTTTTATTACATTCCACCTTTTGTTACAATTACTTGAGAATTAAATGTACACTAATGGATTGACTTTGAAAACATAGGTATGCAATATTTTAATATAATGTAATGATTTTTGAATTGTTTAAATGATTATTTTAAATAATTTAATCATTTGCTCACTACTAACAGTTGAAGAATTATTTAAATTTTGTATAATGACATTACATAACTGGCACTTAGTACTTTTCGAATCATTTAATAAATATTGTGGGAAAAAATAAGAAATGTTGCAGTTATATTAATATGTACGTGATGAGAGTCTGCCATAAAGTAACTCCTATGTAGCCTGCTTTCCAGCAGCAGAGGTTTTTGGCATCTACCAAAGTTATTATCATAAATATATAATAATGTTTATTGTTTTGATATATTTATTTTTTATTTCACTGGTTGTTAAAAATTACTAAACCTTTACTGCTATTACAAAAAATTATTAAAACAAATCAATAGAATCATGTGTGTATACTGTACATCATATTATTCAAGTTCTATTAAATGATTTTTGAAGGGGTCTTCATAAATGACAAAATAAAATTAGGTGATTTAAATTCGTAAAAGGTTAAAAACTACAATATTAGTGCTTTACCACTACTATTTTAACTACATTTTAAAATTCCAAGAATTAGAATTAGAATATATGTAAAATTTAACTAAAAAAATTGGAGGAGCATACTTAGTGAATCATATTGTATATATTATAAAATTGTAATTTACATAAAATAATATTTCTATTTTATTTTCAGAATTATGAATCAAATCTTTGCGAAAACAGTGTCTGGGAAAACTATCACTTTAGATGTAGAACCATCAGATTCTATTGAATCAGTTAAAATTAAAATTCAGGACAAAGATAAACTCCCATCAAATAAACAACGATTGATGTATGGAGGAAGACAACTGGGCGATGATTCTTGTACATTATCAGACTGTAATGTTAAAATGGGATCTACACTATATGTGCATCTTAGTCTTCATGAAGGTACTTAGTAACTTTGACATCTTTAAAAAATTAAATTCTCAAAAAAAAGAAAAGTTTAATGATATTCAAATTATGTGTGTGTTAATACTAGAGACAGGATTTACCATTCTCTTGAAATCCTATCTTGAAAGTATGTAAAAATATTTAAAAAAGTAAAAATGATTTAGGGATTAAAAATCACCTAAATATATGAATATATTAAATCAAGTTTTTAACTCTACAAAAATCAAAATTTTAAAACTTTACAAAATTGTAAAGTTATTTTAGATTCTGAGCAGAGGGATAAATGTATTGATTTTATTATGATGTTTATTATTATTAAAATTTTTCTTTTTTTTTGATAATATGTACAATGTGCATTGTACAATTTTATTAAAATTTAGTTGCTTTTAAAGTGGTCTTTTGTGGATTTAAAAATAAAAAAATTAAATTCTGGGCCCTAATTATTACACAATTGTAGTTCATAAATGTTAACTTTAAAACTAATGTTATTAGCTAAATGCAAATAAATTATTTCAAAACTTAATTTTAATTCCTATACCTATTATTAATAAAATTGAATTTCCCACTTCCTGTTCATTCTGAGTTATAAATGTATTGGATATAAGTTTTTAGAAAGGAACTTATATTTAATAAAAATATGAATTTGTGACAATGAAATTTATTACCTCAAATAATTTATTCTATAGCTATTTTAGTAGCTTTACCTACTTTATACATAGTATCTATGTGATTGTTATTTATGCATATTAACAGTAAATCACAACATTGTTTTTTTAATTATTTTTTATTTATAAGCTTTATTATGTTCTAGATTTTGAAAAGCCGGTGGCCAAATAAATTTGTTTTACAATGATATTTATTTGTTTTTTTTCTTTGACTAGAAATTTTGCTCTAATTTTCAATATTATTATTGGTTCAAATGTCCTTTTTAAATTGTGTTATAGAAAACGAATATTACACATTCACCCTTATATTTTTTTTTCAGCTACTTTTATTATAGTATTTCTTAGGTAAATGTACTAAATAAAAATACTTGCTTGTTTTAGGATCAACAAACCTATGTTTAGATAATATTGTTAACATACCTCCATGTTGGAAATTGACAACATGTAATATAATACAGTGTGTAAAGGCTAAAATAAAACACTCAATATCCATATAAAACTGCAACATTCTTGCATAAATCCATCCAATTTAAATTTGTTTTTTTAGTTACTTGTTAGATTTCTTAATACTTGTTAGGCATTTTTATCATGTTATTTGGCGTATATAATGTATTATAATAAAATATTCATTGATATTATTTATATTATTTTAAATCTGTATTAAATATTAAATCATGATCAAATACCTATTTATTGATGAATAATACATTTAAAAGGGTTTAATTTATTTTTGAAAATTGACTAGTATAGGACCCATAGTACATATTATCAGATTTTTATTTTAAATTACGCATTTAAATATACCTATATACCAGGTGATCTATTTAAGTGGGTTATCTTGAAAAGTATTAACTTTTTTGGAATTTGTTTTCTAGAACATTAAGAAACAAGCAGCTCTATAATTTTGTACTTATGTTATTTTTGTCACCTTTATTTTTTAGGGTAAAACTACTGCTTACTTTTGATGAGTAGTGAAGTTGTGGAGTATCATTTGTGTTAATATGAGCCACTATTCTCCTCCAACCAAAACTTAAAAGTGGAATATCTGGTTAACTGTTTGACAAAAATCAAAAATTTCAACTCTAATATTTATTTTAATTAATACTCCATTTATTTATGAAATTTTTAATTGGTTGACATTTGAAAATCAAAAGTAAGCAGTAGTTTTACCCTCAAAAATAAAGGTGACAAAAATAACATAAGTACAAAATTATAAAGCTGCTTGTTTTTTAATGTTCTAGAAAACAAATTACAAAATAAGTTAACACTTTCTGAGATAATGAGTGTACTCACTTAAATGGATCATTCAGTACTATACACATTCTAAGTCTAAGAATGTTAGTAAATAAATTCAGTTGTTTTGGTTTATGAAATGGACCAACTGATCAAGTTAAACATATTAATACCCAATAAAAACCTTGAGATACAGTTACCTAGTGAAAATAACTTTAAAACATAAAAATAATGTACTCTAAAATACTAATTGACATTTTTCTAATTTCTAATTTACTTTATAAACAGTTTTATATAAATATATGATGGTTGATACTTTTTTAATGTATTTAATTACATTATTTGCATTACTATTTATAAAATAATTTATATTATTTTACCTTTAAGTATTACATACATTATATGAATTTAGCTGCACATAAAAAGTAAACAAATAAACTAACACTACTTCAATATAAGAAAAGTATTTGCTAATAAAATAATTATATAGTTCCATTTGTATAAAACTGGGCTTAAAATATTATAGACTTGTATGAAAAAAATTCTAAAACAAACATTTTTTGAAAATTAACTGCAAGTCAATGTTTAATGGGAACTCTTTTATACGCTATCAAAAAAACCTAATTGAATAATTGAAACTAATTTTAAATTTAGATACAAGGAATGTGTTGGTTGTACAATGGTGTTTGTTTTTTTCAGTGAACAGCATTTTTTCTAGTAATTTTGCTCAGATTTTCAAGTATAGCATTTTTTCTGAAAGAAAATCTGACTGGTGTATTTGTGGAGGCTTGACATTTTGACTGAAAACTTATATTTGCCTTTTCTGGAACTGATAAAATTTTCAAAACATTTTAGTTATTTTTGAACTATTTATAGACATTTTAATTTTGCGAGTTTTGTTGGTAATTTTCATTGGGTAGGTGCTCTGTGGACAAAATTGTTAAACCAATCAGAAGTGGTTGGAAATTTAACAGAAGGTTCATTCTAATCAGAATTATAATTTGTACTTTCAAGGTAAAAATAAATACTGAGTGCAATGAAGAATCTTTTATAAGAATTTTAATACCAAATGTTGAGGAAAATTGTAATTATTAGCCTTTTAAACATGTATAACTGAACTCCTTTGAAAATCCATATTAAATACATTGAAATTGATCATAGCCTTTTTTGTCTCTATTTTTTATGTTTTATATGTTAATTCCACTCTTTCTGTTCTATGTTTATTTGATAAGAACAACAAATGTCACATTTTGTTAAATTTGCATTATTGCTGTATATGTTTTTACAAATACTGTCACCATTATTTCACCATGTTAAATTAGGCCTTGTGCTTGTATGTAATTAAAAATTAATAATAAATAGATTATTTTTGGGATGTTAAATAGAACAATTTGTTTGTTATAAAAATCAGTAAATACTTAAATATTTTTATCTTATGTATCATAATATTATAATTCATCATTATTTGACACATATTCAATTTCATTGAAAAGTCATTAATATCTTCTTGTCCTTCATGCATATTAAAATATATATTTTTTTTTATAATAATAACAAATTTTGAATAAATGAAAGGAATTCACTGTAACTAAAATAGAAGATTAATAACTAGGACTAGAATAATACATTAATTACTAGTTTTAAATGTTAAATAATACCATTTTATCAAAACTTATCTAAATTGTCTGAAATTAGATTAGATTACACTCAGAATCTAAACAAAATATAAAATGTAAAACTAATTTGTTGATTCTAAAATAAAATACCACAATACACATGTGTTTTCTGGGTAGAGGCTTATTTATTTGGGGAATTTTGCCCCTTCGAGTCCCATACAGGAAATAGAAGGCCATTTCTTCTATTAACAAAGTGTAAGTTTGATGGAAATTGATTGATATTAATTATCAATAGTATTTTGATGGTTTAATTTACATTTATTATAATCTTATAGTAGACCAAAAAGTGATTATTTTATAAATTTAAAATACATTAATTATAGGTCTTAAAACATTGGCACATGTCTGAATGATTATATCTTGAACCAGTTGGTGTATATGTGTGTTGATGACACATGTATTGATAAATATTCACAACTTTTTTAGTGTATAAGGATTCTGAAAACATAAAACTTTTGTTAAAACACATTACTTTGGTATATAATAACAAACTTTAACAGAAGAAAGCAATGTAATATACAAATTATATATAATTTAAATATAACATTGTACACAAAAAACGGATTTAGGACTAGGCTTTTATTTTTAAGACTTGTTAGATTTAATACCTATCTGCAAAATTAATTTACTATCTACGAAAAAAAATTCTATTTAGTTGTTAAAAATACTGTTGAACATAAATACTGACATTAAATAATATTTATTTTTGTAAATTAGTTGTTGGCTTTTGCAAATTTATAAAAATACCTAGGAATTAGTTGAATATCATTCATACATTCAAGTAAATGAGTGATAAAACTTTACATTATATTATGTATAATATTTTTAACACTCACTGTGGGAGAGGATAAGAATATTCTCATGATACCCCTATCTGTGTTAGGAAAAAATAAATATGGTTTCGGTAGTTAACAGCCAATAGAAAATTCTGTCAAACAGTATGAGAAGTTCTTAACAAGAATTTGGCTGATTGTCTCATTCTGCTGGGACAACAGATGGGACTGAAAAGAAGTATGGCGCATGATGTTTCGTTGATGATGTAGCTTTGATAGACAATGTGGAATAAGTTAACAGTAGATTTGAAGAAAAGAGAGTAGCACTTGAAGAAGAGTACATTTTTTTTTTCATATAAAATATTATAACATTATAGTATTATTTAAAATATATGCAGGGACTTGAAATTTCAAAAGAAAATTTATATTTGGTTTTTCTAGATATGGTAAAATTTTCAAAATATTTGATCAATTTTTAAGGTATTTGAAGATAATTTAATTTTGTAAGTTTTGTATGTAATTTTTATTTGGTAGGTACTCTGTAGATAAAATTGTTTTACTAAACAGAAAAGCATGAAATTTAATAGGAGGTTTAATGTAAGTCAGAGGAATTTAATCTAGAATATTTTGATTTTTAATTTGATGGTACTTTAATTGAAAATAATTTCAAAATTTACAATATTTTTGCTTTTTACCATACATTTTTTTTTTTTGGTGTTTTTCGTTAAATAATTTTTTTCATTTAGGCAAATATTTCTATTCTTAAAAGCAGCATCACAACAGACAACGAATTTCGCTGTGGTGTTACTTTATTTGAAACATTTTTGGACATTTTCAAGAATTCATTGCATAGTATTTGTATAATTTAATTTTTGACTATTTCTTGGTCACCTTGGCAAAAGAACGCGACTATTATACTACATTACCACTAAGGTGAAAATTGTTTTTTGCATCCAATAATGTATCATTGATTTATAAAAACAGGTTTACACATTTAAAAATTATGTAAGTGTAGTTTATTTTTCATATATTAATATATATACTTTATTGTATATATATACTTTATTATACTTTATATACACTTTATTGTTTTGATGTAATTTTTGTTTCATTTTAATGTGTTTTTTTTTTTTTGATTACTTATCGTCAACTGTAAAAGTAAATGTTCAACAAAATTATTTTGCACGTTATAATCTTATTTATCAATTAATGCATTTGAAAAATCGTACATTTTTCGACACGTTCGTTAATACTAATTCAGATTTTGGCTTTTTTTTTCATTTAAATCTGAATAACCTATAGATGTGTAGAGTGTATTATTAAGAACCTTCTTGTCGCCATATAACGAAACGTAACTAGTGTTGACTTGACTTTTAACGATTTGATATTGTTCTAAATTCTAAATTCTACAATTGTGTTTGTACAATACAAGGCATATATTATACAAAATATACCCAGACCGTAATTTACGTATGTATAAAATATATCCGGGCAGTAATTTTTACATAGTTTATGACCATGACCTTTTTTCGAGGACGCAATTTACCGATTCTGTTTTTGAGAACGGAGATGTTTTAGTTTTTTAAAAAAAGGTAAGTACAGAATTCGTAGTTTCATACCTTAAACCGTAAAAGATAGCCAAAATAAAGGTCATTTATATACCTGCCAATAGAAAAATAACTTTAATGTTTAAATATTCTCCTTCCAATTCGTTTAAAATGTTAACGATTGTTGAAACTTACTATTTATATTATTATAACAAAATCTATATGAAAAATTTCTTTTAATAAATGTTATATTATACAAATAGTTAAAATAAATATTTACCTCTTTGTAACTGCCTTTTGCATGAATTTTGTTAAGTGAGCGTATCGGTTGATCCGTATACCGTACGAATACGTCACACGGTGTGATGAAACCCATTTCTAGCTTATATAAATTAATTACTCTAAAACTATACTACATAAGATTGTGTGAGACATCAAACCTACCATTTTTAAGGATGCTGAATCCAAATTTTGCATCAATTTTTTAATTTGGCCCTTAATTAAGTGGGTAGTAGGGGTAAATAAACAATTATATTTCACATCAATTTATATGTTTATAAAACCGCTAAACTCAAATTTTGCATTCATTGTGTAATTTGTATGGTCTCCTCTTTATAGGAGTTCATAGGGGCAATATGGAGGACATTCCTGCAGTATTTGAAGCCACTTAGAAATTTTTCAATGGATTTATTTACATTTCTATTACTTGTAACCCATTTTTTTTTTTGATATAACTTAATATTTTATCTATTAAAATTTTCTCGTGTTCTCCATTTCATTTATCACCTTTATACTTAATTTTAATTATACCCAGTAAAAGTGTTCTAGAAGTAATATTTTATGGGTTTAAATTTTCTTTTGGACGCAAAAAATTAAATACTTCTTCATGTGTGTAATTATTAAATCTTCCTTGACTTGTACTGGTTAAAATAAATATAATTTTAAAATACCTATCACGTTATATTTATAATTAAATGTATACAAACTTTCAAATTCTTTATTCATTGCACAAAAAGTTTCAAAAGTAACATACATTTTAATTTTATAAATTTATATTTTAATATTATTGATCACTTTAAACTAGAAATACTGTAGTATTGTCAAACGTACTTAATCACCTGTGCCTGCAGCGCGGTGATAACGATTATTAATAAGTATAGTAGGCCGATTCGTTCGGTATAGAGCAATCAGTTCAGTGACCTGTCTGTTGTGCACGCTTTGTGAATATTTTAATAAAAACCTCTCAAATTTAGATGAATGATCTAGATAGACGCAAACAAATTCTAGTTCATTTCAAATATGAGAACATTATTTTAGTGATAGTGTTAAAATGATTCAAATTTAATTTACAGCCTATTGAAAATGTAATATGTATAATTTTCATAAATTATAATTATTTAATTCTATAAAAAAGAAAATACAAACATAATTTATACACAAATATATGTTTAAATTGAGTAAATATGTAATTAAATTAAAATATATTAATATTAAAATGATTGCAGTGGGATAAAATTTTAAAAATAAACATCAAAATTGTTTATTATCGAATTAAATATTAAGAAATTTATATAATATTGGGCAGCAAAAGTTACGCAATTTGTGGATATGTTACTCTAAATTATTAACGAGACTAGAAATATATCACAAATATAGCGTAATAATTTACGATAATCGACATACAGGAAACACTTTAAATATTGACTTTTGTCAAGCTAGGCATGAGTTTCATCCCATTGTGCACCATGAGAAAAACTCAATACTCTTAGTCCGCCGTGATCAACACAATTAGTGTCTTTTTTTGGGTTTTCCAAATTCTTATGGAAACTAGTTGAAAATCAAAATACGACTTTTTTAATAACCAACAAGATTTAAATTTCAACAGAAAAACTCCCTTATTATTTTTCGATTGAAGTAATATTTCTTGCAGAAATTATAAACTAAAAAAATAGTTCAAAGTATGAAAATAGATAACACCGCAACACGCCGTTAGATTGATAATACTCGCCGCTCCAATTTTTCTTTGGTGCATAATACAGAGACCAACAATTTGTGGGAAGGAATGCGCCGTCCATACAAATCTTATCGCGCTGTACCACTCCACGAAGCACAACGCGCCGTGGCTTTATATTTAGAATATTTATTTACTAACATCATTCATAGAGACAAATTTTTAAAATTAAATTTAAAAATACTTCATTAATTAGTATTTTATTGATTTATCCAGAAATTTATAAATTTACGAGAAATTATAATAAATTATAATAAAAATATTTTCTATCAATTATTTTATGTTGTATATTTAATGTGTTGTACATTTTACTACAATTTTTGAAATAAATTCGATCAATTTTCAACCTTTTAGGGGCACATATAGTGGTTGAGTTTATTATCACTAAATTTCACCAAAATTACTCTTTTATATATTGACAAATAAAACAAAAGAATAAAGTTGCTCGATTAAAATTATCTTACGTTTTTTCTTCATTTATAAAAATAAATAAAGACCACCTTAATCAAATTCATAAATTTTGTGTAGTTATTTGTTTTTGTTTATATTTGATATATAACTATGTTACATTAACTTTAGTTAAAACTTTAATTGTACCATTTCTATTATAAGCTAATTATATAAGTTGTCCGTTAATATGTCATGTCTTGTACGATTATTTTAACCAAAATAAATTTAACAAAATAAAAAAAAAATCATGAATAATAAAACCTATATTCCAGTAAATTTCCCCATATCTTGTCCGTTTTCCCCAATTATTAAGAAAACTACATGGAAAATCAAAAAACCACCCCCTCAACGCACCAACCAGATCCAAAATATTAAAAAAAAAGTTCTCTTGTCATTTTTAAGATTTAAGGAATAAAAAATCTGGTAAAATATTGTTTACAATCATGAATAAAAAATTAAATATCAAAATAAAAACTTACTTCAATTAAAACCAAAACCATAATGTTTACAAGTGCAGTGTATTGCACTTGTACAATTTTACATAAAACATAATATTAGTAAGTAGGTATAACTATTTTATGAGTTCGGGCTTAGTTTTGAGTCAAATTAAAAGAAAAAATAATAATTAATAATAATGTATCAATTTATTTTTTACTCATTTTAATATATAAATTATTACAATTTGTAATATATTATTTAAATCATAATATATAACGTGATTTTATTAAAATACGTTAAGTATATTAGTTGGAATATTTGAACATGATTTATCTACAAAACTCTCAACCAAGTAATGTGCTTGATTGTCCACGACACATAAGTTGGCAAATATCTTCATCCGATCCAGTGTATAAGGATTCTGTAAACAATAGAATTTGTAATTTTTTAATTAGTTATTCTTTTATTTATTATTTGTAACTACGAGCTAAGTAATTACGTAGCCTTCAGTGGCGTTTTGTTTAACGAACGAGAAACACGTATGTTCCGCCGTGAGTGCCGAATTTAAGCATTGTATTTAATAAACATAGAATTTAAAACAAATAATACATGTTTTTACCCTCGACAGAAGTGTCAAGTGTTGTAGTAGAAAAAACTATGAAAAAACTATCACTCTGTCATTGAGGTTGAAAACATTATCTGACATTGAAGAGGCAGTAGAAAAACTGACAAATTTCATTGTTAAAGTGATACGAATCGCTTACCCATTGGAAATTAAAGAGTTAGTTCAAAAGCGCAAAGCGAGAAGAATCTGGCACTTACCACGTCATCTGAAAGACAAAACTATATGGAATCGAATCGTATCAGTGAGATCATCCGTGGCAGAATTAAGAAAATGGAAAATGAAACATTAAAATTGTATCGTGGCTTATCTACTACGATAATACTGATTATTTATTGTAGGAAGCCATAAGACGTATGAAAAGACCTTGTGTTCAAGAACCTCCTATCTGAAAAGAAGACGAAACTTTGGCACGTAGTGAACAGAATAAAGCCGAAGTATATGCTCGTTACATTGAACGTATTTTTTCCATGGCTACGATCACAACTTTGTAATACACAGGTACAATGGCCGCCACTGGCAGTAATTCCCGTTTTATTTCAATCTGGGTGGTAATAAATATCACTGCTGGCTGAGTTTTCTTTTCATGGAAAGCTAAGGTATAAACAGTGGTGATCAATCGTGTTTTACGATCGTAAATATTACTGCTTTTCAAAATATGTATACCTAACCAAACTTCGCTCTTAATCGTTTTTTATTGACTCAAATTTATCGTTGGTCACTGGTATAAATTAAATAACTCTTCCCACATACAATAGTGGCCGCACCCGTCTCCAGTATCAGCTTTTTTAATTTTTGTGTGTATTCAATTATGAAGTGGCATTTATTTGAATTGTATCTTTTTGAAATTATAGAAATGAAATATATAGTACCCTATAATATAAGTCTCATAATGAAATGCTTATTTGGATTAAAAAATTGTACTTGCTATTACCCCAGTAGTTAGGTAAATCACACCCAAATTATAGATAATAACTAATAATTTATAAGCCCGTATCCACAGTATACGAGGGCTAATCAAAAAGTATCAAAACTGGTAGTATCATTCGGAAAAGGAGCATCGAAGAGCAGTAGGATTGGTATCACTTGCTTCTATGACTTTTTCTGAGTACATTTGTTTTCATTGCTTCTCTATAAAATTCTTCGGTTTGATTTCACTGATATTTTTGTAAAATATATTTTTCGAGTTTGGCGATTTTGTAATAAACCCAAAAGAAGAGTAACTTGACAGATTTGGAGATTTTAGAAAATTTGTCTGCATTTTTTTCCAGTTTCAGAGGGATGCAACATTTCATGGTTTTTGCCATTAAATGTCAATTGAAAAACTGAAAATGTGCCCTGGAGTGGCAGCGAGTTCCGCTTCTTTTGGATTCATTACGAAATCGCCAAACATGAAAAACAAATTTTAGAAAAATATCGTCAAATCAAAACGAAGAAGTTTATAGAGATTTTATACGAATAGATGTGCTCAGTATAAGTCATAGAAGCAAGGTTTACAAATCGTTTTGCTCTTCAACGCTCCGTTTCCGAGTAATATTATCAGTCTTGATACTTTTTGATTAGCCCTCGTATTATAAAAGAAGAAAACAAATAAGCCATGCATACCTGTGGCAAAGAAAAGCAGCTCTCTGTGATTTTATTCATAATGCTTCTATAGCAAGGGAACATATCTAACGTGAGCTTTAGATTTTTTGGTTGCTGAAGTTCACCAATTTCATTCTTGATTTCAGGTCTTATGTTCACAATCATTGAGTAAATATCATTGAATACTCTGTCGATGATTAATCGTTTCTGTAAAATGTTTATGAAAATCATTTTAGTACCTTAATCTCAAATATATTGTTTTTAATCAAATATATAATAATAATAATAATATATAATATATTATATTTTAGAAAAACTGTAATTCAAAATATTGTTATATATTTGATATTGTTTTAATTTGTTATAGTTATTTTATTATAGTTAACAACTATTGGCGTAGAATTATGATTAATATAAGACAATTTTTTTGTAAAAGCTTTTTTAGATTTTTTTAAATATTTATAATTTTATATTAATTTTTAAGGAATAAATTATAATTCAATTTTATTGTAGAAAACAAAATATATATTTCTAAAATTGAATATTTGAATACATTACTTTCAAAAACCTGCTTCAGTACCATTAATAAAGATGGTTCAAATTATTTTGATATGTTTTTTTAAAATTATAATCGCATGCAAATGTCGATGTTAATGTATAGTAATGTTTATAAACAATATAATTTTTAGTAAAAAAAATGTATTAAAATGTATTCCTAATAACGCCGAACAATACGACTTCACAATATCATAATTTTAGCGGTTTACGTTTCACACGAACATGCAGTTATTTAAAATAATATATAGAATATTTTCCCGCTCATATATCTAGTTGCTATTGATATAGACGCTACAAACCTTAAATATGTAGATTTATACATTATTTATATTCTATATCTATACTACTGTATGAAGGTAAATTCGTAATGGCAAACGTTTGACGAGACGCTTGATATGTGTTAAACTTTGAAATGTTTGTATAGTTAAAATTCGGAAGTAACCGTCTTGTTACCACTACAGATGTATCATGTACAGACATATTAAATACCGAACGACATCCGAAAAGTGTGTCTTGTTCCGCCATATTATATTAAAAAGGCAATGTTTACAAATATTAACTGATAATAAGTAATGTCGGTAATGATAAATGATAATTTTGATAAATAGTGATCACTGTTCAGTAGGCAGTAAATACAGAAAACTAAGTGGTAGAAACTAGAGAGCAGAATACTAATTAGGTTATAGAAAACATTGTATGCTTTAAGTTTTAGCTTACATATTATATTAAATAATATTCAAATTTTAATAAAAAAATATTAACTTACGAAAAAAGTGGATATTTGAACCAGGAATTTGTCTATCCAAATATTTATGAGCGGAACACATAAAAGCTATTATATTATTAAAATAATAATTATCATTTATAAACTCAGGGCTCAAAACCGCTTTTTAAAAACTGCCTAAACCTCGGTTTTGCCATTTCCTAACACCCTAACTGAAACTGAACAAATTCAAAAATTAAATATACTTAATACACCAATTGTATATTGTTATTAACTAACCATCTATTGAATACTTTGTGATAAGGAAACTGCCGTAATATTGTGATACTAATAAGTAGCGTGTACTAATACCTAAGAGGCACAGTTTCTAGTTTCTCTGTCTTAAGATACCAGATATTAAGGTTGTTAGATAACTGAGATTTACCGAACCAATGATATTTACCAAAAAAACGATATACCGGTATTTCAATGTACCGGTATTCTAAATTACCGTTAAAATACTGTCAGCTCTAATATATCATATTACTAACTTCATTATTTTGACGTAATTCCTTTCTTATTTCTTCTTTCTCTTGTTTAGTCAACTGATTATGAGCCAATTGATATTTTATGTGTTTTTCTTCTACATCTCGACTTGACATCGATATCTATAGAAGAAAAAGCTTTTAAACATGTTGTTGTTATTTATATTATATTGAAAAACACTACAAATATACGAATACATCGGTTCATAGGCATATTTACGGAATGTATTACTTTTTCTGTAGTCGTTGGTTCAGCTGAAAGCGTGGACCTCGTTTTCGGAAAACCTATATACGTTGATAACTTTTCATGTCCGGCGCAAAAATCTCCATATGCCATAACATTGCTATCAGTGACTTTTGTTCTGATTGTTTGGAACTTATTGAAAACAGTTTTTTTTTTCTCGGAAGGGTCAGATAATGTCTACAGAATGAAATAAATAAAAATAATGTTTAAACATCAAAATAAAGAGCAAATATAAAACAAATGTATCTGCTATTTTTTTTATGGTAGTTACAGTGTAAAAACGTTATAAGTAATAATATCCAGACTATGTCTCACCGCGTCTAAATCTTCCATCCATGATACACTAAAAGAATCTCCTAGACATGTCTTATATGGTCCAGATTCCTCTTCACAGTAGCAACCCCACGAGTTTTCTCTGGGACCAGCAGCGGTGACTGCGAAAACTAGTAAACAATTTGTAAATGTTTAATCTATAGGTATCAAACAATTAAATTATTTTAATTAAAATACATTTTGGCATTAATATTGATACAAAAAATAACTACAGTATAATTTGGAAGTGATTATCATATTTTTTAAATTGTACGTACTAATAACTGTGAATTTATTTGCCTATTATAAATTCCTACAAACAAAAGACATTTATTTAAGTTGATATTTTACGCACGAGTATTTTGACATAACCAGTTTATGAGATTTATTGTGTAGGAAATGTATCATAAATTTATTGAAAAAAGAATGTACGATGCGGGATCGGAAATTATTTACGTTCTAGCTTTTGGGTGTATATTATACTCTTTGTACCCACGGTTAACGGGATTACGCCACCTCGTTAAACTCTCGTATAGTCAAATTAGACCGACTACTTAATAAAATAAAATTAAAATTCAAACAATATAATATATTTAGTTTAGTGTGTATTACAGTGGGTTACCCAGGATCTCTAAATGGGGGGAAGGGTGTAAAAATACTTTAATACATCGCTGTACTTTAGCATATACTTATAGTATTAATATCCTGTACGCGTACTACTTATAGAATAAATAGGCTACTGTTTTAATTGGAAGTTGGGAGATAACTTAATTTATGATATGCAACAATAAAAAATGATGTTAACGAAAACTGATTTTAAGGAAAGTTCGAGTAAGTGTGTTTTATTTTATCCCCATAAAATCAAATGAAACTAAAAAAAGCTTAAAATTAGAAATAACTATAAATATCTCAAAAATCGCCAGAATGTTTTAAAAATTATACCACGTCTATAAAAGGCTAGTATTCCGTGGTATTTTATGATTATTTCTAACTGAATTACAATAAAAAAAAAAAGTTAATTGCAGAAATCATTATTTTTATACATTACATTGTATATACTATCCTCTCCTTTTTTTGCTTTCCTCATACCTATCTGATAGGCGTCAATTCGTTACCGTTACCAGGGCATTTTCTGACTTGTCCTCTAATTTGTCCAGTGCACCTCAGGGTGGCCATCTCAGTCCTCTCCTTTTCATCCCTTTCATGTCATCCTTAAATGAACATCTCGCCGGCCTGATTGCCTTTTCTTGCAGGCTAATCTCGATATCTTTCTCGTATAGTCAAAACTCGACAACCTGAACTTAAATCTCAACAAATGTCACGCTATGACTTTTTTCCAGGAAACATTCACCTTTTCTTCACACAAATTTTCTGAGCTATTTCCCTCTCAATCGTGTTGATAAGATCAAAGATCTTAGTTTTCATTTGTCTTTAACCCTCTCCTTCAGGCACCATATTGATGTTACTGTTGGGCGTGCTCTAAAGATCCTTGGGTTCGTAAAACGAAATTTTTCTCTTTTCTCCTCTGCTTCCTGCCTTCGTGCTTTATATTGCTGCTTGGTGTGGTCGGTCTTGGGTGCGGGGTCACCGTTTGGCACCCCTAACTGGGGTATGCACGTCGAACTGGTCCAGAACCGTTTTCTTTCGTTTGCAGCTTATCAATGTTACATTATTAGTAATATCAGTAATACCACTTATCAGTCGTATCAATGCTGACCTTATTTTTATCCCCTTTCTTTTCAATGATACACTCGATGCTTCTGGCTTACTAGAAAATGTCTCTTTCCGCTTTCCCTCACACTGCACTCGATATCACTCCCTCTTCTTCATTCCGGTATACCTCACCTCTTAAGGCCACAATCAACCTTTTTATAGGATGCTTTGTCGTCTCAATTATACTCAATTATATTTAGCCTGACCTTTTATTATCACTGTAATTTAACTTTTTGTACTAATTATTGTTCTCTTAACACTGCCCTCAAGGCGTTTACATATTTAAATAAATAAATAAATAAACAAATAAATATATTTATATGTCAACATTTTTTCCCCCTAATTATAAAGATACATAATGTAGGTATTACAACGAAAAAGCTCTCTTATCGGTTTTTATCCAAAAAAAAGTTGTTAATCAACAAAGCTCAATTTAAAATCAATACACCTCACATCGCTAAGCACAAAATCTAAAATTATAAACCGTAATGGCTATTTAAAAATAAATCAACTTACTTGAAATTGTCAGACAATAACTGCAGAAATTAATTTAAACATAAAATATTTAACTCAAAATTTAAACTAAATTACAATTTTTTTCTATAATAGAATTTTATTAGTAAATATTGTCTATTTTAAAACTTACTTTTAGTTTCATCATTTAGTATTCCATCAAACATCGATCCGGACTCACAAGCTTCTATGTACAGCAACATCTGTTAAATGGGTAACGAAAATTCAATATTTTGAATATTAAAAACTGTATACATAATACAAAAAATGCGTACTATACAAAGTATGCATGTATTATTATGAATGTGTCAAATTAATATTTTATATTATACACATAATATTACCTTTCTGTAACTTTTGTTCGCATACATGGTATTGAACGCGTCATTCAGTTGGTCAGCATAAAGAAAATCATTTGGAAAAGCTACTAATCCAGTAGTACCATGATCGACAAAGTTAATGAAAATTGTATCATGACGCCCTCTTTACATAAACATAAATTATAATCAATTAAAATCAATATTACCTAACTACTTATGTTATAAAAGTATGGCTTGACTTATTTAAAAAAATCTTAAATATAAACTTGTATTATAATATAATATAGTAAATGTATAAATATTATGTGAACTAATACTATGAACTAGAGAGACTAGGTAATATTCTAGTCTTTTTACAATGAACTGTGAAGGATTGTTCATACATTTTTTATCGCTAATTTTCTTTTTATGATAGATATGCAATTTGAAAATAGTTATCAAACATTTTAACAAAGACAAATTCAATTAATAATAGGTTCATATTGTTTTAATCTTTTTATTTAATAAAACGATTAATATTTTTTAATAAAAATGACATAATTTATTTCTATATAAGTAATAAATGATGTAATTATATAATAGTTATAGCAATGTGACATACCCTTCGACAACCTTGCCGGATCCAATGGATTTCATAGCTGATTTATTCCCTGTGATAATGTTTAAGAAATTTGTGCTGTTTACGTCCTACATCAAAGCAAATTCATCAAACGTTATTATTTTGTGCTGACACTATTTTTTTTTTTTTTGTTTTTTTTTTTTTAATTAAAATTCATATTTATAATAATTTAATAATTTTTGATAATTTGAAATCAAGAATTTTTGTGTTTAAAATTGTGTATGAACGATTCAATATAGTGTTTTAAATGGGTAAAATTTTAAAAGCACACTTTGCCTGTGATAGGTAAGTAAACAATTATGCATATTATATAAACCGCATAATATTATACGGTTTAAACATTAATTAATAAGTCGTAGAATCTAAGTGATTATTTAAGATATTAGTTTTGATTGCGGGTTTGAGACTTTTAACATTAATTTTAGGTTCTGAATGGAACAAAAATATGTATTAGTTTACTATGGTGTGTGATTATTAAGATAATTTTTTTGTTTTTCATCTTTCAACTACCTTCCCAAATATTTTTATGCATAGACGTCATGTTTTCACAGGAAGTGGGTACTGAGTTCTAAATACACGTACAGATTCATGAAAGTTAACTAACTTGGTTAAAATGTGAATAGAATTGTTGGCAAGGATGTATCATGTACCATTGTACCTTAAAAGGTCTGAACTTCTAACTGTCTGTTTATACGTTACACAAAATCAAGAGAACTAATATATCTATTTCGATAAAATTTGATTGTTCAATTTTTTATAAAAAAAAAAAAAAAAAACGTGAAATATTGTAATGGCAACTAGTTGGCTGGGAGAAAATTTTACTAATCTAATATAGTTCTGCTGCTCATGTGTTTTTATACCTAATCATTTTAAGTTCAAATTTTAACGAAAATCATAAAAATCACGGCATTTTAAAACATATATCTCTGAATCATATTTTTTTAGCATTGATTTATAGTTGCGTATAGATACAAATTAAATAACTTGATGTATTGTTCTACCTTTCCAACTTTCCAGCTAAAACAGTGGCACACACCCACCAACAGTAATAAAAAGAACCAAAAAGGAGCTGACTCTTTTTTTGATTTATATGATGGGGAGGGGGAAATGCAAAAATATAATCAATACTGGATTTCAAACCACCGTTCACGTCAATCCTCATGTTTAATTGCCTAACTAATTTACGATAATCTAATCTAAACTAATCAGATAATCTTTGTGGTTTTTGCAAGTGGATACAAGGCACTTAATAAATTAAAGAGTAGACAGATTAAGATATTATACATCTATTTTACGTTTGTGACACATATACAAACAACAATAATAATTAATAGTCGCTGTGTATAATATTTATCTAAACAATAACTAAATAAAAATCATTCCGTTTGTTTATAATATGCAACTATCGTGAAGTACGAATATTTTGATGTAGGTATAACTGGTGTGAGGTACACGTGAAGTATATGTGTAACACCGACTTGATAATAGGACAGGTTGCTAATTAAAAATCAATAGTTGATAATTATTGATAGGCAGATAACTATTTGTCTTATGAATTGCGGTAAAAATTTTGTTATTGTTATTATTTTGTTAATTTTTTTAAAAATTTTGTTTTTAGATATACATATATGACAACGTAAAATAAACGAATTTATTACAAATAATTATTATCTTTACACGAAATTTATACCAAATATAAGTATGTTATACAGATATTTTAAATTTTGAGCACTTTTCTAATAACATAATCCCATTTAAATTTTAAAATTGTTCAGCTTTGTATTCGCCTTACCCTAAAATTTCTATTTAGGTTACCTACTAAATACAAATTATTTTAACATGTATTATACTTGCATTATATTATTATTTTTACCATAAGTAGGTACGCTAAATAAATAAATATTGTACCTATAATTATCTATGTAATTATGGAACTTTACAAACCACACTTATCAATTCTATTTGAGTAATGAAGATAATATTATGTTTGTACATTTTTTTTGCCTAAAAATGTATTCATTTTTAGTTAAAGTAGGTACCTGCTTATGTATTGTTGCCTAAAGAGTTAGACTATATAATAGGTATATTAACTACTATGCTAGATATGTGTACTATGTAGGTAATGTGTTCAACGATAATTATTGGTTAATAAGTAGGTAATATAGATAATTTGACTTACAGCTCCCTTGTAGTCAACTACAACTCCTTCGTAGACATTTGTACCATTGGGACGATTAATCATCACTCCTGGAGTGGGATTTCTATCCAACAAAAATGCGGTATTAACGTACAAAAACTTTTAACTAGTGGTTTAAAATTTTTTAAATTTATATGTGCTGATTTAGTTTAATTTTAGTGTTCTAACTATTATTTATATCCATTTAAGTATACAGTGTGTCCCACCATGTTCGACGGATTTTTTTATTCGGTTTGTCTTTGAGGGGGATATTGATTTGGAAAAAAAAATAAATTTTTATTTTCAACCCCTAAACAGAAAAAAAAAACCTTTATTTATTCACTTTATACAGTTTTCAAAGTAGCCATTTTGTAAAAGATATTATTCTAAACAATTTAATGTATCACGTATTCATATCCGATGAATAGTTTCTGAGTATCAGTTTTCTGTGAAAGAAAAAAAAAGTGTGAAAACAATTAATATTCATTAAACTACTGTTGCGATAATTAATTAACGTACGGTAATTGTGATTATTATTGAATATTAAAACTAACACTTTTAGAACAATATCTTTTACAAAATGGTTATTTTGAAAATGTTGTTAAATAAAAAATAAAGTTATTTTTTTTTTTGTGTATGTTTAGAGGATAAAAAAAAAAATAATTTTTTCCAAATCACTGTCTCCCTCGAAGATTAACCGATTGAAAAAAAAAAATTGAAAAATGTTTAATATTAATGGCTCTGGAATAATCCGCCGGACATAGTGAGACATATTGTATGTATCGACTCTATCGTTTTATCCCAGGATTAAAAACTTAAAAAAAGAACTTATAATTTAGTATTCACATCGTCAATTTAAGACGAGGATTTAAACTAAATAAACAAATTATAATTTATGTCTTGTTTATTGTAGGCAATTGATATCATCGAAAAAAAAAACCGAACCATTTTCACAATTTGTGAAAGTCCATTGGATTATATACAAATATACATGCAATACACTATGCAAAATAATGTGATATTATTAATATACACACTTGGGATTGTATGCCATGTCGTCCACCATCATTAAAATTATATTCTCTTCGGGTATGCCATTTGCTTTAACAATCTGGTATGCGTGACAAACATCAGCCTGTATTGAAAATGAAACTTTATTAAATGCACAATATTTATTTTAGTTTTAAAATGATCTTATTGTTTATATACACGTTTGTTCATGAAAAAGAGCTTTTAAATTACACTGTGTGCATTTGTTTCCACACACTGATTTAGATTGAAAATGTAATTTCTATTATTATATAATTATTTATGACCACTCTGAGTATTTTAATAAAGTTTAAGTTAGATATCTAGGCACATTTAAACTTAGATTAAGCTAATTAATTAAATAAACTTTTATAATATTAGATATTCCAATGCAATATTTTATTATCAACACCAATATTTAATTAAAAGATACCAGTTAAATTAAAATACAGAATTGATATATTCCGCTATTTCCAAAATTTCATACTAAAATACCAACTGGGGCTACCTACCTTTTCAATTATAAGTGTGAAACTACTATGCATTTTATTATAATATGCATCCCATGTGTGATTTATCATTAAATTATCTTATTACTGTAGGGATTAAAAGAATTTATTGATACCTGATGTCGGTAACCACGCCTCCAACTATCAGAGCCGGATACTAAAACTACCCATTTTTTTCCTGGGTACAAGGAAAAATGATTTTCTTCTTCGTCAATTTGATCATGTTTACTTGGTAAGTAAGCAGCTAAAGATCCAACCACAAGTAACATTAACCATATAAAACTAAAAATTCCTGTAATAAAACAAAATGTATATGTGTATTAGATAGGTATTTTTATTTATAAACCTTTTTTTTTTTTCTATCAATCACATTACTTATTTTAAAATGCTTTGTATAGAAAAGAAATTTAACTAGTATATAACAATCAGTATATTATACTGGTTACAATTGTTTTTCCCGGACCAGGGAAGATAATTTAACCTTATATGTACTTACGTGCGATTGTTTTTCGACATTATTTTTGCCGGTATCTATACCGTTTTTACCGTCGGTTTAACGCCCGGCGAGTACTTATTTTATTTCATCATCTTTTTTTAAGGTATTTATAGGTATTTAAATTTTGCGAGTTTTGTACGTAGTTTCTATTTAGTAGGTACTCTGTAGTAAAATTATTAAACTTAACAGAAATGCTTAGCAATTGAACAGGAGGTTCATTAAGAGTCTTACTTTGTGGTCAAAAAAAGAAAATTTGAGTTTAATGTAGTTTTTTTTTTTTTTTTATAAAGGAATTTTAGTATCAAATATTGACGCAAATTATAGAGTAGAAAATTATGCGGAACAAATTTAATTTTTTAATTTTTTTTTTTTTGACATATGTATATAGACGATTTAATAACGATGGTGAAGTCAGAATTGAGCGAATTGTTTAAGTTTCGAAATTATAGCTTTTTGAAGTTCTGATATGCGGATATTATATGTTATATTAAATAACTAAATATTGTTACCATTAAGGTATGTTTATTGAAGCTGAATGGTTATACATGTCTATTATAATCCTAGGCATCCTAACACCGAATCCGGGTCTCGAACAAAATTTACTTTTACTTAAACAAAGAAAGAATAATTGTATTTCGAGTATACCTAGAGACCCAAGCCATCGCTTGTTCGGACTATTTTAATCGCAAAATACCCCTCGATTTGTTGTGCAAACTGTATCAAGTGTAGCTTCTTTTCTGAAATTCTGGAAATTTGTTAACTTGAGAAGGTAATTTTTTGATTTTTCCAGGAATTTTTCCAATAAATGGGAAAAATCGTGAAAAACGAAGAAAAAACGGGAAAATATACAAAAAAATATTAATAAAATATTAAGTTTTTTTTGTCTGTAGACAACTTTTCTACCAGTAATTTTGTTCCAATTTACAATAATAGCACTTTTTATAAAAAAAAATCTGTTTGGGGAAGTACTTTAGAGAGGCCATTTTTCGATTTTCCTAAGAGTTTTCCCAGCAAATGTGAAAAACATGGGAAAACCGGGAAAAACGCAAGAAGAACGAGAAAATCGGTAAAATATTTAAAAAATATTATTAATGAAAATATATAATACCTGTTTCATTAATTTACCATAATATGAAATATATATTGCTGACAGAGCATTACTATCAACTGAACTGTGCACAGAATCGGTTTTTCGTTAGCAGTGGTTTATCGTTGCTTACAGATATACATTAAATTACCTATAACAGTGGCTGAACCCGACGCCATTATCCTAGAACGTCTTTTTTATATTCTGTTTTGTAACAGGCATGATAACATTGATAACAGGCCGCTTCATCACCTAATCTTGCAATCAACGCTAGTATTTTAATGTTATTATTATTATCTATGTTTTTCCTGTTATTTGAAGCTCAAAAGTATAATTATAAAATAATATCGCGGTTAAAAGAAACAATATTAGGTATTAGATAGAATCCGTGCACTAATTCGTTATTCACGGACGTGGCTATTTCGATGGACAAGTTTAAACCGGCCTTTAGTAATTTCAAATAGCATAAGTACCTAAATAATATGTTTCTACGACTTTTACAAATATTGGAATGTTTCTTTTATATTTTTTTCAGATTTTGGGGCCTACATTAGTTTGGGGATCGATGTGCAATGTACACCTTGCACACCTGGTAATTGCGGCACTTTGGTAAGGTCGGTTAGACGTTAAGTTAGTAAGAGCACGGTTCTCGATTTGGTACCGTAATACCCGTTGGGTAGCCAAAATTTTTAATTTTTTTTTTTTTTTGATCGTTTTTTGACATTAATTTCGACGTTTCTGTCAGTTTAACGCCTGGTAAGTATACTTATTTGTGTAATAAATACAATTTTGTATTTAAATATTTTATAAACATTTAATTTCGAAAATGAATTAAATATTATATGTTCCGGGTTCAATATATTATAATTTGACGATATTTAATTTAATTATATATCAAAATTATACATCAAATGATTAATATATATTGGATTTGAAATATTAAAATGTATTAAATATTTATAAAATATTAATTACTTGCTGTGTGACAGAAAATTATTATATTTACAAAATAACAATATATATTGAAGATTTAATTTTCTTGTGTAATTTATATATTTCTATAATAATAATAATTTATTAGTCAACAAATTTGTGATAATATTTATTATTAATCATTGTATAAATTATTGTATTATACCTAAATTATTTTATTAATATTTTAACTAAGAGACCTGAGGCTAAGATGGAACCATAGAATTAAAGAAGACATCAAAGCAAATAAAACTAATTCTACTAGGAGTAGATTGGAAAAAATTGTTATTGTAAAGGGAAAATTGGAAACAGTTATGCTGTAACTGTCTTAGAGGACAAAGAGTCGATAGAAGAAACATATTTCAATTTTCCAATCACACTGCTTTATAAATATAGATTTTCATCATTAAATAAACTGATTAGCAAAATAGTTTTGAATATACTTTGATATAAATACCATTTAAGTGGAAAGATTGATAGATGAATAATTAATTAATTATGTGAGTCTGTATAAATATAATAATACAATTATTTTAAAATGATAAATCCTTAGGTTTAATATCGATTAAACTTACCCATTCTGATGGACGCCTGTTCAATTAACTATTTCGATTTTGTAATTGACGTAGCTTATCTGACGAATAGTAGGCTATTGTTAGGATCACCAAAAAATGTCTTATTTATATACCAAAATATTGTATTCAGTGAAAATAAAAACCAAATTGGTATACATGTCAAGTATTTGATTAAACACTATAAAACAAATAATAAACTAGTGTATTTGATTAAACACTATAAAACAAATAATAAAATAGTGCTTTAAAAAGTAAAAAAAATAGTAACAATAATAATCTGATTATACTAAAACAATAATACATATGTGAAAATTAAAAACTAGGTACTTTAAAGTCAAATGCGATGTACAAATAGTTTATGGTCATATTGAAAATTATCATTTGAGTATCTTGGTAAATATTTATTCTTTGATATAGAATATTTATATAATTTATTTTTTGTTGTTTTTTATAAAATATCAGTGGTGTGTATTATTAAATGTATAAGAAAAATGTATTATCCCTAAATGATTTTTTCAATTGTTAACATTTACAACACATATATTATTTTCTAAAAATAGAAGCTAATAAATAATAAATAGGTACTGGGGTTTACTCATTTTATTAGTTATATCTATTTGGTGATGTATTATTCAGAACTTAAATTTTGAAGTAAGTAGTATGAAAATATGAGTAGTTTCTCATTTGTATACATTTTAATTAAATTTTTATTAGTTTGATTCAATGTCAATAATTTTTTTAAATAAATTAAAAAGGCTGTAAATATTATGGCCTTTCAAAACATTACTGAACGTCGCTCCGAATCGTATTTCGTTAAAATGGTTTATCATTCGGTACAGGTATAATTAAATGAATTTATGTAGCCCACCTTCCTAACTACCTACTACTACCTACTACTTCCTAACTAATCTACAACTACGGCACATTTTTTTCGATCACTAGAAGACTACACGACTACTAGCCATAGTCTAGCTTAGTTATTATCAAATTTGAAATAAAATTCTATTTCCCCACCGTTTAAAACTTAAATATAAAATGGATACCACTGCGAATAATTTATCATACGACTGTGAATAAACTCCAATTTAATTTAATTTATCGATAAGATTGCGGACGTACTCGGGTTATGAAAAAAGGGAAAAGTGTTGAACAGGACGTACTCAGGATAGCTTCCTTTATTTAAGTTTTATTTTTAAATGAAAATAAAAATTCAATAGGTAATTAAATTGTATATACATTTTATATAAATGAAATTGAGCTAGAGTAAGGGTTTTCAGGCTAAATAGCTAAAAAAAACTTTATCACTACGAAATAATATATACATAGTTCATTTTTTTAGTGAGTGGCAGAAAACAAAAATTAAGGTTTCTTTGGTATCTAATGGGAGTTTTTTAATAATGCATTTAAATTCCAATTTTCAGGACAAACAAAAAAGAAGCTAATCTCCCTGAAACAGACATAAATAGCAATTAAAACATTAAATTTTAATCCTTTCTTTACAATATGACACATAATTCTAAAAACAAAAATTGAAATCTGAGTAGAAAAAGATTACAGAAGATAACATTATTATCTTTTAAGTTTTATAGATAATAAATTAATAAACAATTTATGTTAGGGAAAAAAATAAACAGAAATAAAAATAATTTAAGATGTTCTAGATTATGTAATAGTAAAATTATACCGCGAATTTATAATAAACAATTAAGCCATTTGTCCCTGCAAAATTAAAGAATAATTTTATTTTTTATTTTTCAATAAATATCTTTGTCACATTTGATTGAATAATATTTCATAAATTTCAAGTTATTAATTAAAAAGTTAAGAGCTTTTCATATATGCAACGTGTCTTGAAATTATTATCTTTACGTATATATTATTTTAAGTAAATATTAATTTTGAGTTGACAAATTATCATTACTACTTAAGCAGCTGAAATAGCAAATAAACATTTCAATTATGGATATTTTAGTAAAAATGTAACTATATATGTAATTATCTAAAACACAAAAAATTATGTATACATTACCCGGTGATCCATTTAAGTAGGTACACTTATTATCTCGGAAAGTATTAACTTTTTTCTAAATTTATTTTCTAGTACATTTGAGAAACAAGCTGCTTTACAATTTTTTCGTTCGTGTTTTTTTTTTTATTGACCTTATTTTTGGGAGTAAAACCACTACCTACTTTTGATTTTCAAATGGCGACCTAAAACAAATTCCGAAAAAAATGTATACTTTCCAAGATAATGAGTGTACCCACTTAAATTAATCACCTGGTACATTAAATTTATTTTAGGAAAGTAAATATGTTCTAAATTATTATTATTATTAGTTATCGTTATTATTTTATCGATACCTATTACAAATTTCATTGTATTTTACATTCTGAGCGATTCAAGGACTGTGATGGTTTTACAACGATGTTTAATTCATTCGTATTCATTTTTAAAAATGTTTCTTTTAATCGGTAAAGAACTTTTCTACTGGAAATCTTGCTTCGATTTTCAAATGTAGTACCTTTACTTGAAGGAAATTTTATCTGGGTGCCATTTTAAGCAGTTTTCATAATAATTGAGAAAAACCAGGAAAAATCATAGGAAAACGGGTTAATTTACGAAATCTACTATATTCAATTTTGTTTTTTGTTATGATGCAATTAAAAATATTTTTAGAAAAGAAAACTCACGGTTTTGTAAAATATTTAATTTGTTCTCATTGTTAACAGCAATTTTATTTTCTATATTGAATACTAGTTGTCCCGCGCCCGGCGTTGCCCGTGCCAATTTTTATTATTAATATTTTACCCATATTCATTTTTGGTTTTGGAATGGCCATGTTAGAATTAATTGAAAACAAATAGGTGGAAAGTGGGTAGTCCACCTGCGGCGGCCTAAATGTGTTGTATTGTGATATTTGAATAGCGTAAATAATAGTGATAATAAAAATTATAATAGTTTTATTTTATAATGTGTCGGTGACTCGTTGACGGGCCAGTCTTTGTCTCAATGCATTAGCTCGACGGCGTTCATTGCGTTGCTTTTGACTTTCATTAGTACGTGTGATTACAGCCTGGTTTCTTAAATTTTCATTGTCTTCGATTTTTTTTTAAATGGGGGGGGGGTTGATGGATTTCAAAGGAAGTTAAGCCTAATCTAACTTATCAGGGAGTGGGGACGCTCGACAGCGGGAAAGCGCGTGTACCGTATTATAGCTAATTGTCGTTCGCAGACGGCAAGGTGTTTGTTTTATACCTTCATGTGAACATTGGCCGACAATTTATATTAATATAAAGTTAATAATTCATGTTAATCTGTATGTATAAAAATGGATCGATATTTGGTGCTGCCTTAACTTGAATACCATCTAAATTTCAAACTTTTTCGGTAGATTTTCCAAAAATCGTCTTTCATAATAACCCTACGAATACACGATAAAAAAATCAGACATATCGGTCCGTCCGTTTTCAAGTTATTGCGTCGGAAAAAAATATCAATTCATTTATACATACCTATATAATATAAATGTACGTATTTGCCAATGTATTCAAATTTATATTTAAAAAAATAACTCGATTGTATCACTCTCTTGGAGCCCTCTGATAAATCTTTAATTTCATCCGTATCACTAAGGTAACCCATAAATCAACAAAAAAAAAATCGCTGTACTAAAAATACCAATAAATCTGTGTCAACTTCCCTTGCAATGCCACCTATCGGACCCAATTGTGAATCTAAACCATCTAGGGACCTATTCAAACACACATAACAAATTTCGTCAAAATCAGTCCAGCCGTTTAAGAGGAATTCAGTGACATACACGCGTACAGTAGAATTATATATATAAAGATACTAATACTTATGAACTTATATGAATTAGAGCCGGTTGAAAAGTTTACAGTTAAAATGTTAATAGGTTAAAATGTCAACAATCAAAACATCGAAAAAAACGAAAAATGAAGAAACCAATGTTTTTTATTACCAAAGTAAATATTGAAAAATTAAATAATTTATAATTATAATAAAAATACAAATCCATTAATTTATGTTATAACAATTTCAAATGGACCGAAAGATATTTCTATAATATTATTATTACATTTTTGTATTCAATTTGAAACGAATTAATAGTCGTTGAATGATATTAGTCATTAAAAAATCAAAGATGCCAACTGTTGTAAAATACTAGAAAACATAGCAAAAACTGATGCTTTTATAATAAATGAAAGTAAGATATTTTAAATAACATTTAATTAGTTCATAAATTGTATTTTGAGACCATTTATAACTGGTAACATTTGTAGATTTCGTATAGTAAGTTATCTATTATANTGGAATTATGCGATCTTGTTTTGAATAGTTGTACTATACCAGTGGTTTTCAACCTTTTTTGGATCGCAACCCACATTTTTTATTTTTGTGTACTGCGACCCCCTTCAAAAAAAAAAAATGTTTTATTCATCAAAATTATATTTAATTACTGATTAATTATTTACAGTTAAAAATTTAATTAATTTATAATACATTCATTCATTTATTTCATTCATTTCGTGTATGTATTCATTCATATCGCATTTACGTAAATATTGAGCATTAATTTACATACATTAAATTAAGTTACGCAAAAATTCGCAAAAAATTAAGTTACGATAGTTACATAGGATTTCGTTTTTTTGATATTTCAAGCGATTAGGATATTAAACAAATTCTTATTTTCTTTATTTTGAAATAACATCAATTTTTCTAAAAAGTTACGTACATTAAACAATGCCACGTTTTCGTAGACGAGGAGGAAATATTGGACGACGGACTCGGAATTCACAATTAGTCCAGAACCGTCGGTTAAATAGATCGGCAGAAGACCAATTGACGGACAATGAAAATTTAAGAAACCAGGCTGTAATCACACGTACTAATGAAAGTCAAGAGCAACGCAATGAACGCCGTCGAGCTAATGCATTGAGACAAAGACTGGCCCGTCAACGAGTCACCGACACATTATAAAATAAAACTATTATCATTTTTATTATCACTATTATTTACACTATTCAAATATCACAATAGAACACATTTAGGCCGCCGCAGGTGGACTACCCACTTTCCACCTATTTGTTTTCATTCAATTCTAACATGGCCATTCCAAAACCAAAAATGAATATGGGTAAAATATTAATAATAAAAATTGGCACGGGCAACGCCGGGCGCGGGACAACTAGTAATTATATAAATTATATATATTATTATATAAAGATTTCACTGTTGGCATTTTATTCCATTATACAGTTATATTTATTCATCTGAGTTCTTCTTACTAAAGTCATTTGTATGATTTATCATGCGTTAATATATATGTATGCAGGGCCGTTCTAAGACCGATTCTCTCTTAGCACCGAAGCGGAAACTGTCCTAAAGTAATGTAATGTAGGTGCCATAAATGTATGGGGCACCAAATTGTAGATGGGTATCAAGTTCAGACACTAAACACATGATGATTACCCTAGAGCACTAATGATAGTTGGTACTGCGTACTGTACGTAAATTATATATTGTGCAATCAATATAGTTGTAGTTATGCGATAAATCTAGCAATTATGATTAATGATTACAAATATTTAATGATGTTTATTGATTACTTCGAAAAATGATTGAACGGTTGATAATTAATGGAATTTGATAAGTTAATCGTAATTGATTACGTAATTTTATCGAAAATTAATCGATTACTCCCAACACTGGTTACATTTAAATGCTATGCTAATGCAGTTGCTGCTGCTAATGATGATATTTGTGCAGTTAATATATTTTTCCAGCTCTGTAATGTTGTAAATTCATAAATACTATAATAAATGAAATAATTTTGACAATAACAGTTTTTAAATTTATTTACTAATAAACAATATTGCTCTGTATTATTATTGCTTATTCTTTAGATACATTTATTAATAATAGCTGAATAATATTTTGAAATTTGATATTTTGTATTCACAAATATAGGTAATATTAATTAACATTAAATTGAATTAAATTAATATTAATTGTACGCAAATCATGTTTCTATACTACGTTAATTATATTTTTAGGAATGTTTAAACACGATTCCTCGACTAAATCGCTGACCGTCTGGTGTATTTGATTGTCGACGACACATAAATTGGCGAAAATTTTTAACTGGTCCAATGTGTAAGGGTTCTGTAATCAACAGGTAATTTTTATAGTATATCGAAACAACTAATAATATCATGCTGCATTACAAAAATAATACTATAAGAAATATGATGTGTTAAAAATTGAATAATATAAAAAATAAAAATTATGTAGTTCTTATTTTTGTACATACTACATAAACTAATAAATTATTTCACAAATATATCAGTCAAATTTTTTTTACTGCATTTAAAAATAAACCAAAACCATATACGCTTACTTTAGGCAAAGAAAAACAGCTCTCACTGATTTTATTTAAAATACTTCTGTAACACGGGAACATGTCTAACGTAAGACTCCGATGTTTGGGTTTGTTAAGACTACCGATTTCGCTCTGGATGTCCGGTCTCGCTTCCACGACTTTTGAGTAAATAGCCCGGAACACGCTATCGATGATCAATCTCATCTGAAACATAAAATCAATAAAATGCATAGATATCTAGATGTAGATGTACACGTTTAACTATTAATAGTTATGTTTTATATTAAATTAAATAAAATAGGTAATAGGTACATACTTGATAATTTTTACGCAAAGTCTTTGCCAAATCTTGTTTCATTTCATGTGTTAAATCTGCACTAGCCAATTTATATTCCATTGATTTTACCGACACATCTCGACTGGACATTATCTTCAGGAAAAAAACAAGAGTAAATAACACATTATGGTCTATAGTAATATTATTTATTTTTTAAATATAAATATATAGTAATTAGAAAATATGATAGTATATTTTGGTATTTACAGTTTCCTTCTTAAATGAGTTTCTTTTAGCGGTTGCAGACTGCTCGAGACCGCTATCGTGATTACTATAACCGATAAATGTTGATAATTTTTCAAAACCTATGCCAAAATCACCATATGCCATAACGTTGCTGTCTCCAACGGCGGTTCTAACTTGATCGAAAATGTTATAAATATTTCGTTCTCTTGCTGTAAATCCACATGTCACCTACACGTATTAATTATGATAACAATTATTATGACTATCTAGAGACTATATGTAATTATTGTTAACCGTCTCCAAATTATGTGAACTTGGATACGTATTAAAATATGTTTGTGAAAAAACTACCTATATTTATATGTATGATACGGAACAACTACGGACAAGGTGTTTAGATAAATCTTAGAGCTACGTTAGACATAAATGTGCTACGCTCATAAATTCTCTATACCTAGGTTTTAACTGCTACTTTCGACAAAGTTTGAATTTTAGAATTCAACCGATTTTTATCAGTATCTAATCAATCCTAGGAATGCTTAGTTTAATAGTAACATTTCAAATAAATTTTAGGTATATTTTGGATATTTTCAAATGAGTGTTGTTAAGTGTAAATGCATAATGTAGGTCTGTGTATTATGTAGAAGTAACAGCAGTAATGTCGCAATGTGTGATACTTTTTATAATATTTAACCATGAACGTTACATTAAATTTCTGTTCTACCCCTGTGGAACATCATATCAGTTTTTCGAATTTTATCACAAAACTCACTATACCATCCAAACTTTAGGTTCTTTTAATAGCAGTCAGTAAAACCTACAAGATTATTGATAGCTTAAGAGATTTATACAAATATAAATATCTACATAAAATTGAAAACTGTTATTAATTAATTAAAATTTGTTTAATAATATTGTATAATACCGCGTCAATATTTTCCATCCATGATACGCTGAACTCATCTCCCAGACATATGTCATATTCGTCGCTTGAACAGTAACACGCCCACGAATCTTCCCTAGGTCCAGAAGCAGTGATGGCAAGTACTAGATTAAAAATTGACTAATTTTAGTTAAAACTTTATTTTAAGTAAAAATTGTATGGGTGTTGTTGGAAAAGTAATATTATATAAGGTAATTTTGTTTAATATTGAATAAAACAATGAATAATTGTTAACGAAAAAAAAACGATTCTGAACAATTAGTTAAATAAATAGTATTGCCTAAATTTAAATTGAAAATTTCAACAATTTTTAGTTACAAAATAATTTACAATGTACTGTGATTTTTAAGCATTTTGTTGATATTTCAACTTACTATTCATGTCATCATCGAGTATCCCATCGAACATAGAACCTGACTCGCACGCTTCTATGTACACTAGCATCTTTTAACAAAATAAAACATTTAAGTAATCAAAATAAGTCAATATATTGTAATTATAATACAACATTTATGTACCTTTTTATATTGTGCAGTTTCAAATGCTTTATTAAATGATTGGTATAATTGATCGGCGTATAAAAGGTCAGATGGGAATCCTAATAGTCCGGGTCCACCATGGTCGGAAAAGAAAATGAAAATTGTATCCCGAGGTCCACTTTAAACATTCAATATTAAAACACATTTAAAATATATGCATAATTTACTGTTTAACCACAAACATCGAAAAATAAACTTTAAAATGAATTAGAATGAAATAAGTATTTTTAAAAAATTATAAAATTTGAAGGATATCTAAATATTTGATAAAAAGGTTAAAAATATATTCTTATATAAACTGAAGCAATTTTATTTGTGATGCTTATATGACTTAGATTATTAAATTAGGTAGTATGTTTCTGTTTATAGTTAAATTGTCCATTTTACCTAATTAATATATTTAAAAAAAATATTTAGGTAGGCTAGGTATTATTATAACTATTATTATAATAATAATTATAATTTTGAATATCTGAGAATAATAATTTCGTACCCCTCAACAACTTTTCCAGTTCCGATAGACTGCATGCTTTCAACATCACCGGTAATGACTCTGAGGAAATTTGCACTGGTCACGTTCTAAGTTAAATTAAAATCATAAATTGTGTAAAGTTTACATTATAATTTTCATAGGTGCTTACGTTTTTAAAAACTAAAAGCATAAATAATTTTAAAATTGTAAACTGTATAATAATTTCTTTTATACCTAATCGAAATACTAAAATTGTATTCTAAGTATTAGGAAAATTTCAGATAGTCATATTATTTACATAGTATATCAAGCGAATCTGGTTAAAATAAAAAATGACTGTGGTATTTTCATCAGTTTAAAAATGATTAGGTAAACAGTCCAAAATTCGAGTTACCTTTATTAAGGATATATATTATTAAAAGATTAGGTTAAGTTATACATTTTCGTATAAAGTTTTATAAACAAGTACCTAATTTGTTTATTAAACTTTGAATTTTAAAATGGGCATAGAGTAGGTATTATCAGTTTGTATCATTATCTACACAATATACTAATACAGTCATTAATTACAAATAAAAGTTTATTTCAAATATAGATCTTACCTCTCCTTTATAATCGATTTCAACTCCACTGTATACATCTGTACCATTGGGTTGGTTAATTATCACACCTGGCCTTGGATTTCTGTATAATATTATATCACGCATAATAAAACAAATTAATATATTAATTAATATGGTAACTTACAATATTATTATCTATTTTACAAAATATTAATTGAAACAAACAACGTGATTAAACGAGGGACATCGAGATGTATATACTATACATATACATATACTATATATGCATAGTATATACATCTCAATGACGAGAGATATCCAGGACCGTATATAGAAATTTTACGTCCAGGAGCAACATATTTCCGCCGCCCATAACCTATCTTGAAAAAATCTATTTCTTAAAATGTAAGGTGTAACTATTTTGTTCTATACAATTTCGGTCCACAGAAAATTGAGCCAACAACCTACATATTATGCTACTCTTACTAATTTAATATTGGCAAATTAGAAATATATACAATATACACTATGTACATTCAGGTATAAACACATTATTATTGACAAATTTATTATCAATAATAATTATGATCATACAAATTTAACAAAATATATTATAACTTGCTATAGACTATAAATATTAATAATTCATGTATTACAGTGATTCCCTAAATCTTTAGAAAAACTAATGTTGAATATAAAAAATAATTTAAGAAAACAATGCGTAATTTATTATTAAATATTGAATTTTGTATTAAAAATTTAAATCTATATAGTATAAATCTAAATAAGTTTATAACTTTCTCTCTGACTAAAAGTTTGAAAATGAATTTATTATTTATAAATAGTATGTTGATAATATAATTTATAATATTGTTAATATTACTATCCGACAAATTGATGAAAACAATATGCATTTTTGAGCTGTAATAATTGTTTTTAATAGAAAGTTTAAATAATAATTAAAATTATGTAAAAATACGAGGTATAATACAGCTCGTATAATTTTTTTCTACAAAATTAATGCACAATAATAATTTATCAACATAAATTTGCCGCCCCGGGCAACAAGGTACTCTTGCTCACTAAATACGTGCCTGGAGATATCAGATTAATGTTTTTTTTCGTTTTTAAAGCACCGGGTATAATACTTAATACTTGTATACGTTTAATTTAAATTAAATTAGTATGATTTTGATTTGTTTTCACAACATCATATTGCCAATATTGTATTTATTTGGTAAACAGTTTGTTATATGTTATGCAGTGGCGTAGAAGTAGTTTAAAAATCCTCGATCAAACTAGATAGTACTGTGTTATATTGGCCTTCTTTGGGTGTAATACATTACATTACTCATAGTACTATTTAGTTATATTTTCTAAAAATACTACTCATACTATGGATATTATCCAACCAAAAAATTGTTCTGTACCCCAAGTTCGGCGTCACTTTTGTTATGTATTAACGTTTTGTTAAGGAAATGTTGTTTATTGTACAATGGGACAACATCTGTCGTATTCATTTAATTTTTTTTATTGGTTTTGAAACAAGTTATTGTTAGTGCTACAATAACTATCCCGTGTTACAATCGGACCCGTCTCCCCTACACAGGGTGATTCAAAATTTATATTACAGCCATTTTATCAAGGAAATATTCAAAATAAAGGAAAATGTAAAACAAAAAAGTATTTCGATTTAAATACATTTATTATAAGCAATTATTCAAACGCCGCACGCCATGCTGTGCTACCTGCGCATAGTATCCCACTAATCTCTCACTACCTAAACTAAAAAGTAGAATATTTCATCAACAGATTGACAGAAATCAAAAACTTCAACAGCAAAACTCTTTATTAAACTATAAACTACTCATTAAACTAATACTTCATTTTTTATGGAATTTCTAATGTAGGTTTCCATTTGAATTTTAAAAATTGAGTCCTTCCCCCCCCCTTAAAAAAAGACTAAAAATCAAAAAATGTACAAATTATTAGAGATGTTTCGAAATCTGTTGTATCGTATATTTTCTCCATTTTAAATATTTGCATGATAAAATAGCTGTAACATAAGTTAAAGACCTACCAAAGAGATCGGTGTATGTGTAATCGGTATATGTGATGACATTTTGCATTCAATTTTCAATTATAATATGCACCAATCTTTTTGATAGATATAGGTCTTCAATTTTGAATCAACATGTGTACCTATATGTATTTTTTTTCCAATTGGATTTTTACGATTTTTACTTAATTATAAAATAATACTGACTCGGGGTTGTATGCGATATCATCATATATCATCGTGATGATTTGGTCTTTTGGTATTTCATTTTGAACGACTATTTGATACGCATGACAAATGTCCGCCTATAACAAGTAAGTATATTAAAATAAAATAAAAATAGATATAATGATTAAAATTTAAATAGCTATTAATAAATAAAGTATTATAACTGTTCGATGACGTGACAGATCCTTGTAAACGCTGCAGGACTGGGAACGAGGACTAGGATCATTACTGATAACTCTGATATATCAGGGAGAAAACTGGAAAGGTAAGGTGCATGGAGATAGTATATAATATTATTATATTAACGTAAATTATGTTTCAAGACCTGATGTCTGTAATTGTCCCATCCATTCGAACCGGCCACCAGAATTACCCATTTTTTTCCACCGTTTTGAGAATTATCTTTTATCAAAAAATTGTCCAGGTTTTCGTGATTTGATATATGGGCGGCAATCGTTCCTACAGCAAGTAATGCTAAGGATACTAAGTGAAACGTACCTGAAATATTACAACGAGTATGAAATATATATATATATATATAAATATATTAGTATTTTATAAAAGTAATATTTTTTAATTTAATTGTTCGTTTCTAATGCCCGCATTAAGTTTTTCATTCAGCCGATTATTAATAGAAATATTTAATAACCACTAATTGGTTGCTACTCAAAAATATAAAAAAGAAATCTCCTATTCATTTAATACAATTGACCTATTTATTTCAATATTCTTCATTAGTAAAGAATTCTATATTTAGACGATAATTAGATTACTTTATTTAAGTAAACAACCTAAATCAATCAACAATCACTTTTGTGCCTATATATAATATATTTTTATTAGTAATATGCTAAGGTTTCAGACTAGTTCAAATTTATTTTCAACGTATAAAATCAAGTTATCATGTAAGGATACATAATACACCTAGTATAACCTATCTATGCAAGTATGAATAAAGCAATTATATTATAATTTCAAAATAAATAACATGGCAGGAAATACGGACATACTTAACGAGGGATGGGCTACTGTTGTAGGTGAGAAGTTGGGAAGTAGAAATGAAATATAATGTATATCTGTAATGTCTGTATAGTGTATGCATCAATTAGTCATCGCTAACGAAAAAAGAATCTGATCGGAGTTCGATAATACATGTTGTGAAAAGCTGTAATATTTTCAATTTGAAAATAAGATATTTCGTAAATGTTCCCGTTTTTCCTACGTTTTTTCTCGGTTTTTCCTATTTATTATGAAAACTCCTGAAAAAATCAAAAACCGACGTGCTAATAATACGTGCTAAATACCACCCCAGTTAGCTTTTCTTTCATATAAAGTACTACACTTGAAAATTAGAGAAAAATGTATGATAGAAAAGTTGTTCACAGAAAAAAAAATTTTTTAAAAATAAACATCATTGTAAAAACAATACATTCCTAGCTCAGAAACTAAAAATATAATAATAATTAACTATGGCAATATGATATGCATGGAGTACAAGTACATTCAAATATAGAAAGTTATATATAAGTATAGAAATCATAAAATATATAGAAAGTTGTCTAAAATTTTATTCACAGTACTAATTGGTAGCAGTGTAACACTACTATTCAAATTTCGCAAACCACGCTACCATACAAATGATGTGCCTCCTATCCGAATTTTTAAGTGGAATATCTCGTCAATGGATCAGGAATTAAATATTTCAATACCAAAATATATTTCAACTAAAACTTCATCTTTTTTGAAATTTCTAATATAGATTATAGGTTATTATTTGAAATTAAAAGTGAGAAGTGGTATCACTACTATAAATAAAATTGACAAAATATAATGGTAACTGCTAGTAATATTACTGCTTGTTTCATGAATTTAATTACTTTGTTAATACTTTCCGAGAAAATAAATGTTTTATCTAGGACTGATCACCAAAGAAATGGTAGGTTTATTTTATAAAATACATTATGTATTAAATACATATTTATTATTTTTTTTTTTATTTAATTTCTCTAGTTTTAATAATATTAAAAATATGGTTAGATTTAATTTCATATAATATATATCAACTATACGGTATTTGTTTTAATCATTTTTATTTTATATTTTTTTTTGTTAATTATGATAGGTATTTATCGTATTAACTGTGAATAGTGATTAACCACTTAACTTATATGATACTTTATGTAACAGCGATTACCTATTTGTCAACCATGTAATTCAATTTTACCATATTATGAGTTATAATGATACGAATATACATATAGTTTGTCAGAATGTACAAATTACGAGTAGACATTATACTACTAATACTAAAGTTAATAATACTTATTAAAACGTACCCATATTGTTTTTATTTGCTCCCAAACAGTGATATTTATTCCGTATTCCGACTGACGAACAACTGACAATTTTGTTGCGCCCTATCGTGATTTTACTATTTATAATGAAATTGTGAATATTTAAGATTTCGTCGACAATTTATTTTACTGTAAATTGATAAGATATAAAAATCGATTCCACTACGGAGTGTAAAATATCAAGTATGTGATTCAACGATTAAAGTATAAGTGACAATTCAGTTTTCAATGCAAACATATTATTACGATTCATTTTAATTTATAGATTCATGACCTCATTGTATTACAAATTATATGAAATTTTAGTCCTTCAAAAATACCATTCTAAAAATGAATATTAAATAATATTATTTTAGGTGCTGTGGAAATTAAATTACGAGTAAACTCTTATTTTTTTACATTTGTATTTTAAACAAGCTTTCATGTAAAAAAGATTGGGTATCGATGTTTTCTTTTTTTGTCGAACACATACGCAGCATAACAATTTAAACAATTTACTCCTCAATTTACTCTGTACGGCCGATAAAATAAGCATCTTCAAACTGATTTTAATTCACCTATGAATATACATGAGATTGGTCAGACCATTCATTTAAATTTAGTTTTAGTTTTATTTATATAAATCTCTATATCAATTTTTTAGAAATTAAAGACTAAAACTCAAAAAATTGGACTGACCGATCTCGTGTACGCTGTCTTCACGTTGGATTAAATCAGAATAATCTTATCGCTTCACTAAGTGAATTAGTGCCATATTTTCAACATTTTCTAGGGGGGGGGAGTACATTAAGTAGGTACATAGTTTTTAACAGTTCCGTACAGGCGTGGATCCACGGAGGAGAGGTGGTTCCCTATGCATTTTTAGATTCCGAGCGTAGTGAGGGAGTTATTGGTTTTACTAAGATGTTTATTTTTTTTTCTTCCTTCCTTTTTCTAGACGGTACTATAAGTCGTTTCTTGATTTTCAACGCTATTTTTTTAATAAAAGCACTTAGGTGGAAAAAAAAACGTAGGAAAACGTATAATTTCACGATTTCATTATTTTATAAAAACACGGACAACGTTTTCTACTAGAAAAAAATAATTTAATCGAAAAATTACAAGATACCTTTTTGATTTACTTTATTACGGTATCATTTTTAAAAATTTTGAGCCAATTTGAGCTTTTAAGAATTTTAATTTTTGGGAGTTTTTTTGCTGTAATTCGGGTTTAAATGCACGTAGAGACTTGAAACTTGATAATAATACTCTTTATTGGACTTACCTAGACGTAGTGAAATTTACAAAAATCATCGAACGCCTTTTTTTTTTTTTTTATAAGCGTTTTTGAAATCAAATTTAAACAAAAATCAAAAAAAAAATTATGTATTACCGAACTGAACTCGGGATCATATTTCGTAAAGCAATGGTTTATCGTTGCTTATAGATATAAATGAAATAACCTTATGTTTCCTACCTTCCCAACTTCCCACCTACAACAGTGGCCGCTCCCATTTTATTTTTTTAAATTATTACTGACTGTTATTATTTTATAACTAACGAAAAATACTTTTAAAAATATGTTTTACATAAAATAAAATAAAAAAGTGTTAATACTGGGGATGGAAGCTTTAAACTTGCCCAATACATTATAGCCTAATGATTGTCTCATCGCTGATAATTTTGTTTTACTATTTTTTACAAATTACAGATGCGTTAAAAACAAAATTAATATTGCTGCACCAATAACTCATGAGATTCTTTCCATTTTGAAAAATGACGGATATACTTCACACGTGGTTGGGCCACTTTTGTAAGTGAAAAGTTGGATAGGTTGAGAGGAAATTTAATGCATATACCTGTATGCGACGATTAACTATTGCTAAAGAAAAACGATTCTGAACGGAATTCGGTTAATAGTATTGCTTTATAAATAGTTTATATTATATTATGTTATGTTATGGTAAACTATACGTGCAATAAAATAAAATAATGTGTAATTACACATGCATTTTAAATTTTCTTTAATATTTGTTTAATATTTTACCTATTTTCTCATTTTTTCTGTTTTTCTCGATTTTTCCTATTTATTATAAAAATAGCTGGAAAAATAAACACCACTGTAGGACTAATACATTCCTCACTCTACTCAGAATCTAAAATATTTATCTTATATTTGTATTATATTAACTTAATTTTAGTTGTTAGGCATTTATCGCATAACATTTATTACTTGAGTTTTATTTCATCTTGAAGTATTTACACGATTTTAATTATCTAGAGTGTAAAAAAAAATATTTTAAAAACCAATTCCAAGTAATTCCACTATAGTTCCCTACTTCATAATGTCTTGCAGATAACATTATATTAACGTAAACAAAATTATAAAAGTATTCAAATCATTATTTAGTCATACATAATGTAAACATATGAAGAATATAAAATTAACTATAATGTTTAATAATTACTATTACTATAATATATATCTCGTATTATGCATCGATATTATCAATAATATCACATTTAAAGTCCCTATGGAAAGGCGTTAAATAAATTTCATCCCCAATATATTTACAGACTAGGTGAATTAAGTCCTAGTTGTAATGTGTGCATCCATCCATTAGGATTACCCAGAAGTAACCACGAATAAGATTATTTAGCAAACAATTCGTTTTTTTTTATTAAATTCTGTATTTGTTACATTCATTCAAATTTCGTTTGAATAAAATAGCAGTTTATTTAAAAATATAACACCTTTAAATTTAAAAAATGAATATGCTTCGCACGACGGGTGGGTCACTGTTATAAGTGAGATGTTGGGGAGGCAGGATATTGAGGAGAATTTGATGTATATCTGTACGTAAAGATTAAACATTGCTAACAAAAAACTATTCTGAGCGGAGTTCGTTTATTCAACAAGTAGCGAATGCGATTACAAACTGCTGGATAATTATAAGTACTTAAAAAATTATTAAAAATCAAGAATTTAATGAAAAAAAAGAGATGATAGTGGAGACGGGTGCGGTCACTGTTGTAGTTGGGTAGTGGAGAAGGTGAATTATTACCAATTTTGCACCTGATGATACTCTTTCTGTATACCTCGCGACTGATATACTCGTATACAACTGAAATGCGCGTTGACACTTTAGTACGCTTTTGAATTTACTCGTATAGAGACCTTGACTGGCTGACTCTAGTAATAAACTCAGAAATATTCAACATTTTTATCATTTTCGTTTGGTATATTTCAAATTCAACAATGGTTATTTTATTTATTTATTTTTAAGAACATAACAGGTCGAGGCCCAATACAAAAGAATTAAATAGTAATTAATTGAGTAGTGATAATGACATATCTAATTATATTGTATAATAATGCATAATAATTGTTGACAGTGTTGTAGCGGAGGATGTACGGCGGTATACGCAGTATACCTTCTGATAATTTCGAATAAGCACCATATATACTTTCTGGATAAGGTCGCATACTCTCTGTTATAGTGAAATCATGAAAAATCATATAAAAATACCTACACCAATAATGCTCATAATACTTATTTGAATTAATTTTATCCAAAAAAAAAAAAAAATGGTTCGGGTTAAAGCAGTTAGATAACAATATTAATAAAAAAAAATATGGTTTGTTTTAACTTTAATTTGTACATAATACATATTACTATAAACACTGTTTATAGTGCTACTTCTGCTACTTTTACGACTATATCACTAATTGTTGATATGAGTAAAAACACCACTATGTACGCGATAGGTATTAAATTGGAATTTATTGTATTTTTTTTTTTTTTATATTCTGTCTTTGTCTTTATACAACTAATTTATTATCAATATTTTGTAATTTGTATGCAATTTTCTGTAAATAGGCGAAAATACGTTTATTTTAACAGCAAATTCAATATTAAATTACTATAAATCTTTACTTGAAAGTAAAAATAGCATTTCAATCGTGTACGTAAGAATACTATAGGATATATTTTAATTTATTGAGTAGGGAGAATTAATCACATGACATTTTAACCAGGGGTAAATATATCCCATGATATTTTTATCGCGGGGAGGGGGGTAAAATTGATTGAGGTAAAAATATACTACTACACCGGAGAGAAATGGATGTTATGTTATTGGCAGACGTATTCGATAATTTCCGAAACCTTTGCCTAACTGCGTACTATCTGCATAAGCGTAAGTACGAGGGGGGAGGGGGTAGCTGCCCCTTCTAAATTTTTCTTTCAAAACTGTGAAATTTCAATTATGACGTAAGTTAATGAAGTATGAAATTAAAATACTTCCATCACTAATATTAATTGAACTAACTAACAAGTATGTAGAGTTCGGATTTCAAGACAAAATCCTTTTTTGTAATTATAATAATAATAATAGAAATATAATTTATACACAAAAATGTGTTTCATTTAATATCGAAGATGGTGGATGGATCAGATTCGAATTGTATCGAGGGATCTGTTGGTTCTACTATGACGTGTGTTTTGTATTTGTATTTTGTTTTGTTTGTTTTACTGTCCGTGAAAAACTTTTCTAACAGAACGCTTACTCCGAATTATAGACTGCAGCACCTTTTCTGAAAGGTAATTTCCTTTTATCGGTGCATTGAGGAGGTAATTTTTCCATTTTTCTAAGTGTTTTTGAAATAATTGAGAAAAACCCAAAGAAAAGTATAGATAAAATTGCAAATATTTACTACGGCATTACCATTTTTATTGTTTATATTATGTTAAAGAAAAAACAATTCTAAACGGAGTTCGGTTGATAGTGTTGCTTTGTCAATAATATATATATATATATATTATTACGATATTTTCTACCAGAAATATTGCTCCAATCAAAAAATGAAAAGAGACCATTTTTGTTGCATTTTTAATCTAGTTTATAAGTAAGCTATTCGTTTTTTGTTTTTTTCTATGGATTTATTAATGAGGAAAGAAACCGGAAAAATCGTAAAATTAAAACTGACAAATTTACGGCGTTACGATTTCTTTATTTTACATTTTTACGGCTTATGTTTTCTACCATAAATATTACTCCAGTAAAAAACCGGCCGTTGTTGGTACACTCAAATACAAAGGATCACTATCAACTAAACAACTGAACTCCGAATCGTTTTTTCGTTAACAATGGTTTATCGTTGCTTACAGATTTACATTAAATTACTTATAATAGTAGCTGCACCCGTCTACATTATCCTAGGACGTCTTTTGTTACCATATTTTTAATCGTAAACACATCCACAGACAGTAGGCACACACACTCTCACACACACACACACACATACTCAATTACATATTCTCACACAACACGCAATACGTAGTCCAGCAGTATTTGTCCGGCGAACCAGATCACTCTTGTTGAGCTATCACACACTACATACTTAGATATTTTCTAGTTTCTAGATTTTAATGGCGTCCGCAAGGTATGTAGATAACCGGCACTTGTGTATTATTATAATATGCAGTCAACCCGTTCAACTATCAACTGAACTCAGAATCATTTTGTCGTTAGCGATGGTTTGTCATTGCTTACAAATATACATTAAATTCTCTCTCTTCTGCTTGCTCAACTTCTCACCTACAACAAATGTCAACATATATTTTTAACAGTGGATATTATAAAAATTGTTAAAAAAATTTTTTCTGTTAAAATTTCATATCACTACGAATATGTTTAACTGAATAACAAAAAAAAAGACGGACATACTTCACACTTGGATGGGCCATTGTTATAGGTGAGAAGTTGGGAAGGTAGTAGAGAGGAAATTTAATGTATATCTGTGCCCAACGATTAACCATTGCTAAGGAAAAACTGATAATATTAATATTAATTTTTGTTATTTTTAATTTTATTAAATCATTATTTTTTTATTTTATGATTCGATAGTCATTATTTGTTACCAAGTTCTATTGTTTAAATGTATTAGTCAATTAAGAAAGTATATAGCAAAATAGTTTTAATTAGGGAAGTATCAAGTGTTGTTATATTATTTTAAAAATATTGTATTACAAATTAAATTGTTTTGCTAAATTTGTTTGGTTTTTATTTTTTTCTCTTACTGTATTATCTGTGTCACAAACGAAGTACATAGATAATAAATACAAAAATTATGTTAATTTTTAGTTAATGCATCTATACTTCATACAAGTAATTTTATATTAAATTCTTCTGTTCTCAAATTATCTAATATTAAAAACAGAATATGTTTATTAATTCTTGTTTTGATAGAATTAAGCAAACAGCATCTTTAAGCTGAAAGGTTACAGAAATTAAAATTATCATTTTCATTATATTATGTTTTAGATTCTGGGCAAAGCCAAGAATGTATTAGTTTTATAATGTTTTTTTTTTTATCTATGAATTTATATAGTAACATTTAAACATGGTTTTTCTACCTGTACTAAAGCGATAAAAAAAAAATGTCTAAAATATTGTTAAATAATATCCAATTGAACATATTAAATAAAATTATTATTTTATTTTGTATTTTTTGATAAAATGAAAATAAAATAAATTTTCGTCTCATTGTGCATCACTACTGGAGAACATTAATGGATTTTGACGTTTTCAAAAATAAAAAATAAACAAATCTAAATAATACATAGAAGACAACATTATATTAAAATATACGTTTTTTTTTTGCAAAAAACAAAACAAAAACTATTTGTATATAATTAAAATTAATTGAGATATTTCTATTTTAAAATCTAGTGTCTCTTTGTGGACTCTTCTCCCCTACGCTAGTAAATCAATATGATTTTAAAATACGTTAATTATATTCTTTGGAACCCGCGAACAAATTTTACTAATAAAATTAGTAACTGTAAGGTGTATTTGTCGATCGATCACACATAAGTTGATAATAATTTTTAGTCGATTCATCAAGTAGGGATTCTGAAATTAACAATCGTGCAAATTAATTTTAAAAAGTACAATAATTATTAAATACTATGAAAAATATGTTAAATTCAAAAAAATAAAAATCGTTAATACGTACACGAGATAAAGAAAAACAACTGTCGTTAATTTCGTTTAGAATACTTCTGTAACAAGGTAACATGTTTTTTGTTGGAGTAAGATATTCGGTTTCGTCTAGTTCACCAATCGCTTTCTTAATGTCCGGTCTTCTTTTCTCGATCTTCGAATAAATGACCCGAAACACGTTATCAATGATTAATCTCCTCTAAAATATAATTAATAATTATATACATACAGATATGCATACGCAGGTATCTTCGGACTCTTCATCCAAGGACATCCAAGAACCAAAGGCCATGGCCAATAATTAAATAAGGGCTACAAAGAATTGGTACGTTTAAATTTTTGATCTTTAATTATATTTAAGATTGACATATTGTGTATTTATTACTTTAGAAAAATCCTACTGATATGCTTTGTTAAAATCGTATATTCTATAAATATAATAATCTAAGATTGTTAATTAATTATTGGAAAAATTATTGGACTATATATTAGTATTCTTGTGGTTGGAAAAAAAAGTAACTGTGAGGTTAAATAAAAATTATTTTAATCAATTTTTATAATTTTTTGTATAAATGAAATTTCATGAAGTTAGAATTAAATAACAGTTCTTCAAACATTTTATCCAAATTATTCCATATACCAATTAATGAACTGGAAGCTGAAATTAAAATTCTCAAACATATGCCCGATGTACCTAGTAGTACATCAAGTAAATCTATTTATGAATGGTTAGATATTAGTTAAAAAATAGTAGACAGTCAGATATTTTTAACACTATGTATTTAACATTAATGTTTACCATATTACCAGTTACGAGTTGTACATGTGAAAGGATAATTTTCAAATTAAGCATTGTGAAAAATAAACTGAGATATAATATAAGCCAAGATACTATTAGATTATTATTAATATTCATAGAACAATAACTAGCATGTAAATTGGATTTTAATAGTATCATTGACAACTTCAAAAATTGTATTCTTATAGAACGTAAGTTAGAATTATAATTGTATACATTTTTTATACACCTATATTATGTCAACTTATTATGAATTACAATAGTTCAAATATAAAACAATTGTTAGTGTATTTTATTGGATTTTATTTTTTGCATCATTGAATTTTTACCCCCCTCCCCAACCTGAAACAAAAGTTTATGCAGATATGATACGGTAAACATAAAACTAAATAAATACATTTGTAATAAAAATATTTTTTTAAAAATTGGTATCTACCTTGTTATTTTGATATAATTCCATTTTCAATTTGTCTTTCTCGCGTGTAGAGAGTTTGTCGTTAGTTAAACGATTTTCTATAGCATGTATTTGTACATCTCGATCGGGAATTGTCACGATCGTCTAAATTGAAAATACAAACCTTATATATTAATTTAATATTTAAGGATGTGTTATTTTTCTGATTCAAATTTTCAGTAGTTCACCACTAAATACTTTTTTGTTGTTTGAATTTTAAATTACTCTTAGAAATTACAATTAAAGAGTGTCTAAAGAGAATGAATATAGGTAGAGCCAGGGAGTTAGTAAACGGGCAGAAATGTTATCAGACCTGTTTGAATAGTTGTTTTTGAGTGATTGAATAGCTGAGAGTACATCATCACATGAGAAAAAGCAGTTGGAGGGAAGATCATATGAGAAAGCTTTTTCAGTGTTGGAATTAGTGTGAGAGGCCAATGGGAGCTTGAAAACGAGAAAAAATATTTGAAAAATAGATTAGCTGAGCTTAGTAGGCTATATGATACTTCGCCAGAAAGGTGTATTGTATGTAAAGGAATTAAAAAGTTTTGCTTCCGATCTCTGTTGAATTTCCAAAAGTAAGATAGATTAAAGGAGAGGAAGCTTTCGGTGTGACTTATAAATGACCGATAGTCTGAGAGTGATTGGCGCTTACACTTTGCTCGCAATTCAGAGAAAATTAAATAATCAGAGGCTATATTTGTCTGCTTAAATACTTTATGAGCGCTCGTTATCTTATTAATTAAGAATTTAAGGGAAGAAGTAACCCAACGTGGGAAATTAGGAGTTTTAAATATCTTCCTTAGGACAAATTGATTAATAGAATTCAAAATTGCATCGTTGGCAGTGTCGTTGATGGGGTAGTTACGAAAGGTTGCATCCCAGTTGAATGAGTTAAAGAAGTGAGAAATAGGTTCATAATCCCCAGCTTTAAAGTCATAATATGAATGAGTAAACTCGGCTCATTTGGATAATAGAATTTGATATGGGGGATGATAGGGGTCAGGATTAATTAAAGGTGAACGTGCTTTGAGAACAGAGTGAACATTGGAGTTAGAGAAGACTAGATCAAGAATGTTTCCAAAGCAGTTGAGGATACGGTTAAGCTGAAAGAAGTTTAAGAAAAAGAAAGAATCTATGACGAGAGAAAATGTAGGGGATACAACTCTAAAGGCTGAGAGATCGAACTTATCAGATGACCAAGATACATCTGGCAAATTATAATCACCAAGAATGATAACCGAGATGGTTATGATTGACAATGTAATCAAATATTAATAATATCGATTACCTTTTGAATCGTGTTGTGCGAATAACTGGCCGATTTTAATTTAGTCGACTGATGACTTGAAAGGTCCCACAGTAAAAAATTGCCAATAAAAGTAGATAACGCTTCATGGCCAACATGAAAATCACCGTACATCATAACATTGCTTTTGGTAACGTTCATTCGGGCGTCTTGGAAATCTTTAAAAACCGTTCGGTCTCGAGTAGCAATATCATAGTATATCTGGCACAATATTTATACAATTTGTTCAATAGATAATTTTACTTCCATGTATTGTAAAATATAATTTAACTTATGGTAGTGTGTAGATCTGGTGGTATTTTCGTTACACTGGTATTACGTTGTTTCAGTAAATACCATTAGTTCGATAAATATCATCTCATCGATAAATACCGTATTATTATATAATCAAAAATAACAAAAACTTTAATGCCATAAACTTTCGTATATGACATTTTTTTTTCTTCAGATTTTCTTAATTATTATGAAAACCATTCGGAAAATTGAAAATTGGCCTCTTTAATGCATCAATTAGATCAAAAATGCAACAAAAAAGGTCTCTTGCTATTTTTTATTGGTTTCTGATCGAAAATTGGTTAACAGTCAAATGAATACTCACGAAATTTAAATGTCTATAAGTAGTTCAAAATTTCTCAAATGTTTTAGAAATCTACGACGTTTATAAAAGACAAAAAATTGTTTTCTGTCAACATTTTAAGTCTACAAATATTTTGAATTGAATTACAACAAAAATAATAAAATTGAATTTAATAAAATCATTATTTTCGTAAATTTTGCCACTCTTTCTACCTTTTTCTTTTTCAGTTTTAATCAATTGTTTAAAAACTTATCGCGAAAATCAATTAACAACTTTCATTGTCACTAATTAGATTCAAAAAAAAAAATTCAAAAACAAAACAGATTGCTTGTTGTTTTTCATTCAGCAAAATATTTCTGGTAGAAAACATAAAGCATAAAAATTAAAAATAAAGAAATTGTAACGATGTAAATTTGTCAGATTTGATTTTACGTTTTACGGGTTATCCTAACTATTATGAAAACTTTTTGAAAAATTATAAAATTGCCTTTCTAATACACTAAATAGATTTCGATGAATGAGTTATGAACCAGCTCTTTAATAAAAACTTTTTACCAAAATATTGGTTTTTATAAAAAAATTCTATTTGCCGAAGAGACGATGATAACATTAATAACCGAAAAATACCGTAATACCGGTGACGAAATTCTTAATAGTGTCAGCTCTAATAGTCGGTATTCGGTAATAATGGGTAAGAATGGCTATTGAAAACAATCACCACTTAAAAATGGTCAAAAGAAAATATATAGGAAATAATTCCTCCATTTCCTCTATAAATATTTTCCTTTTGCCATTTTTGTTGGGCCGATATTACCTAAATTCATTTACTATATATCATGTATTATTCTTCGATTAATTTGATTACCAAACTACCAAAGTAATATATAATTGGTAACTTACAGAGTCGTAATTGTTCATCCATTTGACACTAAACACATCACCAAGACAAGTTTGATACGATTTGTTACCATTGTCGAATTCACAATAACATGCGTAAGAATTTTCTCTGGGTCCAGTTGCAGTGATCGCCATAACTAAAATTAAATTTGTATTTAAATATATTTAAAAGCTAAATATTATGAAAAGTTTAAAAGCCGAACAAACTTTAATGTGTATGTATTTTTTAAGTATAGGTAACATCTTAATCGTTAAGAAATTTTTAGTCTATAATGTTCCAATATATAAGTGTAAGTGTGAAACAGCGTTTAATTAATTAATTATATAAAAAAAGAGATGATATTTCTACTATAAAATAATTTCAACATTACATTAATGTCTCTAACTACATTATATTTATATGAATATAAACGTTATTAGCAAGTCAATTCAGGTGGACATAAGTATAGATAAAATTTTAATCGTTAAGAAAATTATAGATATAAGTTTTAGTCTATATAATGTTCCAATATATAAGTATAGGTGTGAAACAGCGTCTAATTAAAGTTACAAATCTAATCTGTACTGTATATGGATGCAAGACTTGGGTGTGGCTAAGTTGTGAAAAACTAAGAACAAATGATAGTAGATTTACATATTATACTAAGCAAAGTAAATTGAGCTAGAAAAATATTAAGTCACATTAAAGTTAGAAGATGGAATATGATTGGAAATGTTCTGAGACACTAGTGAAACCGCTAATTATCATTGACTTTCTGATATAATTTGTAGTATTTTATTTAGGTATTAAACATACGGTACACGTTAACAGCATGAAATAGTTTTAATTTAATTTCGGTAATATTATAATAATTTCCAAAATTCAAACTCACCGGCCATGTTTTCATTTAGAATCCCGTCGAACATAGATCCCGCCTTAGATGCTTCAACATAGAATAATATCTTTCAACGAAAATACGAAAAAGTTTCATTTGAAAAATTAATATTTATATATTATGGATAAAAGCCGAAATCAGGCAAATTTCCAAAATGCCCGGGCAAACCACAAAATATCCACTCGGTCATAAAACGTCATATTTCAGCTTTTGCTCGGACAAACTAGGTAGCTAACAACCTAATTTGAGAACTGTAACGTCCATAAATTTCAGTTTTTCACAGTAGGTAGGTACCATATTTTCTTAGATTTATTAATTTTTTTATGTGACCACTATTTCTACCAGAAAGCTTACTCCGATTTATATATAATGTAAACTCTTTTTGGAAGGAAATTTTCTTGTGACGGTATTTGTACCAGGTCATTTTACGATTTTCAAAGGCGTTTTCTCATTAAATATGAAAAACCGAAAAAAAAATCGGGAAAATGTACAAAATATATTAGCCAAATTTTATAATTTTTTTTTTCTGTGAACAACTTTTCTACTAGTTATTTTGCTCCAATTTACAAAGATGGCACTTTTTCTAAAATCAAACTGGGGAAGTACTTTAAAGAGGAAATTTTTTGATTTTCCCAAAATTCTAATATTTTAAAAATATAATTGACATGTTACAATAACAAAAGTTATTCAAAATTTAAAAAAACATATTAACTGTATTATAATACTCTACTATTATTAATAATAATAAAGTACTTGATATCTTCATTAATTAATTGGTCCTTGCGTGGAAATATCTTTTAGCTTTTGATGCATATTGACAATATAAATACAAATGCAAACAAAACAAATATAATTTGTATTTCCAAATGCAATGGTTCCAATATTTGTAGCAATAAATAAACAAATATATTTATGACAATATACCTAATAATCTGTGTATTGTGTTTTGTATTTTATTTTTATTTCATGTATGTATATACATATAATCTTATATTCCTATCAACTAATTGTGTTTATATTTTTGGATCGTTAACTTAATTTAAGGGTTATAAATTGTAACTCTCTACCACCACCACAAGCACAACTTAAAGGTGATTTAAAAATTTTAATTTATGGACATCACAGTTTTGTCCAAATTAGGTTGGTCAATACTATAGGTTTTTATTCGGGTTATAGCCGAAATATGACTTTTATAACGTTTTAGCGAAGTATCGTGTGTGTGTATACCAGTGGCGTAATTGGAAATCACAAGGGGTCACAAGTGTGGCCTAAAATATAATACCGGAGTCACAAATGTATTGATTTGCTGCAACCCCTGTAATTTCTGTATTATCATTTTTCGTTTGTAAAAAAAAAATTGAATTTGGTAAGTAATTATTTAATTATGAAAAAAAAACATGTTCAAAAATGGTAAAATTGAAAAAATATGTATTATAAATAATCTACCGATGAAAATTCAATTGATAAAATGTACATTTCACTATTTTGCTATTATAAATCTATTTTTAGATTCAAACTTTTCTGTGGTATTTTTACTTATATAATATTTGGTTATAATTTTTAGTGTAAGTTATGGAATATTTTAACCATTAAAAAGTAAAAGAATATTAATACATTTATAAGTCATTATTGTAAATACATTAAAATATATAACAGCGATGAAACATTTACAATTTGAAAAAGTATGTGGCTTTTGATTAGTGCTCCTCTACTCTCCCCTTGCTCAAACCTAAAAGTTGAATATCTCGCCAACGGGTTAGCAAATATAAAAAATTTTAAAATTTAATCATAACACGAATGTTATACAGCGTATATACATTATACTCGTTTATATAATATTAAATTAAATTAATATAACGGATATTGCTTTACATAAAATTTACCTTGCTATATTTTCCTGCTCGATACATCATAATCAGCGTATCGTCTAGTTGGTCGGCATACAAATAACTGTTTGGAAAGCTTAATATTCTATCTGTACCATGAGTGACGATGTTGATGAAAATTGTGTCATGTGGCCCTCTGAATACGCAAAAAAAAATATATAGTACCTATATAATTTAGTAATAGTATATACGTTTATTAAGTTTTAAAAGTCACTGATAAACATATATTACACAATTATTCATTTTATACGGTACTTTTATGAACTAGTCACGACCTAAAAATTAAAATGAATCGATTTTAGAATGTTTTTATTGCTCTGAAAATGACATGAATTAGGCTGAATTAATACGTGAAAAAAAATAAATAAAGCGTTTTCAGTATTGTAAAACACCAAAATAATATGTAAAAGATATTTTAATAACTTATGTTTTTCTTTTCTTTTTTTAAACATTTTATAACGTATTTTGATGGGTTTTTTTTGTACCTACAATCCGAGCTTGTAGATAAGATTAAATAACATATTTTGTCTCGTTATTAGTACCTATGTGTTCCGCCTTAACGTTAGCATACATTTCACTTACAAATGTTGATGAGAGCTGGCTAATAATTAGTCGTATACAATTATACCTACATTTTAATAAGTATCGCTTATATCGCTTTATATTTTTAAAAAAGTAAAATTATAATTATGTAAAAAATATGAGTAATGTTCATATCTGTAAACGTTAAAATAATTGTAATTATTATTTCGATGATAATAACTACAGGTAAATTTTTAATAAGCATTCACATTTGAGGATGTGCTTAACTTTATGAAGAGGTTCACTTTGCAAATTAACGTACCTACCCTTCAACAACTCTACCAGATCCAATAGAACTCATCAATTCTTTGTCTCCACTGATAACCTTCAAGAAATTGTCAGCCGTCACGTTCTACAGTATTAAACGAAATCTGCATTTTATTTCTATAGATTTCATTATCTATTTATTTTTTGTATGTATAATATAAATTTTTTATGTTGCACATCGTATATGTTAACGTATTATTTTTAAAACATTTAAAAAACATTTAATAACTGTTAACTTTATTTGGTAGTGTCATCTTACCGTTCCGGTATAGTCAATAAAAATTCCACCGTACACGTCTGAATGGTCGGGATTGTTGGTTATAGTTCCCGGATTTGGATTCCTTTGATAAAATAATAGAAAAACAATCATATATATATATTAATTATGAACGTACTTATATATGTTTAAAAAACAGAATCTGACATACAATACATAGTTACAACTTACACGCATAGGTACCTACTCGTATTTTGAGGGGATATATTTTGATAAAGTCAACCATTCTTTATTATTGCATAGGTTAAAGTCTTTTGGATTTGATGGACACTTTCTAAATTGGTTATTTCCATATCTTTGTAATAGAATAGTAGTTAAAATATGGGGGTTTAATATTAATGATTGATAAGAAAAAAAAACGGACATACTTCGCACGATGGGTGAACCACTGCTATAGATGAGAAGTTGGGAAAGTAGGATATTGAGGGAAATTTAATAGATATCTTTACCTAAGCTAATTTAGGTATTACTAACAAAAAAGATTCTGAGCTGAACTCGATTAGGAATATTGCTCAGTGACGTCTTTGGGTCAATTCTATGGGAGAGCAAACAATTTTTACAACAATTTTTTGAATACACCACCGCTTTGGTCAACAAAAACTTTTATACCTAATGACATTTCAACTTATATTAGCTTAGAAGACTGCAGATATATTGTACAAATACAGTAAAACAGTACAATTTAAAAGTTTAATTAATTTTTTTCACATTAAATAAATAATGATAAAATAAATAACAAAAATAATAAGAATAATAATTAATAAAATTTATATGACCAAGTCCAAAATACTTTTATTTTAAGCAGCGTTTCGCAAGCGGTGTGATCAACAATATTTTCTATACCTATTAATGTTTTCATTTCGATGAATGCATATTTAAAAATGATTAGCCAGTTAACCTCTGCTCAAAATTCTATTTTCTTCCACATAGTACGACTTTTATTGAACCTCATATTAAATTCTCTTATTAAAAATCGCTAAAAATTTTTAAAAATTTTACCACGTCTAGAAAAGGCAATTATTAATTTTTTGTCCAAATTTCAAGTCCATAAAGTCGATGTGAATATTTTTAACTGAATGTCAACAAAAAACTTTAATTTTTATAGAAAGATCAAAAGTGGATTAAATGTTTTAAAAGTGTTACGATGTCTAGAAATAGCAAATATAAGTTTTCTGTCCAAATTTCAAGTCGCTATGAATATTTTATACTGAGTTATAACAAATAACAAAATTAAAAAAAATTAAAATATTACTTTCGTAAATATTCAGTTTTTCTTACGTTTTATCCCGGATATTGAAACCGCTTGGAAAATCAAAAAATGGCCCTCCCTAAAGTACCATCTAAACAATATCTCATTTTAGAAATGTTGCTACACGTAAATATATCGGAAATTTTTGTTACCGTATAAAAAAAAAAAAAAAAACATCTTTGTAAAATATTTGCTATACTCAGAATCTAAAAAGGTGATTAGTAAAAAAACTAACCTAAAACTATTAGGTCCTTAATATTGAAAACGTGCACTACTCATATTGATTTTTAATGAAAAAAAAAATGTATTTATTTAAATGGAGTTATAATTATATGTTTTGCATTTTAACTTTTAACTTAACTAGTTAAATTTATTTTATGTTAACTATTAACTTTTAACAAAAATCATTTTTGTATTTTTTAACTTAATTTAAACTAGTTAGTTATTTTTTTTAATACGTAATACTCGTAATACTGTACATTTTTGTTTTTCTTATGCCATTTTAATTATATTATATTCCCCCCTGCGATTTATTGAGCAAAAATTGTTATATTGAAATTAATAATATACCAGAATATACTTACAATGGATTGAATGCAATATCGTCCACCATCATTGTTATGATGTTCTCTGGTGGAAATCCGTTTCGTACGCATATCTGATATGCATGACATATGTCTGCCTATAAAATAACAAATATCATATTAGTACCTATAGGACCTAGCATAGACAGTGCTAGGTTTTACGAGGGTATTATTATAGTATACCTATACAAATATTTGTCTATTATGGGTACATACTAGGTAAGTAATAATTTGTACATTATATATGTAAACTTTGTTTTTAAGCCATTGTCACTATAAAACCGTAAACAAACAATAATAAATTAATATTGTATTCTATATTTGTATACTCTACCCCAGTGTCGTGGTGAAAGGGGTATTATGACGCCTGGGCGTCGTGGTAAAAAAAACTTGGTGGGTGATTACATTATGATTACATTATATATTTTATACTATATTTAGGTGGTCAAGGGTGGATATGTACTGAAATTTAGTTCAAATTTTAGACCTCCATAGTGAATATCCTGCTGAACCTTAATACTATGCTGTTAGATTACAACTCACTATCAAACTGAGTCTATACGTTTACACCGTTTTATCTATATCCTGGTTCTTTTGATTATTACTAAAATCACAATTTTTGTGAAAACTAAAAAAAAAAACAAATGGATATACTTCGCACGATGGGTGAACCATTGTTGTTGGTGAGAATTTGGGAAGGTAGAGAACAAATTTAATGTATATGTGTACGCAAAGATTTATCATTATGAAAGAAAAACGATTCTGAGCGGAATTCGATTATACATGTTTTAAAAAGTCGTAATATTTACGATTTGATAATAATACTTGACGTAAATTACTTTGTTCGTGTCATTCAGAACTTGATCAAAGAACCAAAGGTGGTGAAACCGGCCTGCGAATTGTTTTCGAAAATAGATTGACTAAAGTAGAAGTCACAATTTCAAAAAACGCAGGAGTTCGCCATCACCAACCAAGATAATACCTTTAGCAGATTCTACAAATATCACTTCATTAACCGGCTTCTACCAAAACTGTAGGGGTCTTAATACTAAATTAACTAAGTTTAAGTGTAATGCATAAAATGTTAATTATATATTTATTGTACTATCAGATATATACGCGCGGCATCATTTCTGAAAAGTAATGTTATCCAGATAGTCCTTTTTGGAGGTTATTTTTTGATTTTCCAAGCGGTTTTCATAATATCTGGGAAAAATTGGAATAAAATGTCCAAAAAATGGAAAATATATGAAATGTAGGTAAAAAAAATTTAGGAGAAAAATATTATTGCCTTTTTTTTTCTGTGTAAAACTTTTCTACTAACGATTTCACTCTGATTTAAAATAATAGTACCTTTTCTGAAAGGAAATTTGACTGAGAAGGTACTTAAGGGAGGTAATTTTTCGATTCCCAGGATAATTTAATTTAAGTATCTATGTATTGTTAAAAATCTAATATTCCAAATGTCCATATACTAATGACCTGTTGTCGATGTATTTAAATAATAAAAAAAAAAAAAACTTTATCGTTTATACAATTATAATCAATTTTAAATTAGAATAATAATTCATATAATTATATAATTTGCAAAACACCCAGAAATTGCAATATAAAATGGAAAGTTAATTAGCTTGATGTAATGTATTAAAACGCTACATGAAAAAAATAAAAACGTTTTTGAACACGAAAACATTAGAAAACGTTTTTGGATTCGAAATCGAAAGATAACATTTTTCTATTCGTTTTCACTCTCTAGAATTTACCTCAAAATGTTTTTTTATAATCCCGTGTGTACCAACTTAAATTACTTTTTAATACCTAGCTTACTATTGACATTTTATTTTAATGATTAATTTTTGCAAGAGTTTAGTTAAGTCGAAAAATTATTCGCATAGTTATGATTTTAGATTCTAAACGGAGCGAGGAATGTCTTGGTTTTACAATGATGATTATTTTTTTTTCTGTAAACAACTTTTCTACCAGAAATTTTAATTTCTATTCGAATTTTGAAGAGTAACAATTTTTTTAAAGGAAATCTGACTGAAATTGAGGCCATTTTTAGATTTTCTCTTGGATTTTCATCACAAATGGGAAAAACCAGTAAAAAACGTAAGAAAAACGGGAAAATGTACAAAATATATTATTTTAATTATACGGGATGGGCTCTTTTGAGCATACAACAAAACGTTTGAGATAAGAAAAGTTATTATAAAAATAAATTAATAAAAAGACGTCCTAGGATAATGGAGACGGGCAGTGCTCGAATTGAAAAAAATTAAGTAGAAAATCTCAATCCAACGGTTTAAAAACTATTTTCCGAATGCACAATCATTTAACACAGACCCATGGGGGGCTTCGTCCCCTTCCTCCCCGATCCACCTTATCTGCATTTTGAATACCATTTTTCAGCTACAAATATTAAAATTCCAAATATATTTTAATAACAATACCTACATTCTACATGTTGCAGCAGAAAACAAAAATGATATGAATATTGTACCCTGATGATAATATTTTACCTTTTTTTTTTTGCTATCGTTTTTCTGCAGATATTAGATAATGTATATAACCACTATAGAGTAATTACTCTATGGTAACCACATGGTCAAAAGTTTAGTTAAATAAATTCAACTATGCGGTATCGTTTGGTTATTTTGGTATCGTGTGATAAAATATCGATACACATACTATATGGTAAAAAAATATAAAACCATAGAAAAAATGATAATATAAAACTAATATCAAACATTATTTTGAAATTAAAAATAGTAAAATTCGTTGTACAATCGACAACAATTGAAATCCACATTTTAATATAAATTATTTAGACATCAGTTTGTGCCATCCCCCCGTTCCAGCAAAAAAATATAATTGGGGTACGCAAGAAAATAAAAGAAATAGTAGAGGAGCTCCGTCCCTCTGCGCACCTTCCTAATTCGAGCACTGGAGACGGGTGCAGCCACTGTTATAGGTAATTTAATATATATCTGTAGGCAATGATAAACCATCGCTACCGAAAAAACGATTCTGAGCGCAGTTCAGTTGATTAATATCAACTAAACTGAACATATATATATGTCATATTATGGTAAAATAATTAATTAATTAACAAATTATTATTTTTGAAACATATTCTATAAATATTAAAATTTTGAACCATAATAGGTGTAGCCCGGGTAAGCTTAGATATTCATTTGTTTAGCTACATGGTGTATTTATTATTTCTAATAAAACCCAGATAGTGTAATTTTATAAAAAGTAATTACATAATATAATAATATCATAACAATAATATCAATAATATAATATAATCAACTTAAGAAAAAAAACATTCGTATGTCGGCGCACCTACTTGATGTCTGTAATTGATCCATCCTTCGGTTCCTGCTACCAATACTACCCAACTCTTCCCGTATTTTGGATTTTTGTTATTATTTGGAATGTGCACGCTAAACGAACCAATGGCGAATATTGCAACCAGCGATAATACAATGCGAACACCTATAACTCAGGAATCGATAGTATAAAATATATGAGAGCGGCTTTTTTCGATAATTTCAAAAACTTAAAATATATATGGCATACATAATTAATGGTTTATAATATACATTGTGTGTAACAAAAAAATATATAAATACAGTAGTCTAATAACAGATTTAATACCTATCATTATTGTATATATATATAGGACTTAGGTACATTATTTTTAGATTCGTAAAATGTACACAATTCCAATTCAGTATAAAATAAGGTACAAGTGCAATGTACAATATAGACACTGCTGTCAAAAAGTTATAATTTATTTGTATCACACACGAATTTTAAATAACAAAACATTTTTATTTTACAATTAAATTGACTATAATAATATTATCTTCGGTGTCTAATGTCTATTCTATTATAATATTATCATTCACTCGAGAGCCGTACGATGATGAATTGTAACATTCAACTATAATATTTTATCTTTTAATGTGAAAAATAACTTAAATTAAAATAATTTTGTTCACATTGAATCGCCATTAGAACTGTACAGAATTCATTTTGATTTAATAAACAGAAATGCGGTAGAATTTAAATTACTGAATTTGGCCAAAACAAAGACGAGATGTCAAACCTAATAATAATTTCAAATTCAATAATATCTATTGATCTCCCCCGATATTAGTATATTGCCTTAAACAGTTTAAATAATAATATTTATAAACTATCGAAGTAATGAAATTAATTATTATTACTTAATTAGTTTTATTTATTAGGTGTTTCGAAGGATAAAGTAATCGTATAATTTAAAGCGTGGTCAGAAAAATTTACGAAAGCTTAGATTTTGTGGTTTTTAATTGTTTGAAAATCAACCTGGTTCTTTTATAACAATTCAACGATGTACATATATATATAAGTACGCCAAATCAGTTGATAATAAAGTTCTCATAATTCTTAAAAAAAAAAATTAATTGTGTATAGGTAATATTAACAATCATCCTTGTTGCCGCTCTCACCAGATTAATTTACCTACGATTCATTTACTCGACATGATATGTAATTATTATGATTATAATATATTATATGATATATATATATACAAATAAATATTTAAATATTATGTTTACCCATTATTATTGTGTTCCTATTGGTATCTTATTCGGATTTAGGGGTGAGTTCCGCGACAATACAGGTCCACGGTATCTTGACTTTGGTATGTATAGAATATTGTATAGGTTCTGTTGAGTATGCAGGCAATCGTATCGAATATATAGAAATAGTAAAAAAGTAAAAAATGAAATAATATTTGAATACGTTGAGTATGTGATAAAATCTAAGTGGCCATCCACTTGTCGGAGCAAATATGTGTGCATATATAACTTTTTAGTTTTCATAAACTAAAAACAAATTACATCAGACATTTCACAATATACCTACTCGTATAGTGTTATGGTATTATTATTATTTTTTATCGAATGAGCCTATATCCAATGGTTACATTCAATTTGAATGAATGGTTGAATGTTCGCGCTATTTTCTAATATGTACTGTCTCCAACAGTAAGTATATGAATTATATAATACTGATTTCGAACAGAAATATCTATTATGTGGTTCTGTGATTTAGTAGTGAAGAATTATCGATTTATCATTTTAAAAATAGATACGTCATTTATTCCCCTTCCCTACTCCTCCGATCTAAACTTTTAACGGTTATAACTCGTAAACGGTATATCTGGTATATATTTAGGTTGGAGGAGAGTAGTGATGTATTAACACGCAACGCGCCGTACCGCCACACAAATGATACTCCACCACTCTCCTCCAACCAAAATTTAAAAGTGGAATATCTCGTCAACGGACCGACGGAATTAAAAAATGTCATCACTCAAATTTATTTTAACTTATACTCTATCTATTTATGGAATTTTTAATATAGGTTGCCATTTGAAAATCAAAAGTGGTTTTGCCTCCAAAAATAAGGGTAAAAAAAGTAACATGAATACAAAATTGTAAAGCTGCTTGTTTCTTAAATGTTCTAGAAAACAAATTCCGGAAAAGTTAATACTTTCCGAGATAATGAGTGTACCCACTTAAATGGATCACCGGATATAGTGTATACAGATTCAGGTAAATTAGTATTAGTAATTTTTATTTTCCGTATTAAATGATTTGTTTTATTTTAAATTCGTTGGTATATCATATATCGACGAAAGATTTATACGTGTACTTACTGTCCGAACCGGAGCTGTTTTTTATTCAACCTAAATAGCGTGGAGGTATTAAGTAAATAAGTAAACACTAATATTGAACGATAATTTGAATTAACAGCTCGTAATGCTGTAGTCATACGAATTAATTCTTGTTTATTAGTATAAGGTTTATGCGTATAAGCCGTTTAGACTAATGATTATAAAAATTATCAGTCATTATCGGTCGATGCAGAATGTTCAAATTATCTGTAGTTTTTCTTTCGAGTACCTAATCGAGGTCTTCACAAGGGAACGGCATTTATTTCTACTTGTTAAGGTTTTTGACTTATCGAGGTTCCACTGTACTTATAATGTAATTACTCTAAAAGAAAATATGGTAAGCGTAAAGGTAACTCAAACAAGAATAAAAATATCTCTCCATTAGGTATTACTTTTTCCTATTATAGGAAGTATTATTGTAGATCGTGAGTAAAGATCTAATAAAGGTTACCTGTCTTTAAAATTTGCCTAGAATCGTATCTACGTGGAAAACAACTATTCTTCTGACATTATTGCTACCTAATTGATTACACAAATCTGATTGTTGTAAATTCTATAAATCTTCGACCTGGCGTCGAAGATTCACCGTACCAGAAATCTAGATGAAATATAATTAATTGACACCAATAAATAAAATAACACACTTTTGTTTTTAATACGTATATCAATATAACGTATAGACAACTATATGCAAATGACATTATTACTATCGGCTTCCAGAATGACACCGGCCCGTAATTAGAATATAATGTACACGTCGAGAAACACTAGAAGACCACGTTTTGGAGCTGCCCGCGGTGCGTTATATTCCGTGTTCCTTATGTCTGTTGTTACCTCTAGCCTAATTGTCTTTATTGATTATAACCTATAATCACAGGCGGGTCTACGGTGTCTGGGCTGTCCTTACAATTTTCGAAAGGCGCCGGTCAACCGAATTTTATGTCTAGTGATGGCTTACAACTTTAATTTAAAAAAACAATTTGATTGTGCATTGTTAATAACAAAATATTATTTTCTATCAGTCTATCATTTTTATTGTTTTATATACTAACACATCATATATTTTGTTAGTTATTTAATTATATAGCGGTGTAATTCAGGCCTGTACATGAATAATATTTCTGTGGTTTAATTTAAAGGTACTGAAAATACTGTACATTATTAATTGTAAATAATTAATACAGATTTTTGAATTATATAAATATTTAATTGGGAGGCTAACCTCCCCCACATATTTAAAGGGGATTTTTTCAGTTCATTAAGAGGCACCGATTATTAGCTAGGCTGCCACTGCGAATGAAGTCTAGTCACGTCTATGCTTATAATTATGTCTAATTATGGGTAAATAAATAGATAGGCAACAGAAATATTATAATTAGAAAACAAAAATAATACATATTTGTTTGACAATTTATTCTGTAAATCAAAAAACAGAATAATTATTATTAACTAAGACATATTATTGATCTATTATACACAGTTTTAAAACACATTAACTATATTCTTTGGAATCCTGGAACATGATTTGAACACCAAATTGCTAAACATCCCATGAATATTTTTATCAATAACACATAAGTTAGAGATAATCCTCAACCGTTTTAATACATAGGAATTCTGTAAATAATTTAGTTTAAAATCTTGACAATTAAAATACACAATATTCAAATATAAGTTATTATAAATATATATGAAACATTCTTTTATAACTAAATACAGAATATATATACAGTGTGTAACTGGACTAATTGACATGTTTACATGTAACTACAGTGTAAAAATATCAAATAGTCCTGTTACACTCTGTATGTATTCTTTTTCTCCGCCTTTGTCGTATGCAATTAAAATCAGAGACTTTTACTTTTACCCTCTAAATCTTCATATTTATATCGCCATTTTATTATTTACTTCAACCAGTTAAATATAATTCTACATCATGCATAATTCCTCAATTTTTTAATATCTAAATAATTCTTAAATATACCTAAGTTAATCAAATACAACTTTTTAACTACATTCATGATAAAATTTAACTGTATATATATATATATATATTTATATATAATATGTACATACTTGAGAAACTAAAAAGCAGTTTTCATTGATTTTGTTTACTATACTTCTATAACAAGGGAACATATCTAACGAGAGTTTTAGAAATTCAGGTTTATCAAATGTGCCAATATCACTCATGATTTTTGGTCTCAACTTAACAACTGACAAGTATATTTCTCGAAACACGTTATCAATGACAAATCTCATCTAAGGTATGAATCAAATATAATTAATACATGGCATTATTCTTTACAAAAAATAATGAATAGGTACTTCATCATTTTTTTGGAGTTCAATTTGCAACTCTTGTTTTCTTAAGTTTGTCAATTTTTTACTAGCCAAAGCATATTCCATGGTACATTTAGACACATCATGACTGGACACCGTCATCTGTTAAAATAAATGATAATTGTGTGTTTTTTACAATGAATTATTCACAACAATATTTGGTTAAAAGCGATTGGTTTGTTTATCATGTAGGTGTACTTGCTTTATTCTGAATAGTTTTTGACAATGACATAACTGATGGTTTATCAATCTTTTTCTGATAACCAATAAAAGTAGAAAGTTTTTCGTAGCCAATATCGAAATCACCATACACCATAATGTTGCTTAATGTGACGTGTTGTCTGATCTCGTTGTAATCATTGAAAATGCTTTTCTTTCTCATGATAGAGTCAAAAAATGTCTATAATATACATACATCGAATTTCAAATTAATATCGGTAGATATAATAGGTATAATATAATTTTATAAAGTTTAAAATGATCATTATTTATTGTTCCAAAAAGTAAAATTATATAATCATTATCATGTATATACAAATATACATACATATCATGTACATTCAAATATACTTAGGCTTATATATATGAATAGGCAGATATGTACAAATCACCTTATCTATATCTTCCATCCATGTCACACTGAACAAATCTCCTAAGCATGTTGCATAATCTCCACTTTCACTATAACAATAACATCCCCAAGAGTTTTCTCTGGGTCCAGCTGCAGTGACTGCTAAAACTATTTAAATAATATATAGGATGTCCTTCGAAGCATAGACGGATATCAGATGGAGGCTTAAAAGACTTAGCCCCCCCAGAATTTCCAATAGCCCCTCAATCTCGAAAGTGTATTGAAATGTTATTATTACTATTATTTGCTTTAAATTTGTTTATTAAATATATTATACTGTTATTTATAAATTATAAAACATTTTTAACAAATAGCACTACAAATTGTTAAAAATTTTACAGTGATAAACTATTCGATGCCATTCGGTAGTTCACTAAATTATCTTAGTCCGGACTATGACTAAATATACATGAATATTAGCAAGAAAATATATTAATAACAATATTATATAATCTTATAATATATTCATACTTGGATTAGTAGATTAGTATTTATTGTAGTCTTGTGTAGGAAAAGGGGTGAAGGGGTGTAGACCCTGCGGGTCACTGTACTTTTGATTATTCAGCCCCCTAAAAAGTCAACAAAATATCCATCTATGCTAAGAAGATAATATACCCACTGCAATATCTTCTGAGATGATAAAGAAAATTAAATTCTATTTTCTTTATATTACTCACAGGATAAGGACTACAAATATTTATATTACAATTAAATTTGTATGTTTCTGCAAAAAATTAAAAAATTATTTTATTTTATTATTTTTGAAAAATATTGAATCATCTTTACTATCTCAGGAAATATTGCAATGGGTATATCATTGTGGAACGGCCTTTATAATTTGTATAGATTAAATTAGAGATGTTACAAATCCTGATATTTAAGGTCGAACCGAACCGAATCAAACTTTTTAAATATTTTATCAAACTCGAACTCGAACATTAAAAAAGTTAAATGGTTAGGTTAGGTTAGGTCAAAAACCTAGGTTCTCAAACTGTTCGACTGCGTGGTTACTATTATAAGACCCACTAGTACGAAAAAATTGAATTTTTCTTTTTCGTAACAATGCCGCTTTGAACATCATATTGGGGACCACGCAGAATCGGCATCGAATGATCTTCGAACCGAACTATTGGGTATTTGGTTCAGTTCGATTATTTGCAAGTTTCAGTTCAAAAATCAAACAGTTCGTTACATCTCTAATTTAATTAATAAACATAAACAGCTTCAAATATTCAAGTAGTTAGTAATACAGTCTTAAAAATAACACTTAATAACCTAATCGTAGAAAATATAACTAATTAAAAGAAGAAAGAAGACATTTTTCGAATTTAACTTGTTTCAAGAAATAATTGTCCATATTAAAACTTACTATTCATATCATCACTGAGTATTCCTTCAAATATAGAACCCGATTCACATGCTTCAATGTATAATAACATCTTATAAATTATAATATAAATTAAAATTCACCATTTTCATTATAATAAATATTAATTCTTGTGAAAAATGACCTTTTTGTATCTTGCTGTTTCAAACGCAGTATTCAGTGCATCGTTCAATTGATCAGCATATAAATATCCATTTGGGAAACATAATACTCCGGATCCACCGTGATCAGCAAAGTTTATAAAAATCGTGTCCCATGCACCTCTTTAAATCGAAAGTCGCACATAACAAAATTACTGTATTAGTTAAGTATATACGGTTTACGTATAATAATATCTAAACACTTAAACTGAATTTACGACATTTAGAGCAGGTATTACAGGAACCAATTAAATGATTGTATTTTTACTAAGCAATATTTTCATTTCGAGTATCTCTAATAAATTACGAAGAAACAATTTTAACATACCCTTCAACCACTCTACCCGTTCCAACAGACTTCATTCCTTCTTTGTCACCGAGAATTATTTTCAAGAAATGTGCAGGTGTCACGTCCTAAAATTTAAAAAAGTTCAAGTTATCTAACCATTTGTATGATTAATCTAACTGGTGCGCATAATTTATTGTATAAAAATCATGCCAACATAACTTACATCTCCCTTGTAATCAATTTCAACTCCTTCATACACGTTTGTACCATTTGGCTGGTTAATTATTACGCCTGGAGTTGGATTACTATAAATTTATATATAATATTTATATATATTATATGTCACATCCACTCATTTCATGAACTAGATGTCCGGATAGTGGAATTCGTCCAGATCGTGATTTTTGACGAAAATACATTATGTGGACATCCATTTCATGAAATGGACAATTATATAAACCACACTTACATTGTATTTTATAAATAACAGTGTTACCTATGAAGTATTATGAAATAATCATGAAATGAACTATACCTATATTTCTTATATTGTTTTATTAACAAAATAATTAATTGATCGATTCAAACAATAATTAATGAACTATACCTATATATTTGTCTTCCTTATTATTTATTTTTACTTAACGATTGATCATGAAATCGACTGTTACATAGTGTATTATTTTTAAAACAAGCACACTTATGAATTCATTCATGAATGTTGCCTTATCGGATGATAGTCGACGGATACCTATGTAATTCCTAAGTTGTTCAACAAAAGACATTTAGTGAGTGTTTGTGTGTTATGCGTGTAACGCAGGTACTATAGTGCTAGCAGTTTTCAATTTTAAAATATAAAAATGAAAGAAAAGAACGCATTTTATAAAAAGATGAATGAATATTATAAATTGAAATCTAAAAAAAAAACCGTTCACTAAATGTGCTTAATTACAGATGATTGCGGAAATATAAATGGCAAAAAAACAACACGTAAGTAATTTCGTACTTAAATAAAAATTTACTTAATTAAATTAAATATAAATTTTAGCACGTTTACACAACCATAAAAAATATAATTAATTATATTTTGTTAGGTATACGTATTTTACTGAGAACAAAAGCTACTATAGGAGAATAGGATGAGGTAAGGTGGGTAAATATAACTACATTGGATTTTGAAAAAACCCTGGGCGCCACTGATTACGTAAATACCCATAGTCGTACCTATTCGAAAATCGGGAGAACTTGTATTTTATAATATTCTTCTTTAGTAGGTAGAAGCCAATAATATTTTATAGTTAAAAAATACTGTCCAAATTTTATTTTCTCTAACAATTATCTGGATGGTAATCATTATCAATTTATTATCAACAAATACAATAAACAATTTAATAATTTTATGGCGTTCTAATTATTAGTTATATTAATCACTTAATCTTTTCAGTAGTTTAATTTTGTTTTAGTTAACAGATATAATTTCATTTTTGTAAAATATAAGATGATAATTAGGTACTTCGGGTTGTATGCGATATCGTCATACATCATCGTTATAATATTCTTCTTCGGTATATTATTTCTGAGCATTATTTGATATGCATGACATATGTCTGCCTGAAAAAAAAATGATAAGCCATAATAATTAAAATATTCAACTTTTTGAATATTAACTAAACAACCATATAATTCTATGGAGTTAAAAATAGATAAAAATCCAAATCAGGAATTTAATACATTTTTTTTTTTTGTTAAAACAAAATATTTTAAATGGTCGGTCTTAAATAATACATTTTTAGTGATATACGATAAAGATAAGACAAAGTATGCCTTAAAAGGAATGCGGTTTGAGTCAATGGAAGAGGTGAAACAAAAATCGGCGGAACTCCTGAATGGTCTTCCGAAAACAGACCTCCAGCACTGCCTCGAGCAATGGAAGAAATGAATGAAACGGTGTGTGAAGAGGTGAGGAGAGTATATTGAAGGGGAACATTTGGTTGTGGAATAATTTTTAAAATAAAACCATTTTTCATAAGCAGTCTCGTTATTTAATAGCCAGACCTCGTATATATTTTTTTTTTTTATTAAGATAAATCCTCCCCGCAAACCACGTACAGAATCTAAAAACAGATTTACCGTTTTAACAAATATAAATTGTATTATCACATCAAAATAGTAGGTAAGTAAAAACGTTGAAGTTAATATTTGTTTTGCATTCAAAATTAATGGGTATTCAAGTATAGTTATACTTGGTAATTATAATTATTAGTCAACACTCCAAATTTACCGTAATCATTAATACTTTAAGTTACATAAATCAAATTTGTATTAAACCTGATGCCTGTAGTTACTCCATCTATGAGAACCCGCTACTAAAACGACCCATTTTTTGCCAACATGCACAGAATTCTCAACTTCGGCGATCTCTTTCAAAACGTCTCGTTGTTTTGGAACGTGAACTGCAGCAAACGATCCGATAACTAGTAACGCTAACGATACTACACATTTTAATGTACCTATATAATAGGAAATGGTAAAAATATGTTTTATCGATTAATGTGCTATCCGAAATTATTATGTATCGCATTGTGTGACACAATCAGGTGATTGTGAAGGAGTATTACACCGGTTTATTTTTTATTTTACGCAGCGAGGCGGGAGTAAAGCGGCCGGTCTGGACAAGGGAATTTTCCAGATAACCTGGATTATATTATGGCCTGGGGGCCTGATATTTGCATATAATATTTTACTAACTCATTTTATTTAAAAACTTGGTAAAAATACATACCAAGACACATATTATATTCTTATATTCCGATAACTAATAAGTAGTTTTTGCATACATTTCCGTTTAAAATATACCCAACAAAAACCCTTCATCAACTACGTCAAACCCTCGCTAATAAAAAAAAAATTAAAATTGTTTATAATGGTTTGTATTTGATGAAATGCGATAATTTAATACAAATAATTTAACTTAGCTTGGTGGCTACTAATATTTACGACTACAAATACCTTTTCATATTACTCAGGCTGTAATCATCCGATTAACTTAAAATTTACAAAAGTAGCATCTACCCGTACCACTTATCAACCCGTGTAAATTAGTCCATTATTTTAGGCTACAGAAAGCTCGAACCATTCGTCGTAAAATTTCACAGGTTAAAAATAGGAGTTGGTCGTCTCGTGTAATATACTACGGTCGACGCACAAGCTCTTTTTCTTATACTTAGTTCTGCGGTTTGAATATTGATGAAATTGCTTTTCTAAAAAAAAATTTCGAGGAGGGGGGTTTGAAACTCTTCCAACTCTTCACTCATCTCTCAAGTAAAAACAATTTAGCTTCCTCATTTCAAAATCCTGGATTCGCCACTGATTCAAATTAAAACTTAAAAAAATTTTGTTTGGTGAGTACGTATTTTATTTGACTGCTTGAATATATTTCAACCTCCCAATCTAAATTTGGATCTCACTCTGACCATGATTATGTCCATCAAACTAATTATAATAATATACAGGTAAGTATATGGTATATATTCTCGACATTAGGTACCCATAAGGCCATAATACTCGCAATAAAAAATTTGTAAAAAACAATTTACAGTCTAATCATTTATCCTATCGTATGCGTGCGTACCCAATTATTTATCATTTAATACGTACAAAAAAACTTTGGATATCTAAGCATAGAGGCGCATTTAGACCCGGCTGCAAAATTTTAACCGTTTTAGGGTTTTATTGAACGTATTAATTTTTTTTAATCACAAAACTTATAACATTTAATAGCATCATTGATTAATCTATGATTTTATTTTTCTAATATTAATAGGTAATTTTCGTTAGTACTGTTGTATAAAAGACAGTGAGTACTTTAAAACGAGTACGGTCGTATGGCTTTTGTATGGACTTTTTCCTACATTGTATTATCTACACTTTGTACCCAAATAATAAGTAATAAGTGATAACAGATTATCATATTAACCTTTATTTGAATAAAATACTTAGAAATTTGTTAAGCCCTAGGATATACATTTTAAAATGTTATTCAAAACAAGCAAGAGGCACATTTTTCAGTAATTGAGGTTGGGAAGGGGAGGTCTAAGATTAGGTAAGAGTTAAGAGTAATGGGTGAAAATAAGTGGGACGGGAGAGGGTGACAATAAAATTATTTCCCCCCTGGGCGCATATATTTTAAATGCGCTACTATCTAGGCGTGGATAATGAATTAAAAATAATTTAGACAAAACTTACCCATGGCTATATAATTTTTTCGTCCAATAGTGTTATTCTGCAGTTAATCAATAAACAGGCAAATATGAAATAGTTTAATTTAGTAAGTTTAGTTGTGGTTCCTCCAATTAGAAATAACGTATGATAATAATATTATTATGCAATGGCATTTAGGTACCTGTATCTACTATTATATCAATGATAAAATTACAAGTGCAGAACCGCTAAAAGTAGAACAAAAAAAAAAAAATAAATAAATAATACTTAAATGACGTAGATCGATCGGGATATTAAAAACGTACATTTTTCCAAATAGATACAACTATACCAACATAGGTATTATACCTATTTGAAAAATGATAAAAATATATTTTCGAGTATTTGTTTGTTTAAGTGCCTAGTTAGGTACTTGAATTATTCATTATTCGCCGCTATTTGAAGTATTATAATATAGGTACAACTGATTTAAACAAATAATCATTGTTGTGTAACAAAGAGTTGTATTTAAGAGAAATTAATTATTATTCGGGGGGGGGGGTTATTAATTATCATTATTTTTTATTTTTAGATTGATTATTAATTTGTTTTTTATAATATATTATAGAGGATGAATTAGGTAAGTATCTAGACTTCTTGTTAACAGCTTCCATATTAAACGTAATATTTTTATATCTTTTAGCTAAATAATTAAAATACAATATTAAAAAAAGTCTGTGAGTAAAGTTCAGTTAAACATGGTTTGGTAAACTTAAATTAAAAATAATATTAATTTGTAATTTAATTTAAAAAATACCTTCAGGATAGAACAGAACAGTATTTTTTTGCATAGAGTAAACAGTGAATAGATACTTCTAAAGGTTCACAAATATTGAGATATACTACCTATAGAACATTTTAAAAAATATATTTGCATTCTATTTGTTTATAAATTATAATTAATTTTAAAACATATTATTTACTTTTAAAATATTAATGTCTAGGTATTTTCTAATTTTCAAAATTAAATAAAATTACCTACATAATATGTAATATTATAACAATAGGGTAGCTAAATAATTCTGTCGGTGAAGATAGCTCTTATACCATGGATAAAAAAAGTGGATACTGTCATGTCCATTTTGTTACATTCACCAGAATAATATGGAGATAAATTAAGATGTTTAAATTCCTAATAAATAAATAAAAACCACTGGATATTATTCTTTAAGATTGACAGAGAATAAATAATAAATACGTTTGTATTAATATTAATTAAGAATGAGTAATAAATAAATTAAATTTATTTATACACAATAGCGTACAATTAGCATACAATTTGGTTGTTTTTTTTTATTTTGAAATTACTATGACACAAAGTATAGGTTAATCATCTAAAAAATAATTATGTAAGTTATGTTTAAGAAATATAGTTTTGTAATCACCACACAATGCCACTTATTTACCTATCTAACGTGTTATAGTCAGTATATAATACCCAAAACTTTATTTTAATCGTTCATAATCTAATGTTTATACTTAATAGTTATAACAAAATAAATTATATTGACAAATTCATACTCTGCATATGACAGGCAATAGGCATTCGAATCACAAATTATTTTAATAAATATTTATTAAAATGAACTATAGGAAAATCTGAAAGATGGCACAATCTGTTAGATGATATTTACCAAAAATATTTAAAAGTATCTACATATATATATATCTTCTATAGGTAGAACCTACATATCAAATAAATGTTAAATTTTTGACTTTTGTAGGTAAATTTATATTTTTAGGAATTAAGACCCTTTAATGCCTCCTTGTCTATCTGGTTGAATATCAATTTTTTTTATGTAGTTGACACTTTTAAATGTTTTTGGTAGATATCATCCAACAGATTTTACCTTTTAAATTTTATATAGTATTATTAGTATAGTATATTATATAGTAAATTTTTATGACAGTAAGTGAATTGAGTCTCATTTTAAAAATTATATTATTATCATTATTATATATGTTATATACAATATAATGTGTATATTTTAACCAGTGGTGTTCCCAAAGGGTATATTTAACTATGTCATATACCATCCACTCTCAAAATTTGTTTTAACAAATTTTGACTACAGTAATAGAACCAGAGATGCAGGGACCTTGGCCCCCCTCTCAAATCTACAACAGTTCTTTTCACTTATACCATTAATTCAAATTAAGATTATTCAGATTATTAGTTTAAATATTGTGAAGGTACCCATTTTTCTCAGCTAAATTTTTTTTTAAATAAATAAAATTACAAATTTATTTGTTATTGTTAACACTAATCCCTTATTATACCAAGGTCACAGTCTAGAACTTCATAGATATAACAGCATATAAAAGACTTTTCTTCTTTTTCACAGAAATAACTCAAGAAATTTGATGGGAACATGACTGTATATAACTATATAATGTAAATATAAAATATATTTATAATCAATGGCATAACACTAAATTTCTTACAATTTTTTTTTTAGAGTTTATTTATACAAAACTGATTATAGCTATACAATTACTAATACAACTTAAAATTATTTGTTTGTAATAAACCTAAAGGCTAGTCATGAAAATTATTGGTACAAATTAAAAAATTATATTATATAATTATATTCAAGTCATAAGTTTTCTTAGCTTTTGAAATTTTTGTAATTGTAATTTTGCTTTTTTTGTAATCAAAATTAGATTTATATAACAATAAGAGCTGATCATTCAATTTTTAATTTATCAGTCTCATTTTTTTAAATTTGTATGTTCTTAATATAAATCAGTGTACAATATTTCATCCTCAAATTCATTATTTTCTTAAGGCATTTATGTTAAAACAGTTGATTATGTTAACTGTTGTTCAATGAATGGTTTGACACTGCAAAAAAAAATAATATATGAATACATGAAAAATTGCATTTTTATAATTTATTGATCTATTCTACTAAATATATAAATTATAAAATAATTAAATTAAAACAAAATTATTAAAATGGTTAATACTCGTAAATAATTTAATAATTTAATAATTTTGTTTTACTTTATTATTTTATTATTCTACTGTATAAATGTGTATGGCTTACAGAGAATACAATGAATATTAAACTACAATAACAAAAATTTAGTAACTATACAAAACAATGGTAACATTTTAGTTCCTAAGTTGATTTTCAGGCTGTGAAGCAATTTTATAGCTCCGTTTTCTGGTTTGTGTATCCGGGAAATTCCACCCTTATATGAATGAATTGAACAGAAACCTAGAAATGAAATAATTTAAATATTATTTTATTTGACAATGCATACACTGTGTTCTGTTAAGTTTAGAGTTGTATATTATTTTTATTTGCATGTTTTATTTCGTTGTGTTAATAATAAAGGACTGATATTAATATCATTGTAACATAATTTTTTTTTGAGGTACCTAAATTTGTTGTGAAAAGAATAATACTTTTTGTAATATTATTATTTTGTTTAAAGATATAAGTATCTACATAATATTGTGGCATTAAGTTTAGAGTTGCAATATTATATTGTATTCTGTTATTAACAGTTTATGAACTATTAGTAATATTACTATGACAATAGGTTTAAAACTTTTTTTATTTCTAAATAACTTGAACGTTATTAGAAAAAAAAATTTTTTTTTTAATAAATAATGATTTTTTAATAGGTAATCAAAATATAATTTTTCCTAAAGAGTTTATCTTCAGTTATGTTTGCAATACATTAACATTTTTTCCCTCAAATAATGACAATATTTTGAGTTAAATTTTCATCAACTATACTTTCTTCACAAAAAAAAAAAAAACAATATAGTAATAATAATTAATACATTTTTACCAATGCTGTATATTTCCCACGAAAAAAGACTTAACTTGAGATACGACAATATGCATTTTAAAATAGTAAAACGTAACTCAAGGACTTAGATCAATAAAAGAAAAATAAATAGAAAAAAACAAACAATTTAAAGATACTCAAAAATAGTAAATCAACAGAAATAAAATGTGCAAAACATAATTTGAATATGAATTTAACTTTGAAAAATTAAAAATAGCTACACTGCAAAGTAGTAAAAATTGAGTTACGTCCTTCTTCGTAGGGGGTATCGATATAAAATAAAAGGAAAATCTAATCTCTAATCTCTAGTAGGTACCTACCTAATGGTAGGTCCTAATCATTATAAATAATACCTATGAAATGATAAATCAGTCCTTCTCGTTTTTATTCCTTTTTCGGTATAAAAATTGCACGTTGCTACAGGACAACTTGAACTTCGTCTCATACTCTTAATTTAATATGCCAAACAGTGAATAAGTCAACCGTAATAATTTTGTGTACGGCAAGCGGCAGCGCATATTATACGATATATGACGACATATTCGGCAGTGACGTCATGTCGCTATTTCCCCCCCACTGATCATTTTTCACAAATTCGATAGTCAGGCAACCCGTTAAATTTGTAAACCTTGCATGAGAGCTATAGTTGCTTTTTATTATTTTTAATGATGTATATTATAATACATTTACAATTACAATTATAATGTATTTATGATAACATTTGGTTGCATTTAATTTGTCATGATTTTTTTTTTATTAGACTACCTATAAGGATTCAACATATTATTATTTATCTTGAAATATATCAGTTAACTATTTACATTATTTAACAATATATAGTCATGAAGTCTTGTGTTGTATGTAAATGTAATGACCAAACAGCAACATTCCATAAGTAAGTGGTGTATCTAAAGCTAAATAAAATACATATTAGATTTTTCAATTTTTTTTACTCACAAAACTGAAGTTACAAAAAGTTACAATTGCCTATTTAAAATATTCAAAAACTAATATGACTATAATCTTTTAAATGTTGTTATTGGTGTTTAAACTAATTTCACCCTAAACGCACCAATTTATGTTCTGAGTAGGTAATGTAATTTTACTGTATTGCCCATTAGACTAAGATAATTAATGCATTATAGAGTTCTTAAATATGTATGTGATTTGGTTAAAAGGATTGAACACAGTGATTTTCTGTCTTTGTCTTACTTACATACAACATAGGTATTTAGATGTATTATATTTTCAATGTACTTATTGATCTAAAAAAGTGATAAGAATTCTGAAAGCTGACTTGAACTTGTATTCTAATCTATTTGAGAGTTGAGATTGACTTTTCCACATTTCCAATTTTTTATTTTAATTTCAACAAAAATTAAAATATTCAATTTTTTAATTACTCCTTTTTTTATCATGGTTTTTCGTTATTTAGGGGATAAAGTAAAAAAAATGGGGGAAAGTCGATATCAAATAAACTTGATGACAAATTCATATTGTTTCCCTAGACCAATTGGTATAGTGGAAATCAAGGTTAGGTAGGTATAATATGTATAATATGTAAGTATTATACTGCATCATATGTATTATCTATATACAATTTTTTAATTTAAACTTAAAACATTTTAAATTGTACACTGAAAATAAAGTTCATTACTACTTAATGGTGATATTCATCTAGCATAAACTGGTGTCTGTAGGTTAGTAGTAACGCTTTTGATAAATACAGATCATAATGCTTGGTATACTGTATGTCTGTATAGAAAACAATTTTAAATTACTATTATTTTTATTTAAAGTAGATAATATATTCAATATATTCCCTAGGAAACAATAAGAATATGTTATGTAATAATGGACATAATTACATAAATAGCATGATGGAAGAAGCCATACAATGGTAAAAGTGTAAAATTACTATTTGGTTTTTTTTTTTTTTTTAAACTTTTAAACTTTAAAAAGCTTGTGACATAATTTTTTGCTAAGGTGTTTTGAAACATTAGAGATTGTAGGTATGATAAGAATAGATACGAGAGGATTGCTATAAGTTTTAGAGTAAGGAGTAACAATTATACAATACATTTTGCCTTAATTAATTATTAACCTATCATTGTACTGACCAATAAAAATAAAAATTGCATAAGCAAATTTACTAATTTTAATTTTAATAGTTTTATACGCAAGACATATAAAACCTTTTATACACGTAATTACCCAACCCTGTTAGAAATAGAACATGTCTAAATTTCTATATTGCTTGTGTACCTATAAGACAAAAACAAGAAATCACCATTTCTAACTCCTTTAAATTAGGTTCCCGAGTGATCCTAGTAAAAGGCAACTGTGGTTAGACTGTTGTAAAATTGAAAAAATGATTCCTGACTATTCTTATATATGCTCATCACACTTTACCAAGGACGATTATGCAAATTCAAGACTACGTGTAAATGCACTTCCAAAACTTATTATGTAAGTTAAAAAATGAAATTTAAAGTTAGCATATTATTATATCGTTATTATTTTTGTTTTAGAACGGACAGTGAATGTTCAGAATCAATTCCACTTCATACTATTTTCGAAAGTGAACAGTGCCTATCCTCATTTATAACTATAGATAGTAATCCTACAAACAGTATAATTAATAATGACTTGGTTACAAGTGATACAGAACTAAGAACTCCACAGTTTGTTGATATGTATTATTTTAGTTTTCCTATGCATTGTAATTTTCCAAATTAACTAAATTGTAATATTTTACTATTATTAGAGAAAATGTGATTACTATTGTTCCTGAGGCTCTATTTGGTATGAGCAATTCTACAACAACTGGTACAACAATAAGACCACCTGAATATGCTAAGTAAGACATTATGTATTATAATTGTTATAAGAGAAATAGTGTTCAATATAATTTATTATACTATGATTACCTATGGATCTCAAATAATCATGCAAATTATTTTAGGTAGAGTTCCAATTTGAAATTGTTAACAATTTACAAATATGTTCAAAAAGTACTACTACATTTGATTACTATTTATTTGGACTGTATATTTTAATGAATTTTAAAAAATGAATTAAAAAAAAACAACTATTTGAATTGTATTTGGCAGATTTCAATTTTTAAAACAGATTATTATTTTGTAGGCTCTTTAGTAAGGTATATTTACTAAAATATTATATTACTGAAAATTTGAATTCATTTTTGAATAATGTACTAAAAATATTTTTCCTTTTACTTATAAGGGAATTAAAATTGAAAAAATAATGCCAAGATATTCTAGTAGAGAACCTAAAGAATCATAATATGTTTTCATGCTGTAGTTCAATATGCAGGGTTGGCACTCTGTTACTTTTTCAACTAAATGTCACTTTTTTTTTTTTTACAAGTAACTAAAAGTAATTTTTTCATTTTGAATTTGTCGTAAATTTTTCAAACTATTTATAATAATTTTTTTCAAATATTTTGAGATTTGTTGTTACATAAGAAGTGATATATTTTTGTATTATTTTTTTTTTTCATTAAGACTGAACTAATAAATATTTTCAACCTTCATTGTAACATTGTTTTAAATACTGGTTTGTCAACCGAATGTAATCTGTAACCTTTTTAGGTATTTTTCGTTATTTACATAATTAATATATTTTGTTAACATATTATCAAGAACTAATATAAAGTTTCTATAGAAATCACTTTTTTGACAATTATAATCAATTAATCAATTAACCATTAAAATCAATTGATCAGTCCATTAACTGTTAAAACAAATTGATTATTGTGTGTTCTTTTTTATTATTTGTATTTTCATTATCATAATTAAACCATTTAGGGGTAAAAATATACATGATAAATTGTTAAATCTATGATAATACACCTAACCTAACCTTAAATATGCCAATTAGTATTTTCTCTCTCAAAATAAGTGATCAAAAAACAAAAGAAGGGCAATTAAAGATTTTTTTTAAAACAAACATTTTACATTTGTATAAAATATTAGGTATTATAAATTTATAACTAATCAAGGCTTGACTAGTATAACCAAACTCAATTTTAAGATAAAATATATAGATTTTCACTTTTGTCGAATTTCATATTTTCAATGTAATATATTATATTAATACAAAGATTATAAAACTGTCCAATAATATTAATATTAAATTATTTGCAATGATTGCAGATAATATGACTGAGGCTAATTTACAAAGTAAGTTAAAATATTGGCAAGTTAAAAATTACTAATTAGAATAGTTCTCTGCAACCACCAAAAATTGAGGCCAATTAACACCACTGGTAGCTTAAATTATATCTAGTCAATAAAACTTGAAATTCCCAAAAAAAACTAAAAGCAAGAATGACTGAAAAATTGTATTCCTAAAATTGGTCAATTGGTTCATTCTATACTTTATAGAATTTTGTTTTTGATAGCAATTAAAGATTGATTGATTATAAATTAATCGATTAATATAAAATATTTTAAGAAAAATCAATTTATTATTTTTTTTTTTGATTAATTGCACACCTCTAGTATTGAGGTAGTAAATCAATAGAAAGGTCTTATTATTAAGTTGGTAATTAAAATGTAAATAAATTTGGAAGACACTCCTCCTGAAATAAACTGAACATTTTATGAATTATTGAAAACTATTTAAAATACATTGTAGATATATATTTAATACAAATTTTTATACAATTTTTATTTAGATTAGTTTGGAAACCATCTCATGTAATTAGTTTGACAAAAGAACATTTTTCGACACCCAGCAGAGCTGAAAGAAGTTTAAATTTAGTTAAGCAAAGTCATAAAGCACAAAATAAGAAAATTAAGATTTTAACTCAAAGCAATCGTAGATTGTTACATAAAATAAATAAATTAAAACACATAGCAGAGGATTTGGAGAACAGATGTAAACTATCTGAACATGCTGCTCATATTTTAAATGTAAAAATGCTATTAATTAAATATTATATATTAAAATATAAATAATAATTCTCTTATTTTTATGTTTAGTCCTGTGATTCTTCAGTACTTGGAGAACTTGTTTCAAAAACCAAAAAAGGTAAATTTTCTCCAGAACTATTTAAGTTTGCTGAAACGCTACAATCTCATTCTGCAGAAGCATATTCGTTTGTACGCAGCACGTTCCAAAATTGTTTGCCTCATCCCAAAAGTATTAATCGATGGTCTAGAGTGGTTAACAGCAAACAAAATTTCAATAATGAAGCAGTACTAGACATTTTTCAAAATGATGGGGATGAAAAGACAGACCATTGACAAGTTCTACTAAAGCTCTCTAAATTTATGAATCAGTGAATTTTTATGTTGTACTATACTTTTCATTAATACTATAATGTAAATACTTTATCTTATCGTCCTTTATGATCCAAATAATTAAAGATATATATAATAATATGATGAATAATATACCTATTTTCATATAACCTATGAATTTAAAAATAAACTTTTATGTGTGCATGTATATGAAAATCATATTTTTTGTATAAAAGCTTCATTTCTATTTTTCATTGGTGTTAGTGTTCTTAATTACATTTTCTTTTGATTAAAAACTCATATTCTATACTATGCAAGGTGATTTATTTATCATAAACCAATCAAATTTTTCATGAAATGTTTTTTTTTTTTTTTAAATGACTTATGTACAATTTTTTTGGAATCATATATTATCAAATATTACATTGTCCTTCATTTTATCACCCTTATTTCCTAGGGTGAACCAACTTTTGATTAGTAAATGGCAATATATATATTCAACAGTGGATATTAATTTATACTTCATTATTACTTCCAAAAATTAATTTTCTCGTTTACAAATTTAAATTCTAATCGTTGGTTTATGAGATATAGCTCTGTAAAGTATATGAATTATTATCAAGCACTAGAATTTTTTATCATAATTTGCAGAGTGAAATATATACTTTATGTACATAAGCTAAGGCTTTTTAAAAAAGTATAGTGATTACTCAAATAAATAATTTCATTTAATTTTACATAAAATAGTTATAGCACATTTACAATTTTTTAAAATACTCTCAGTACTTTTTATAGTCTAAATTCTAAACAGATAATATGTATGAACTCTTTAATAATTATCTGTTTAAAAATACAACCTGTGTGTTTTTTTTTATGTAAAAGGAAATATTTTAACACCGGCTTTAAAGTACTTATTGTAGAGAGCTACTTTAAACTTATTGTAAAATATTATAGGTCTATTCAAAATAATACATAGCCATTGGCATCATAGGCACATTTAAACATACTCATGTTTTCAATATAGAATATTTTAAACATTCTAACTAAAAATAATTATAAATTAAATGGATATACTTACATGTACAAATATAATCTTTCATTACAACTTAATTTAGATTATAGATTTATTTAAATGTTGTGAAAATATGTGAACATGTTTTACTAAAAACATACAATTATACATATTGTTGCACACTTATACCATACACATTTAATAAATACTTTTTACCAACTCGTGTAAATCTAATCTAAAATAAATAAACTAAGTACTTACAAAATATTAATGATTATTTTAATAATCAAGTTTTAATAATAAGAAATGAAACTCAAATTATTATTTCCAATTACCAACAAATAATGGTTCACATTAATGATATTGTTCTGTTTTTATGAATAGCTGCAAATTGATCAACAATTACCTCCAAATCTAAGTTCTTGTAAGCCTCTTTTTTGTCATTGTGTTTCTTATGTAATTTTTAATTTGCCTTAAGCTGAAGAAAATTAAACTCTTACACTTGATGGTGAAATGATTATGGAAATTATACAAAGTATAGAAATTTCAGAAAAAGCCAGTTTTCAGTAACTGTATTAAATTAAGTATTATTTTATCTGAGTATCATTTTCTACTTCATGTTGTTTGATAACCTTTATAACTAGTTTTAATTCTGATTCTAAACTTTCTATATCTAATTTGTAGTGTTGGGCAAAATAATAAATCAAAAATGTGTCTTTTTTGGGTTAAAGAAATTTCCACCTTTTGAAATTTAATTATTGTCTAAAAATGTTCTCATGAGTTAACTAACCATTCAATCAAGGATTGGAAAAAATGTCATTGTCTTTATTTCATTATTATTAATAATTTTTCTACTTTCAGAATTTACTTATTATTGAATTAGATATATAAAGTATTGTTTGGAAAGTTTGCAGATCATTATTTCATTAGGAAACTGAATTAATTTTTTGAGCAAATATTCAACTTTTTTCAAATTTATTTTAATACATTTCTAAATTCTATTAGATAAATAATGGTTATACTAGTGTACAGTTTTTCCCGGTCTTATATTATCAAATCTGTTAACATTCTTCTGATAATTAAGAAAAATGAAATATCACAATCTTTTATTTCATATGGAAATGGTTTTAATCTTGCAAATGGTTATTTTTATGTAGTGATAGTTAAATGTTAGATTAATATCTGTATTTTTTAATTTTTTTTCAATTACTGAGTATACAGTCACACTCCATTTTAGTGTTCTTGGTAAATACTTCATTAAAATTAATTGAATACCAATTACAAAATTCAGTAAACTTGTTTGTAAATTTACCAATGTTCAATTACTAAAAATTAACCTTATTAAACACAAATTTTAATTCTCGTTTTTGGTATTATTCATAATTTATATACTAATTATTTTAAAAATGATTTGTACAATGGAATTTTATTTCATTGAATATATTAAAGTTCAAAATGGAGAAGTTTATGTAAAACTGGAGACAAGGTACCTAACTCAACATACTACATACTACTAAACAATTTGAAGTTTAAAATTGAAAAACGCCTTGAATTATGATTTGTGATAGTTATTAAATATATTGGTAACCAAAATTACAAATTTTTGTTTTGGCTATTCATTGACTGTCTACTGACAGAAATATGTGAAAACTTAATCAGTAATGTCACACTCAATAGGTTATTTCCAATAATAAATATTTAATATATTAAGATGTCAAACATATAACTTAATAGTGGTGGTATGAGGAAACCAAAAATTCAAAAACATCAAGTAAACAAAATTGATCTAGATTTCTGTTATATAAGTTATTTATAGGCAAAAAAAAAGACATCATAGTTAAACCTTAAATCTAATAATCTTCTAAAGTTTATGAAAAATGATTTATTATTAATAACTACAGTAAAATAAAATCTACACAAGGAACCACTAATTATAAATTGATTTCACATTTGAGTATATGTACATCATAATCAAATGTATAAAAACAAATTTGCTAACCCAAGCCAACAAGATAGCAAGAGATAACTGTAATTGTAAAAATAAAATTAATTTTAAATTAAAAAATTTACACTTTTAATCACATTGGGCAGTCAAATAACAAAATAATGTATAGTGGAAAAAAATATGAAATAAATAAACATTTTTATTCTCCAGCAATCTAAAGGATATTTTGTATCTCACATGCCTACTGAATATGTAAATAGATATTTTTTTATATTGATAAAAATCAATGTCCATTACATTATAATATATAAATGACTTAAATTAAGTAATTATTGTCCTTTATATTAACAAAAATAATATAATACTGTATGATATTATTTTATTTTAATGTGTTTCACAGTTTAATTATTTTGACAGATAATATGTGATTTTACTAATTTTAATAATTTTGTGCCCATTATTATTTTACACACTACGGATGTTTACTTTAAAAGGTAATTATTTTGTAGAGCAACCTCTACAAAGACATCAATTTTGTCCACTATATTGTTAACATTAACTTATTTAAGTTATAACATGCACATTATGATATAATTGTTTAAGAAAACAACTATAGTTTAATCTACACATAGATCTTATATTATTATAATTGATACAACAATTTTAAAATAGCTTAAATTACAAAAATATCAATCAAAAGTTTAAAATTATTCAGTTTAATAACAAACTGTTAGTAAAATATCAAAACTGAGAACAAAGAAAAATTAAAACCTAAAAAAAAAAAATTTAAATGAAAATATTGTTCATAATACAATAAATTGATATAGTTATTTTTTATAACAGCACATAAAGCATAGTAACTTTTATTTTTCCAATAAATAATAATCCATATATTTTATAACAAAATTAATATAATTAAAAGAAATAAAATAACAATAATAAACTAAACATTTACAATTAAGTAAATCAATAAAGATATAATTTTATGAAGAATGCAAACATTTACTGAATAATAAATAAATAAGCAGAATACAATACATAAAATACAAAATTAAAAATTCTTATGATTTATATGTTATTTACTGAAATTGAATTTTTTTTTAAATATAAACATAATTATACTTGTTTTAAGTATGAAATCAAAATAATTTCTAACACAACCATACTAATACTAACTAACCATAATAAAATTATATTTTATAATATTAAATACATTAAAGCAAAAAAAAAAAGAGAATGTATTATTATAATAAATAAGGATGAGAAATTATATGAATTTATATTGGAAAAACATGAATATATAAAATAATCAGGGAAAATTAAGATTTATGTAAAAAATTATATTTAAACTTTAATTTAATACTAATAAATAAAATTCAAGAGTTTCAGAACATAGCTCTTAAAAAAATCATGAATATTCTTCTTTTATATTTAATTTTACAATACATAAAGACTTTATTATGAAAACTATCAGAGAATGCCTTATATGTCTTTGTTATAGACTTCAATCCTACCATAATCTACTAATAAAATGATCTCTTCACACATAAACATAACCAGTAACTCTAGAAGATAACTAAAAAGGAACTGGTTTTGGAATTTGCTTTGTAACTAAGTTTAGTATTTACATTATCAATAATAATATCAACTATTCTGTATTCAAAATGGATAGCTTTTTATTCAAAGATATTCTTGTTTTTTTTCTGTGCCTATCAGTAGTATATGCATACTACAAACAATTTTTTATACAGATTATATATATCTAATGAAAATAAAACTTAAATTAAGTTTTTAAATCTTAATATTATACTGAAAACAAAAAAAAAGAATATTTTTTTTTTATAGTCTGTAAATGTCATCATAATATCAGTATCATTAAATGTATCTCTATTTAAACAATGTCTAGATTTGTAAGTAACATTATTGATATTCCTCTAAAATGTATGAAAAATATATAAAATATTGTTGAAAATATGCAGAAAACAATTCATTTAAATTTTCCGACTTATGATTTATATTTGTATCTTGGTTTGCTATAAAATAAAGACTAGAAAAAAACACGAATGTCCTTTTCATCACTAGTTAACAAAAATAATTAAAAACATAAAACTATAATTAATTATGATAAAAATGTACTAAAGATAAATTATTTTTATAGTTTTAATTCAAAGTATAATATTACTATAACTAGTTATAGTAATATTATAACATACATTAATTAAGATACTAGTTAGTTTTAATAAATTAACAATAATTAAATAATTAGCAATATTTACAAAAGCAATACTAATTATTGAAGTCTCTTGTAAAATAAATGTATACTAAATATTTACTTAATTCAATACTATGCAGTTATTATATTTTTGTTTCTTATGAAACAAATAGTGTTTAAAAAGTAGGTTAGTTAATATAAATTTAATAAAAATGAATACAGTAAGAAAAGAATAATATTTAAAATTAAGCAGCTAGCTATAGTTAATGTTAATAAGATTATATTAGTTAATAAATTACTATGTATAATAATAAATTGCATGAAAGTTATTAATTATAATAACATATTAGTAAATTAGCAGGTAAATAAAACTTAATACCTTTTATTTCTTTCAATAACTACATAACAAGGTTTGATTTTATGATACGCAATTAATACTTTGATCCACTCTGGCATTGCATTTTCAGAACTATCTGTATTCAACATTTGATTTTCCATTACTTGTACATTACTTGACTCTTGGTTTTCCATAATTATTGTGCTGCTATTCAACTCTTCATTCTCTACAATATGTGCAGTATTCAACTTCTTATTTTTAATAGTATTAGCATTGGCCTTAACTTTACTGTTAGACTTGCGTTTTTTGGGTTTTGTAATTTTATAATGTTTAACAGTTTCACTCGGTGAATATTTCTGCATAGTACATGCTCTGCGTGGTTTAGTATCTTCATTATGAACCATCATTTTATCTTTAGTACTTGTTATCCTTACTATAAGACGATTATTTTCATTTACTTTCTTTCCTTTAGTTTTAGGCTTTTTACCTGATGCATGTTTATTATCATCTGATTTTATTAATTCCTTTTCTTTTTTTGTACGTTTTGAATTTAAAATAATATCAGGACTAAATAGACTTTTACGATCCTTTTCATATATTCTCTTGTAGTCTTTAGTTTTCTTAGCTAAACTAGAAGAACTAGATGATCTGATGTTTGTCAAATCTTCATCTTCTTCTTTGTAATTGCTAGTAGAAGCAATTGGATTTCTTTTTATTGATGGTCCATTTGAATCATTAATCCTAGTAGAAGTTGTAGACACTTTTTTTTTAACTGATACATCTCTAATATTACTTGATCGTCTTTCTTTTAACTCAATTTTTGATAAAGGTTCTTTTGAATTTATTGATGCTTTAATATTAGAGGAAGTAGATTTTTTTGATTCAGAATTTGAATATATTTTATCAATCTGCATTTTAGTGTTTAAATCACTCCCCAACGTATTATTCAAATTAATCAGGTCCTCTGATTTTTTAGATTTTTTTCTTGATGTTCTAACTTGGCAAGAATGCTTTCTTTTGGATTTGGTTTGTTTTTTTACATTTTTTTTTTCAAGTTTTGTATCTTGTGGTAACAATTCTTTATTTGTATTTTGATTTGGAGTTTCTAAAAATCTTACACTTGTATTTTGATTTGGTGTTTCTAAGAATCTTACATTTTTTTTGACATTTGGTTTATTTAATACTTTACCCTGTTTTTTCTCATCTGGACTGATATTAGACTGTGACAATTTTTTTTCTGCCAAAGTTTTTTGAACTTCCAATTTATTGTGTTCAATATTAACCAAGTTTTCTAAAAGCTTTAAACTGGTTTTAATTTGATGTTCTTCTTCTAATTTACTAGACTGTGTTTCATTATTCATATCATCATTTTCAAAATCATCAGCGAATTTCATGTCCAAGTCTTGTTCATTTATATTCATGGCAATTGACAATATAGAACTATCAGATTTTAATTCTTCATCTTCTTCGGTATTCATTGAGGGTTGGGCAGTATGAATAAAATTGTTAGCCAAATTTATTCCACTTAATCCCACTGACAAAGGTATGTTATTTATTTTTGATGAATGTTCATTCAACAAAAACGGACTTGTATTTTTTGGAGTAGTATTATTGAATAGTTGTGAAAGATTCACTTCAACTGCCTTCGTTGTATTGTTATTTGATCCTGATTCAGCAGCATCTTAAACAAATTACATTTTAGAAGTTAAAACATTAAATTTCAGTTACATCCTAAAAAAATATAACAAAAAGACAGACAAACTTCCAACGATGAGTCACTGTTGTAGGTGAAAAGTTGGAAAGATAGGATATAGAGGAATTTAATGTATTTTTGTATGCAAGGATTAATCATTGCTAATGAAAAATATTATATTTTAAACTCAACTTTTTCTAGACCACTAAATATAAATTATAATGAACCTCCTGTTTAAATTTTCAAGTACCTACACAATAAAAATTATGTAAGAATCTCAAAATTAAAATGTCTATAAATAGTTTAAAAATGGTTTAAACCATTTTTAAAATTTTACCATATCAAAAAAGGCAAACATAAATTTTCTATTTAATTTTCATGTCTTTACAAACATTTTTAACAAAATTGAAAATAATAGTGAAAACTATTACTATTACATAACCTAAATTATGAAAACTGCTGGGAAAATCAAAAAATGACATCCCTAAAGTACCAATTAGATCAAATTCCCTTCCAGAAAAGGTGCTACACTTGAAAAGCGGAATAAGATTTCTGGTAGAAATTGTGTATACTGGATATATATATATATATAAAAAAAATAAACATCATTGTGAAAAGAGTGGAAAAAAATTGTTTTGGAAGCAAAGAACTACCATGGAATTTAACTACCAGGAGAAAAAAATCTTTAACCAAAAATTATTTTTAGTGAATTATTAGTATGAAATATAAACTATGATACTTACTAGTATTATTTGGCACCGCAAAACAACTTAAAGCATTTTGAGTTCTTTTAATATTATCAAATGAATTGGCAATAATTAACTGGCAGAAATATTCAAAAGTAACTCCAACTATACAATCAATAAAGTTGTGGTACTCTACATCAAATTTAATCCTGTAAGAAGAAAATATTAACAATTACCAACACCCAGGTATACAGACTATACAGGTTACTTAAACTATTTTTAAATAAATATGTTAAGGTATATGTTCATAGTTTGTGAATGTTGACAATCACCAGTGAATGTCGAAATTCAAAATGTTATTTGGTGAATTTTGACAGTGCATCAATAACTAGGGTACAGGAATTGTTGCACCAAAACAATTAAAATATGCAGTTGAAACTGTCAAAATATGCTTAAAAATATGCAGCTTTTTTTATTTGAAAACAAAATAAGATAAAGTTAAAATATTATTTTAGATTTCATCAACATAATAACCTTTTAAGAATGTTTTAAGTTTTAAGAATGATGAAAACCTCACAGAATTTTGGCACCAATCTACTATCAGTCAAATTTATCCTGGGCTTTGGACTGTCGTATAAAAATTATTAATTGCCTTCCCTTCCTCTTACCTTGTTGAGCGAGGATTTAGTATAGCAACGAATCTAATAATGAAAAAAAGAAATTGACTCAACATCGTTAAAAGAGGAAACCTCGCCTTCATCTAAAAACTTTGAACCAAACATAAAAAAATTGGCTTTAAATCACCAAGCACAACTATCTCACTAATCAATACATTTAAAAACATTTTAATTATCCTCTTAAATTATATTTAAACATAAATTTTACATCTTGTTTTCATTATATTCACATTTATATATATAAATATATTTATTAATTATTCAATTATAAACTTTTCATGTATACTATTTTTATTTTTATTTTAATGAAGTGAGGGGAGGAACGTTGAAAAATATTTTGCTTCTTAGGGGGGGCGGCTGTTTTAAAAAGGTTGAGAAGCACTGCTTTACACAAATCGAACTCAAATGGAACTTCATTTCCAGTGTATTTTAATAGACAATTTTTGAAAGTTACTTAATTTATTCAATGGAATATTGGGAGAAAACAGAGCTTCACATAAATCATAATTGAAGTATTTTTTTTTTTTAGTGCATAGATGTAATTACTAATTGTTATGTACTTTCAATCTGATTTTTCTGATTCTGTTTTTAACAGTTGTGTGACAATAAATTGCATATCAACACCTACTAGGTTATCCATTTAAGTGGATACACTCATTATCTAATAAAGTATTCAATTTTTTTAGAATTTGCTTTCTAGAATATTAAGAAAACAAGCAGCTTTACAAATTTAAAAGTGTTGAAATTTTAGATTTCTATCATTTTTTCATTGGAGAAAAGTAGTGATGCATAATAACACACTACTCTCTTCCAACCCAAACTTAAAAGTGGAATATCTCATCAACAGATTGACAGAAATCAAAAATTTCAACATTCAAATTTATTTTAATTAATACTCCACATACATAATTTGTATTTTTAATATAAGTTGTAATTTGAAAATCAAAAATAGGTAGTGGTTTTATCTTCAAAAATAAAAATGACAAAAAATAACATAAATATAAAATTGTAAAGCAGCTTGTTTCTTAAATGTCCTAAAAAAAACTAATTCTGGAAAAAATTAATACTTTCAGAGATAATAAGTGTACCTATTCAAATTGGTCACCTGGTATTTTCTGTTCACATAGCTTACAGAATAAAACAACTCAGTTTATAAGTAAAACAGTATAAAACATATTTTATTTGAACTTTGCTACCTGACTATTATTTTATATTATAGATATTGTTAAAATAAAATAAACTAAATAAATTAAACTGTTCATTCATAAACAATTTACAGCGCATAAAGAAAAATTGTTATCATTAAACAAAGTAGTACATAATGTGATTTCTTTAAAACAAGCCTCAACTAAATATTCTAAAAGTAGTAACCAAGCCCCATCCCTCACCAAGCCTTTATATGATAAAATTTTAAGAAAAAAAATGCTGTACACATATACAGTAGAACCCCTATAATCCGTCACTTTTGTGACTGGGGGTTTGATGGGATTATCAGAATACACAAACAAATTTTATTTACATATGTAATATTAAAAAAGACTGACATACTTTGCAATTCACATGTGGGTGGGTCACTGTTATTAGGAAAGTAGTAGTAGGGAATCCAAGCGGGAAACAGGACTTATTATGGTCTGGTGAAACTATTAAGTTCAAGGTCATTATCGAGAGAGATAAAGAGACCATCACTGTATACCAGCCTAATACGACCAGTGATAATGTATGGATCAGAAACCTGGACACTAAGGAAATCAGATGAAAATAAGTTCTTGATACTAGAAAGGAAAATATTACGGAAGATCTTCGGTCTTGTTCGGTCATTCGGTTAATGAAAATAACATAGCAGATATGATCAAGAAAAAAAAGTTGTGATGGACAGGACATGCAATGCAGAGCTAGAACTTTCTACTAAGAATAGTGCTGGAATGGTAGGAAAAAGGCCCTTGGGAAGACTAAAATTGAGATAAGAAGATATAGTTAAGAGAAATGTAGATTTAGATGCAAACTTAAGAGGCGGAGCAAACTGGAAGGATTTGGCGATGAATAGAGATGGCTGGAGAATTGGTTGTGAGACGGGATGGTCCTAGCGGCCGAATTAACCCCAAAAGAAGAAGAGTAGAGGGCAAATCGAATGTATATCTGTAAGCAATGATAACCCATTGGTAACGAAAAATCAATTTTTAGCGAAGTTCAGTCGATAGTGATGCTTTGTCAACAATATATATGCCATATTATGGTAAAATAATTAAATGAGCATTTCATAATTTCTTTAATATTTGTTTAATATTGTACCGATTATCCCATTTTTTAAAATTATTCCCGGTTTGATTACATTTGCTGGGAAAAATATTAGGAAAATTGAAAAATGACCTAAAGTACCCCCCTAGATATTTACAATAGTAAACCTTTATTATGGGACCCTAAACACAGTGATCAAACCACTCATACAACTCAGTCTGCCACCAACATCATTGTTTTTGCCTTATTCTTGTCTTTTCTTCTAAACAAGCCATTAACATAGTCTCACTACTCATTATCAACATCGCATAACCCTTGGAAGATATGTGCTAACGCTACTGAAGCATGGGTGTTGGTATTGGTTAGTGAGCGGATCGCAAGTGTGTACGTGGCATTAACGAAAATGACACGAATCCTTTGAGGTAGGTTCAGCTCGCACGTGTATACACGGTATAATATCACTATAATAATCTGGTCCTAGAGAGAATGGGCTCAAGTCAATATTTGCCATTTATTTTTAAATTTTCTAAATCGCTTGTATTGAAAACTATACAAAATTGACTAAACCCATTCTTTGTTGAGACCAAAGATATATAAACACTATTAACAAAATAAAACTTTGAAAAATAAAAAATTAGGTCATAGTTTAAATGAAATTTAAAAGTGAGAGGCTTGATTTAACGTAACTAAATGTATAATGTAGAAAGCAAATTGATAAGTAAAGCATAGACAAAAATCAAATAAAAACAATAGAACTTACTCCTTGATTTTCATTTGAAGACCTTTCAGAATACTTTCTAACGTCTTATCAGGTTTAGCATTTGTCATAGTTTCTTCAATAGATTTGATAATTGTAGTCTTAAAATCGGTGACGAATGTCTGTTACAGGATTTAGTATTAGAAAATATTATACTATATTCAAATATTTAGAGTTATAGTTACGTCTTTTAGTTTGACTATCTTATTGTATATCAACGCACGCCATTTTTCGGGTGTCATTTTATCTATATCGAGTAACAAGGTCTCTGCGTTTATAGACGTAGACGCAGTAGGATTGGCCATGTTGTTCTCATAGATGCTGAACATGTGTTCTGCAAAGTTAAAACGAATAACTGGAGTAAAATACCTAGATTTATAAATTAACGTTTCACTCTGAAATATACATACAATTCAAGCAAAACTAAAACTTACGACGTCTCGGCACTTCTGAATTTCGGTTTCACTGTACATCGGCCGATGTTATAAAAACTCGAAACGACTACGGTGAACCTACCAAACAAGAAACACACCACACGTCAAGTTATATTGCTTCTGTAGTATTTGTATGGTGACTACAGGACAACCAGTCACAAAACGTATATTTTAATATTGGAAAATATTATATGCACACAGTATCAAATATTCACACAACACTACAACAGCACCCGAACAGCTGAGTACACATGTGTAGTAGTGTAATACAATCGCACATTTCAATTTTGGTGTCCGTAGATATCATAAATTACCTATGGTGGTTGATAACCCGACGCATCGAACAACGCCCACGGTTTAAGATAGTTTATCCTAAACCGCGACAACGCCCCACCGAAAAGATAAGCGTTTTACTATTCAACTGCAACGGATGCAAAAATCAATTAAAAATTAATTTACGAAAATAATAATTAATTAATAGTTTTTATTGTACTCATACCTCGACAATAATATAAGAATGGACAAGCCATGGCCCGTGAGAGTTTATCACAGGAAAACGAACATTTTTATAATCTAAGGAGTTTTATCAATAAAGTTGTAAACTTGATCAAAAATTAATCAATAGTTCATAACTCGTTTTACTTTTGTTTAGTAGGTGTGAATTAAGCTAGTTAGTTAGACTTAATTAGTGCTTTATAATCATTATTCATTATATGGAGAAAAACATTCAAATTGCATGATAATCGATAATTATATACCTACCTACATAATGATTTCAGACTGTTTTATCCCCGTCGAAAAATTGAGTTTATGGACGTTTCTCCTCGGAAATTTTTAAGATAAGACATTTGGTTCTCGTAGTATTTTGTTTATAGCACTACACATTTATACCCATAAAAAAAAAAATTATTACGTTTGGTTACAGTACCTATCGTTTTTATATTAGCTACTACAATCAAACGTATATAGTATTTTTTATTTTTTTTTTATGGGTGTAATATATTAAGATGACCTTTTCGTAGAACAGTACTCTTTTTATGTTATAAAAATGATAGGTGATAAATACCTATTTAATATGATTGTACTTGATAAACAGAGTCAGGTATGTGATTCCAAATTTATAATAATATATTAAATGCCGGGGTATTCCAACAGATGGTAGGTATACAAATTGATTCAATACAATTATTCATTCTTACTATTTCCACACACTATACACGGTAATATTTTGTACCTACGTGTTACCTATGGGGCGTAGCTAAGTTTCAATAATATGAACTATTTAGTTACAACACGGAATTAAAAATAAAAAATTAATAAATAACAATTTTTTGTACTACGAACAAAATAAAGTGCTATCAGGAATCCGGTGGGTGGGTGTTCACAAAAGATTGTGTAACATTACACTTACAATTGATGAAATAACGACGGTTTTGAAATTCGGAGCTCACAGTCACGAAGGCAATACAAATTTAATAAATGCAGAGAAAGTTAAATGTAGGTAGTAAGAAAAGCGCAGCGAAAGGAAACTATGAATTGCCATCTCGAAGTTTTGCACATATTGTAAGAATTAGACATCCTAACATATATATATTGAATCTTTACAGATGTGCAATGCATCTGCAGAGACTGCAATGATACAAAAAAAAATTAACAATAATAATAATAAATGTAAATAAATAGTATTATTGATTTTAGTTTTATTCAATATTTGTTGACGAATCATTCGGAATTATGATGACAATAATACTTTTTCTAAAAAAGTTATACAAATATTGCTATTTAATTAGCTTTAGCCTTTATAAATTTTAAATAAAAATAACGTAGGTACATGACTCAAAATTACTGAATGAAAATAAAGAGTTAAAAATAGAAACAAATGAAAGTTACTTAATAAATAAGAAGTAGGTACTAAGTGACATAATAATGTTACCTTAAACAGAACACTTGGTAATTCAGATTTTTATACATTTGGCAACTATTACAAATTGTTTTACTTTTTTGATTCAATTTTAATATCCATGATGAAGTATCATAATACTTAAATTTATATACTTCAAATCTAAAATTAAACTGTCCATTTTCTAAAAAATTAGTTTTATCAACATGATAATTTTAATCTTTGGGTAATATGCTCTGTAAATTAAAACTAATTTTATTAATACTGCGTAATAACATGGGAAGTCTGTCCTATGGTTTAGACTTGCAATTCCAAGATAGGCCTTGATAGTATGGACCTTATCTATGTTGTTATTTAAAATGAGATTTTTTTAAACTAAAATGCACGGTAAGTCTTTTTGAGCCAGTTTGACACTGTATAATATTCTAATGAAATATTGAGTAAATCAATAGTAGATACTTGTAAATTACTCATTACGAAATAACTAGGTGACAATATGTTTATCTGAATTTGTTGTTTTTACCTATAGTTTAATAATTAGTATTATTTTTTTTTTAAATAAAAATATAATGTTATGAGTTATAATAATAATAAGGAAGTACTTAATTCTTAATTTTTTCAATTTGTATTATTATGAATGGTATGTCATAATAATACATATATTTATATCACATCTTTATTTATGTCATGTCTTTCCTTTGTCCAAAATGTTTTCACATAAATCAAATTTGACATTTTTCATTTTCCATACAAACGTGTTTTTAAAGTATGTTTATAATACTTATGTATTGTGTCACTAATAGTACATTTGAAAATCTAAAATGCATGTGATCAAACATTTTGTTCACTAAATATGTGCCTAGCAGGCACTTAAAAATTGAATTATAAATGTTTTATACATGAATTATATTTATACATTTTTATGCATTCCAATCAGGTATACAATGACCAACAATCCGCCACGTAAAACAACAATGCCAATTGTTTTTTGTAAACAGAATAGAAATAATAAGTACAGTAAAGCCATGACTTATACTTTTATTAAAATTACACTACCCTGTGCCTAAACCATGTCAAGGTACCTAACTTTGTGGATAAAATTGTTAAATTAAAAAGAAACGCTTGGAAATTTAACAAAATTTAAAAGTCGTACTTTGTGATAAAAAAAGAAAAAAAGAATTTGAACTTAATATAGCATTAAGCAGAATGCCAATTGCCAAGATGTCAGTATTTTTGGAAGCGGATTATTTAGATTATTATTTTTACCTGTGTTATTGTTATTCATTATTGTCACAATATATTATTATGATTGTATATTGATGTCTATACTTTAAATTTATGATTTAAAAATTGTACTTAAACAAAGGAATTACTTGTTGAAATCAATTTTTGATGGTCTTTGATATTTTATATAACAAACCTATTATTTTCAATACTCGTTATTTGTTTACATTTTTTTTATAGTTTAAAGTGTAATATTAATTTGTATTGTTTAATATCATATTATATATTTATAAAGTATATTTTTTTTTTTTTTTTAAATGCCTACGCCATGTTGTGTCGAAAAATGCTTAAGTCACAGTAATTGTTAAATATTGAAATTCACACGACAATTACAATTAACAAGTTAATGTGTATTTATCATTAAAAAATTTGTTTTAATGAATATGCGTAAGTGTGTGCGTGAATGCCGAATGGTTTCACGTTTTAAAAATTAAGAGTTTCCAAATTTAGTCAACCGATAGCATTGTAAATTGAAGATCTGCATTGCAATTTGTGACCATGTGATGATAATGATACTCTGATACATGTCGCAAAGATATCACCTGAATAAAAATATTACCCAAAAATTATGAAATTTTGTATACGTGATGAGTTCTACCGTATATAAGTAGTCTGTTAGTTGCATGAGTCTAAGTTATAACCCAGTTTAGTATTTTCAATTTTGTTTACTTGCGGCCGCAAAGGCAGTTCAGCAAATCTGCTGATCTGTTTCAAAATCCGTAAAACTTAACCAGAAATTATCACATTTTGTATAACTACGTGATGAATCTTACCGTATTTAAATAGCCTGTTAGTTTTATGTGGCATAATTTAACAAATGAAGACTGTAAACAACCAGCATCTGGTTTTGGTATTTATCTTATCAAGTTTAAAGAATGCTTGGAAATGGCCTATATAGCTTATTGATTTGTGGATAAGGTAAAATCATCGGTGCAGGTCCTGTTAGTTTGTATAAGAGACGTGTCACAATATCAAAAATACGTGATAAATATGTTGTGTGTAACATGTTATTTTAGTTCTTTCCGAATATTAGGATGTAATTTAAACCAAACTTTTGAACATTTAAAACCAGATTTTAATATTTATCCAAATACACTCAATATTTATTTTACTCCAGATCACGGCTTTAGATACAAGTACTTTAATATCTAAAACGATGGGTGTGGCCTTCACTACACGCACGAATCGCTAGCACTGCCGTCCCGAAGACCGAACATAGGTCTAGACTAATGATAGCTATCATCGACAGCCGACCTAGCACAAAAAATTTAAAATGCATTGTGTAGGTACAACAGACGATGCAGAGAAGATATCATCTATATCGCCGTACCACACTACTATGATTATAATCTATACGCCTCGGGTACCTAAGGTGTCTTTACATGCCAAGTGTCGTCGTTGGCTGATCAACAGGTGGTTGACCAAGCGGGAGTAAGAGTAATGGGCGTGGTTCTGATCGGCCGTGATGAAAACTTGTTGCCGTCAACTAGATTACTCTTATTTTAAACAGAGTATATTATATTACTTACACTTAAAATCTTTCGTAACTTTAAAATATTATATATTTGAACTCTGTAGATTTGTAATACATTAAGTATATACCTACTGTAATAAAAAAATACAAGTACTATGGTATGGGAATCATCCATGCAATTTTAAATATGACACAATTAATAATAATAATACATTTCAAAATCAAATTCAGTGTATTGAAACCAAAGACAATGCAAACTAAATGAATTAGCTTGTTTTAATATAAACAGCAGTCAATAAATTTTTACAAACTATCACAATATATTACTAGTCTACTAAAGCAAAATATTTTAGATAATGTGTAAATCACAGTCATTGTATTTTAGAAAGAAATAACATCAATTTAATATAAATGACCCAATTCTTATTTAACATTAAACACTAATTGTAAGTAAATCAATAATAATAATAATATAATCACTAAAAACGAATCTTGCTACAAATTATAATTGTAACAGTGAATAATACAAAAAAAAGTTTAACAAAATTCTGCATTGGTAAAATATTTAAACATGAAATTAAAGTATACAAAATAAATCTATAGCTGGAGTAAATGTGTACAAGAACAAATTAAATTAATTAAGTGTAATAATGGTTTAAAAACAAATTCATAATATTATATTTGGGTTCTTATTTAGATTTAAACAGCTCAACATTTTGTTGCACTTATGGTTTTATACAAATTTAATTAATAAAATAACAATACATTGGAAAGACAAGGGATTTTTTTTTTTAGTAATTTTAATTTATATTATAAATAAGTTAAGTCTTTTTCATGAACAATACAATATTAGTTTCTCAAAGTTTTGAATTTTAAAATTATTACATTTATACAATAATTTGTTACTTAATTTTTAATTTCTCAATAAACATTTACATGTAACTGATTTCTTTGGTAAATTTTCAAAAAACAAAAATAAATATAAATAAACAAAACAATTATCTATTATAAAAGTACACTATTGTATTCTTTACAAATTTGACAGACATTTAATATTAATTTACTTACAGTTATATTTTTTATATAATCCATTTATATGTCTTATTTAAAATAACTCATTGTTTATTTATTGAGCTAATTGGTTTAATTTTTTTTTCACTTTAAAAATATATTTGGTTATATCTATGTAATAATTTTAAAAAATGTAGTTTAACTAAGGAGAAAATATATTTGTTTAAAATAAATACACACTTAATTATATTTATGCATATTAAATATTTATACATTTTGTATTATTTTATATTATTTATGTTAATATAAATTTCAATGGTCAAATAATTTGTTATTTTTTAATGATAAAACAAAATATAATTACATACAAGTTAAATTGGTATATATAAATTATTATCATCTTCATCATACCCCAGTATAAGTCTATTATCCTAATATTTGGTGATACACAAATTGCACTCAAAATGCACAGACAAATGAATTAAACAAATTATTTTATGTAATAATAATACTAATAGTAGTAGTAGGTAGTAGAAGTACTAATAATAATAATAATAATAATAATAATAATAATAATAATAATAATAATAATAATAATAGTAGTAATAATAATAATAATAATAAAAATAATAATGATGATTATAATAATATTAATAATAATAATAATAATAATAATAATAATAATAATAATAATAATAATAATAATAATAATAATAATTAATAAAAACAACTGTTCAAATTATACAGTAAACTGAACATAAAAACCAATTGAGTTTTGGTTTTTTTTTTTTAGAATACAAAGGCAGACACATACCTAGTATTCATCTTTTAATTTTATAAAATATATATTAAATAAAACATAAAACAAATTAGTCAACGATTAATAGTTTAATAAATATTGAGAAATCAGTATAAGTATTTTTAAAAGGTTGACAAATAAAGTACATTTCTAACTTCCATAATATTTAATATAAATATAACAATTTCTAAAACTTAATGATTGTATTTCTTAATAGAAGTTAAGAATGTTATAAATGTTATTATTTGTATGAGTTACCTTTCTTTACTAAACATGACATAAAAATACTAAATTATTGACCTAAAGCAAAATTACGCCTAAAAAAAATCATTTTATGCTGGTTAAAAAGTTAATGTAATTAAAAATAATTTACTAATTGATCATGTCTTAAGTAATACAAATATTTACTTATGATTAATGTACTACACAATATAAAGAAAATATTAACTTTTTTTATATATATAGTGTACATGAATATATTCAAAAATATATAATAAGTATAACATATTATAATATCCTCTTTTTAATGCTATTTATTACAAATTGTTTTACGATAGTAAAATATTTGATCATACACAAGACAAAGTTTTGATACAATAAAGAACATATTTTACTTATATATATATTACATAATTAAACAAGACAAAATAAATATACTACTACAAAATATATATCAGTAGTTCAAAATAACAAACAAAATTTTTTTTTTTTTAATAATTAATTAAATTTTTTGTCATCCAAAGTATAAATAATTAGGATTCAAACTATTAATATCTAACAAAACTAAACTTGTATATGTATGGCAATATTAAAGTGAATAATTTTGATTTATTTTTATAAACTTAGTATTTTATGTATTTTAAAATATCTTCGCATTTTTACTGATTTTGTGCTAGATAATATACTCCTTTAGCTGGAGTAATGGTAACTTTAAGTAACATTACAACATTACATAACTTATTTGTACAATTTAAACAATTAATAGTTAATAGTTAAGTAGTTCTTTTTGAAACTCTCCTAAGGGATGCTCGGGTTGATGTAATCCTACAAGGAGGACTGTCCATTTGCGGAGATTTATTTGATAACTGTTGATTGTTTTTAGCATTGTTTTTTAGGCGACTTGATATTCTTCTAATGTTGGTTTCTTTTTTTTCAACTGTCTGTTTTTGTTCACTTGTTTGTACTTTTACATTACTGATTTTAGGAATTTCAGCCTTTTCTTCATTGTTTTCTGCTGCACGTCCTCTATACATACGCTTGATCACTTGAGATTCAATAAATCCATCTTCTTCAAAGTTTTTGTTTTTACGTTTACTTTTACGGAAGTTATAATGTGGTGTGCCACTACTAATTGTTGATGTGCTGTCTTCAGACATACAAGTTTCTGAATCTGCAGTGGTAGTATTTAATGGAGATTCTGGACCAGAATCAATCTGTTCCATTGAGTCAAAAACCGTTTTTGTACTACCATTCAAAAAGTGTTTAGATTCACAATCATTAGCATCTTGATGCATTTCATTATACAATGCTTGCTTTAAAAAAGATACTTTAGTTTTATTTTTCTTGCAAGCTACACTAGCTGCATGCTCTGCACCTGTGGTAATAACAGTTGAGGTAGTTGTATGGGATAAAACTGATTTACGTCTAACTTGTAAATTATTAATATCCATTAACTTTGATGTAGATGTATGTTCCAATACAAGGTTGGTATTTTCAGACTTATCCAAATTGTGTATTACAGCTATATCGGAAAATAGTTCATTTGGGCTAAATTTATCAACACTTAAGCCTTTCATAATATCGTACAAATTGTACTCTTTGAGCCTTTCCACATTGCCATCAAATTGTTTACATTGTTCAAATAAAAATTTTTTAAAATCTTTAAATGTTTTTATTTCAGATTGTTCAAATAATTCCTGTAATCGTACCAAGTTTTCTCCTTCTAACATTTTTTCTGTTCCTGAAGGCATTATTTGTGATAAACAAACAGTCCAAGTTTTAGATGTCTTATCAGATTTTAAACTTTGTACCAAAAATTTTGTATTTTTTATGTCGGAAAATTGATCATCCAGTAATTTATATGTAGAAATACTAAAACTGTTATCATTTTTATTATTTGATTCACACTCTATTTTCATAATTCCTGATGTTTTTTCTGCTTTATCTGTCAACAAAATTAATAAATAAACTTGTAAAAGATTTTAATACTATAAATTTTAATATACTCATATATTTTGATCAAATTAAAACATCATTATTTTAATATCGAAAAAAAGTACTCCAGATACAATATTTTCTTTTATTGTTGAATATTCCTTAAAAATAGAGATTATTACATTTTATTGTTTGTTATTGGACAATTAAGACATTTTTGGTAGCTTTCTCTGAACCAAAAGAGCTTAACTAGGGAAGTTTTTTTTTTGTTATATAGATAGATTTAAGTGATAACATTTTGACCAAATTTCTATATTAACTTCACCATGTTGTTGGAGAAGGGGCATTTTTTAAGCATTGAACACCACTACAGAACCTCAAATGAACCAGGGATGCATTTTGTAGATGCATTACCATGCTTGGTATTATGTGTATTTTATAATTTTTAACTCCCTCCCAAACAATGTTAATGCTCAAATTTAATAATTTTACAAGAAATACTGAGTTTTTAAAAATTGTATCCAAGTAATAATTGTTATTTTATTTGACAATTAAACATTTTGGACTGATAATTATAAATCCCTTAATTATTTTAAAATTATTATACAAACAACTACAAAGTTTAAATATATAATAACTCACGTATATTAGATGTATGGGTGGATTTGATTTCGCCTTCTTCAATTTTGATATTGGAAAAATCTGAAGTATTTGAGGTGCCGTCGGTAGTAGAACTGAATGATTTTTCTTGTTTAATTACTAAACCATCCTCACATATCACTGAACAAGAGTTATTTAGTTCATTGGATACTACTCGATTATCACCAAAATAGTCTATTGAAACGATATCAGTATTACCTTTCTCAATTTTTACTTCACTAATCTTTTGTTGGTTGTTTTTTTTAACTGCATCAGTTGTGTTTGTTGTATTATTTTGTTTGTCTTCTTGAAATGTTGGGAATCCCAAATCTTCAAAATTCATACCAGTACTTTCTGAAGATCCTGGTGGAATACAAATAGGAACCTCATTTTTAAGAGTTTTAACAACTGGATCATTTTTCAAAGGAACTGTTTCTTCTTTTACATTTAAACCATCCTGTATGTTATCATGGAGGTTATTTTGAATATCTTCTGAAATATTGTTTTGAGAGTTAGTTAAAGATTCAATTGTATCATCTGGTTCATATTTTGGAAGAGAATGTATAACACTAAATGTACTTTGAGATCCTTGACTTTTTTTCATAACAGGATATAAGGGCAATTGCTTTTCATCATTATCAAGGACTTGAGCTTTTTCCATTGATTCTAAAATAATATCAGGTTTAATTGTTTTAGAATCAGTTATTTTTGGAGTTTTAGAAGTAGTGTTTGATGAAATTTCATTAACTAAATCTGTATTTGTGATTTGTAAATCACATGATGTCAAAGCTGATAATATAGTGGATTCACTAATGCTTTGTCCTAATATATTTGAAGAAATTTTAACATCATTTGAGCAAGAATCATTAGAAGAAATTTGTTGAAATAGTACAGGACCTGGTCCAGTTACAGGACAATGCAACCGATACATTTTTTGATTTTTTCCTGCTGCAACTACTAGTCTAACATTTGCAGCGCTGCTTTCAGGCATAGATAAAAATGATCCAGAGGTTCCGTTCATGACAATTTGAGTGGATTGAGATACTTGAGACTTTATTTCAGCTTCTATATTAATTTTATTAATAACATCATGAACAGTAAGTAATGTATTTTCAATTGAAGGATTTTCTAAAATTACTGTTGCTGTATTTTGCTCATCAGAATTTCCAGAAGGAGAGTTAATAATATGAGAAAAATGGCTCACAGCATTAGAACTGTCCTCGCTATCTAGAGCTTGCACATCAGAAGTAGGACTCATTTCCATACCAGATGAAGAGCAAGATGTTTGTTGAGAACAAGATTTTAAACTGAATTGATTCGACTTTTTACGTTTGGTGTTTATACTTGGATTGGTTGGTGGGTTAGTCCTACGTCTTGGCGCTGGTTTATTTTTTAATTCAGGTGAATTACGGAGTTGTTCAGCATATTTATCAAGTATTGCATATATTCGTTGTGTTGTTTGTTCATCTTCTTGCAATTTCGGTAATGGTTTCTGCTGCAAAACAGGAACTTTAACAGTTGAAATTGGTGGAGAATTGGCCGATGTATTAATAATCGGATTTGATATATTTTCAATCTGATTATTAGGGCATTGTGGTGAACCATCAGTAGGATTTACTGAAATATTGCTGGTGGGTGATGTTTCTGCTGGTACAGGTGTAACACTAGAAACTGAAATTGTTGTTGGTGGCGCTGTCACTGGTTCCTTTTCTTCACTTATATCATTTACATTGGACAATGTTTGATTCAAAAATGAAAATGAACAATGATCTCTTTCATTGCTCATATTTGGTTTTTCATTTAAAGGAAATAATGTTTGATTACTATTTGCATTGAGCAAATCAACATTTTCTATAGGTGAATCAATTTGAATTATTTCATGATTTATTTGAGGTAACATACTAACAGTACTCATTTCATTCATCAATGATGTTTTTCTAACTTCTTCTAATACAGATTCAAATTCTCTCACTTGTTCCATCATTGAAGAACTAACATTTGACTCTGTGACATTAGGTTTAATAGTACTCACTAATACTTTATTATTTGAACATTCTATAGTAGTTTTAGTAACATTTAACATATTTGATGAAATTAATCTTTCAAATGTAGAGGATGCCATTACTTCAGTACTTTGTTTACCTTGACGAAACTTATTTTGTTGCCAATTAGGATGTCTACGTAAAATAGTTTGTACAATTGGAGGAGGAACTTTGAGATGTCTATGTGTTGTAGTATGTGTAATTTTTTCTATATTATCATTTGATTCGCTTTCTATTGGAATTGAATTTATTATATTCGAACTGGAAGATGCTACTAAATTATTACAAGTAGTAAATGTTGAAACTTCAGATGTAGGTGTTTCACAAAATTCTTTCTTAATGATATTATTAGTATCTATATTACTTGTTAAAGTTTGATGAGTAGACAATAAAGAAACTTCAGGGATATTTTTCACAGAAGAGCCAGTTTTACAAGTCATTATAACATTATTTTTATTATTGTCAATCACTGCATTAGTAGATTTTGTCATAGTTATATTCTGCTGAAGTTTATTGTCTACTATTTTTGGCCTTAAACAGTTAATGGAGTTGGAGATAATTTGATCTATTTCATGGTTGGTCTGTACACCTTTTGAAGACGAATAAACTCTGGACATTGACACATTAGTTTGATTAACAATTGGCCCAGTACTAGGATTACTTATCACACTGGTTGAACAAAGTGATGATGTATCATTGATAATAGTTGAAGTTTGGAATTTAGTTTTACCAAAAACTTGTTGAAATCTTGGTAACATGGAGCCTGTGATGGTGATATTTGGAGATGCATTAGTGGAAAGTTTTGGCTTTTCCAAAGATTCCTTAGTAGTGATTGTGTTTTTTATTTTAGCTTGAGTTGTCATTGTGTGGTTTTTTGAAGAGATACCCAGTTTAGTATGCTCTATTTGATTTACAACATCATCTTGAGCTGCATAAAGTGTCCCTTTTTCAAATACAAACATATCAGACATATTAGCTTGTTTTAAGGCTCTAGTTTTACTTTCATAAGTTCTCATACTTCCTCGTCCTCTATTAGTCAGTTTAGAATTTAGATTGTTTTCTTGATTTATATTGGATACACCACTTTCTGTAGTATTTGGAAAACTAGCAAGATTTGATGTTCTGGTTTTTTCATTACTCTGAAAAAAATTATGCGATTCAGTACTACTAGTAACAAATTTAATCGCTTCTGATGTAGTAATAAATGTTTGACTTACTAATTTTAGATGGTCAATTTGTTTTTGTTCATCAGATTTATTTATTTCAAGGGTAATATGACTCAAGTCTGCATGTGGTACTCTTTGATTTTGTGAAGTTGTATACAATGAATTATGTACATTAGTTTTAATAACTTGACTTTGTGTTGATGCAATCGTCAAGGATATTACTGAAGCATTAGAATTAGAAACTTCATTTGATATATGTAAACCATCCATACATGTTTGAGTTTGAATACTAGAAACAGTGTTTACTACAGGCATGGTTGATTTCAAATTATCCAAAATGTGATTTTCTTTTATAAACAAAGTATTTACAATTGAGGAAGTGCTAACTACACTGTTAATAGTGTTTATGATATTTTGATCATTTAATGTAGAAATATTAGTCAAAGTAGAGTTTTCGGAAACATTAGTACATATTTGTGTAGATTGGTTATTCGGAGACATTGCATTTTGTATACATTCTGATTGTGGATTATTAAAGTTGACCTGTAATCCTACTGATGTTTGAACTGGAGAAGATGGGTGAACTTTTGAGTCAAAAGTTGGTTTGTTTGAATTCATTACATTTGTTGAACAATTGTTACTGTTAGTTGAAATAGAAGAAATCGAATCAGGCAATGTTAAATCAATAAACCTATCACGATTTTTAATACAATAAGACTTCTTTGTCGCATTTCTTAGTTGGCCAGTATGAGATACAACACTTGAAGTAATAATATCTGATGTTCTAACTATTACATTAGAAGATAGATGTACATCATTTTCAATTGTAGATTGTAAATGATTTCCAGAATTTTGTAAATTAATATCATTCCAACAACCATGATTTAAATTAATTGAATTTTGGTCTAATAACACATCTTGTGATCCAATTAGTTTGGTTGTTTCACACTGACTTATATTGTGAAGATTTGAATTAGAATCGGAAGCTATTCTTTGATTGCTAACAGAAACCCTTCCAGTAAAACTGCATTCCCCTTGGATTCCAGAATCTTGAATAGAATTTATGTTGTTATTTAATGAATTTGATTGATATAAAGAAACAAAATTATCCAATGAATGAGTGTTAGTTTGATTGTTGTTAGTTTTTTTCTCTATCTCATTATTAGAATGATTCGAAATATGTTCTGTTTGAGTTTGTGATACATTTGTTAGAGGATTTGATGTAATTTGAATCTGTACTACATTCACAATATGATCTGTATTTTTTGGAATCATATATTCTATTGAGCTAAGTTGAGTCATTTGTTGACGTAAATTATTTAAATGGTCCTCATTGTAATATGGATCATGCGATTCATTATTCATAAATAAATTATTTGATGTGCTTGTTGATGATGAATTATTAGTTGTTGAACATACATTTCTGTCTTTTGATAATCCACTATTTAATGGACAATTGGTTTTATTTGAATTTCTGGTCTTTCTTGAAGTCACTGAATAATCATATTCTTTGAGTTCAGTTTTAATGATTGACCGTTTTGCTCTCAAAGGAATTAATTCATCTTTTTTTATATTTAAGACCGAATTGACTTTTTCTTTTTCTTTTACAATAGTGTTTGAATCAACTGAAAGTCTTGCTTTACCTTTTAAACTTCCACCAGCTTTGGTATTATCATTTTTTTCCAAAATAAAACCAACAGTCCTTGGGGACACTGAATAAACATATTCATTATACTGTTTTTTTTTTATAAGTCTTTTTGGTCTTACTATTTTATGTTGAAATACATTTTCTTGTTTATTTTTAGAAGTTTTAACACTTTCATTTTCTTTTAGAATAGAACCAACACGTTTTGTATTTCTTTTTGAATCTGTATTGGCTGTATCATTTTTTTCTAAAATGGAAACAGACATTTTCCTCTTTTTTGCTACCTGTTGTGGTGTGTCATTTTTAGAAGTTTTAACTTTTTTATTTTTTTTTGAAATAGAATTCAATGATCTTTTGGTTGTAGTTCTAGACCTAGATGGCGAATTATCTAATTCCTGATGCGTTTTATTCCTCACAACTCGTTTTGTCAATCTATTTATTCTTTGTGCCACAGAAGCACTTGTATTTTCTTTTAAAATAGACCAATTAACATTTTTTACTACATTTTTATCTTTTACAGAAACAGTACCATTGGAACTTGAATTATTTTCTAAAATATTATTATCAGAATTTACATTATAATTTTCTTGTGAAGCAGTTCTCATAGTACCTTTAGACAATGGATATTCATAATCATCATTTTTATTTGTTTTTATTAATCTTTTTATTTTTGTTGCCTTAAGTTCAGTATTATATTTGTTATCAGTGGTGACATTACTTTTTCCTAAAATATGATCAACTGGACCCTTGGCATTTTTTAAAACATTTTTACCAGATTTTATATTTGTATTTGCTTGTGAAGGTGTATGCACAGAATGTTTAGATAAGGAATAATGAAAGTCTTCATGTTTGTTTGATTTAATAATTCGTTTGCTTCTTTTAATATTTTGTTGCGGTTTGGAATTATTTTGTAAATTTGTATTAGAAATTGTATTGTTAGTTACTTCTAAAGTAGAACCCACTGTACTAGTTTCATTTTTTAGAACGTTTTTACAGGATTTTACATTTTTATTTATTTGAGATTTAATACCCACAGAGGGTTTAGACAAGGAATAATGAAAGTCTTCACATTTGTTTATTTTAATAATTCTTTTGGTTCTTTTAATACTTGGTTGTAGTTCATTATTCTTTTTTAAATTTTTATCTGTGGTTATATTGTCATTTCTTTCTAAAATTAAACCAACAGCATTTCTTTTTAAACTTCTATTAGGAGTAGTATTGCCAATTTCATCTAAAATAGAACTAGCCAATATCTTATTATTTCGTGTAACAGCTTTACCAGCTACACTATTATTTTTTTTTTCTAAATAAGTATCTACTGAACTTGCATCATTTTCCAAAACATTTTTATAGGATTTCACATTGTCATTTACTTGAGAATTAATATTCACAGAGGGTTTAGATGAGGAATAATGAAAGTCTTTACACTTGTTTACTTTAATAATTCGTTTGGTTCTTTTAATACATGGTTGTGGTTCAGTTTTCTTTTTTAAATTGTTTTCTGTGGTTATATTGTCATTTCTTTCTAAAATAGAATCAGCAGATCTCTTAAGATTATGTGCTATAACTTTACCAGCTCCATCGATCTCAATTTTTTCTAAAATAGAACCTTCTTTACTTGCATCATTTTCTAAAACATTTTTACCAGATTTTATATTCTTATTTGCTTGTGAAGTAGTAGGCACAGAACGTTTAGATAAGGAATAATGAAAGTCTTTACATTTGTTTACTTTAATAATTCTTTTGGTTCTTTTAATACTTGGTTGTGGTTCAGTTTTCTTTTTTAAATTGTTATCTGTGATTTTATTGTCATTTCCTTCTAAAATCAAATCAATAGTATTTTTTTTAAAATTTTTATCAGGACTGGTATTGCCATTTTCTTCTAAAATCAACCCAACAGAATTTTCATTGAAATTTGCATAAGGACTGGTATTATTAGGTTCTTCTAAAATAGAACCAACAGAACTGTTAACATTATGTTTTAAAATATTTTTACAGGATTTTACATTCTCATTTACTCGTGAATTAAGAATCACAGAAGGTTCAGTTCTTTGTATATTTTGTTGTGGTTTAGTATTCTTTTGTAAATTGTTATCTGTGGTTACATTGTCATTTTCTTCTAAAATCAAATCAATAGTATTTCTGTTTAAATTTATATCAGTACTGATATTGTCATTTTCTTCTAAAATCAAATCAATATTATTTCTATTTAAATTTGTATCAGTACTGGTATTGTCATTTTCTTCTAAAATCAACCCAACAGAATTTTCATTGAAATTTGCATAAGAACTGGTATTATTAGGTTCTTCTAAAATAGAATCAACAGAATTGTTAACATTATGTTTTAAAATTATACTAGTTTTGTTTTTCTTAATTTTTTCTAAAAGAGAACCATCTGTACTTTCATTGCCTTTTAAAATATTTTTACAGGATTTTACATCCTCATTTACTCGTGAATTAAGAATCACAGAAGGTTTAGTTCTTTGTATATTTTGTTGTGGTTTAATATTCTTTTGTAAATTGTTATCTGTGGTTACATTGTCATTTTCTTCTAAAATCAAATTAATAGTATTTCTATTTAAATTTGTATCAGTACTGGTATTGCCATTTTCTTCTAAAATCAACCCAACAGAATTTTCATCGAAATTTGCATAAGGACTTGTATTGTTAGGTTCTTCTAAAATAGAATCAACAGAATTGTTAACATTATGTTTTAAAATTTTACTAGCTTTGTTTTTCTTAATTTTTTCTAAAAGAGAATCCTCTGTACTTTCATTGCCTTTTAAAATATTTTTACAGGATTTTACATTCTCATTTACTCGTGAATTAAGAATCACAGAAGGTTCAGTTCTTTGTATATTTTGTTGTGGTTTAATATTCTTTTGTAAATTGTTATCTGTGGTTACATTGTCATTTTCTTCTAAAATCAAATCAATAGTATTTCTGTTTAAATTTATATCAGTACTGTTATTGTCATTTTCTTCTAAAATCAAATCAATAGTATTTCTGTTTAAATTTATATCAGTACTGTTATTGTCATTTTCTTCTAAAATCAAATCAATAGTATTTCTATTTAAATTTGTATCAGTACTGGTATTGTCATTTTCTTCTAAAATCAACCCAGCAAAATTTTCTTCTAAATTTGTATCAGGACTGTTATTGTCAGTTTTTTCTAAAAGGGAATCAAAAAAAGCTTTAACATTTTGTGCTGAAATAGGATGAACTGAACTAGTAGTATTATCTGAAAAAAATGTACAAGATTCTACTTTAATTATTCGTTTAGTTTTTTTAATATTTTGTTGAGGTTTAGTATTACTTTTGAAATTGCCATCAATGGTGATATTTTTTTCTAAAATGAACTGAATATAATTTTCTTTTTGATTAGTTTGTGGAATAGTATTGCCAGGATTTTCAAAAATGGAATCAACAGAATCTCTAACATTTTGTATAAATGTTATATCAGTACCATTCTCATTTGTGTCTACAAAAGTATCAACTGAACTGTTTATATTTTGTGTATCATTATTAATAGATGTAATATTCTCATTTTCTTTTGAAATTGTCATTACTGAAAGTTTTGATGATAAATCAAAATTAATATGTGCTTTTCTTTTATGAAAATTGTTTGCCTCTGTAATATTTTGTTGAGGTCCAATATTCTTTTCCAAATTATCATCTGTGATTATATTATCATTTACTTCTAAAATAGGACCAACAGAATCTGTAATATTTGGTTGTACAATGTTATCAGCTATAACATTTTCAATAGTTTCTGAAATAGTATCGTATGAACTATTTATATTTTCTATGTCATTTCTACCAGGGTTAACATTCTCAATTATTTTTGAAATTTTTATAACTTTAGTTTTATGTAATGAATCATGGGCTGTACTGTTTTTTCTCTTAGCAACTCTTTTTGGTAATACCACACATGGTTGAAGTTTGATATTATTTTTAAAATTGTCATCAGTGGTGACATTATCATTTCCTTCTAAAATCAACCCAACAGAATTATTAAGAACTATGGTATTCTTATTTTTTTCTAAAGTAGTATTAATGTTACTTTTTATATTTTCTATATCATTTTCAACAGAGTTTACACTATCATTTTCTTTTGAAATTTTACTGACTGAAGAAGGTTTAGATGATAAATGATAAACATTATGTTTTATACTCTTGGAAACTAGTTTAGGTTGTGCCATACATAGGTGAGATTCAGTATTATTTTTAAAATTATTATCAGAGCAGTCATTTTTTCCTTCTAATGTAGGGTCAGCATAAGGGTTAGTCTTATCAGATTTTCTTAATGTAAAACCAACTGAATTACCTTTAGTCTCAACTTCAGATTTTTTACCTGTTAATCTAGTTTTACTATTTGATTTTTTAGATTCTTTTTTAATTCTTGCTCGTAAAGTTTTGGGTTTGATTTTTTTAATTTTTCTTTTTGATTTTCTTTGTCGTTGACTTTTTGAATTATCCAAGTTAAAATATACTCTATCTCCTGACGAATTAGATTTATTTGATTCTTCATCCTCACTAGAAATACCATAACTGAAATTATCTTTATCAAGTCCTAACATTTTCCTTTTCTCTAAAATATATAGATTGTGTTCTCTTATATCAACATGAAGGAATTGTAAATCATTAACTTTCAATAAATTTCTGTTTAACACTATGTCTATGTCATCCATCAGTTGTTGACAAACAGTTTTAATTTCTGACCATTGCATGTTCCAATCTACTGACCCCATGCGTGGAAAACTCAAAACATCCACTATACATTCTATCATGTGTTTAGTTAATGGTTCTGGTTGTAAATTTTCAAGTTCATGAACAACCTTGGAATAAGAATCTTCACTGTTTTTATGCAACATTAATGTAATATCTATCTTACTATGTATTTGAGTATTTTTTTTCTGTAATTTATAAGGTTTTCTAGATTTCCTTTGGATTTTATCAATGTAATACCAAGGAACATTAGTTGAATCTTCTAGAACTAGTTTACCACTTTTAATTGCAATATTTTCAATTTCATCCATAAGATCCTTGTCAGGTAATATGCAATATGCAGACAAAACACACTCCCGATATGCACAGAATAAATCTTCTAGTAGTTTAGACAATTTTAAATAGCCATGTTTTAAACTTAGTACTGATAGCCATATTTTTTCTTTACTTTCATGACATCTGCGATACAATTTTTCATCAACATTCATTGTCAACCCACGAATAAAGGTACTCAGATAGAACGTTTTGGGAATTTTAGAACCAAACTGCAAACAGAAATAATTTTTTTTTTTTATAATTATGTATACAATAATAATAAAACTTAAAATTTTTATTATACCAGGTGATTCATTTAAGTGGGTACACTTATACACTTACACTTAAAGTATTAACTTTTACTTTTGTTTTCTAGAACATTTAAGAAACAAGCTGCTCTACAATTTTATATTTATGTTATTTTTTGTAACCCTTATTTTTAAGGGTAAAACCACTACCTACTTTTGATTTTCTAATGGCAATCTATACTAAAAAGACCATAAATAGATGGATTATTAATTAAAATAAATTTCAGTGTTGAAATTTTTGATTTTTGTCAAGTTGTTGATGAGATATTCCACTTTTAATTTTGAATTGGAGGAAAGTAATGGACTATCATTAGTGTGGCAGTACAGAGCTCATGGTTTGTAAATAATGCACTACCATTCTCCACCAATCCAAACTGAAAAGTAGAATATCTGGTCAACAGTCTGACGGAAATCAAAAATTTCAACAATCGTATTTAATTTAACAAAACCTCCATCTATATATGGAATTTTTAATATAGATTGCTATTTGAAAATCAAAAATAGGTAGTAGTTTTACCCTTAAAAATAAGGGTTACAAAAATTAACATTAATATAAAATTGTAGAGCTGGTTGTTTCTTAAATGTTCTAGAAAACACTCGATACTTTCCAAGATAATGAGTGTACCCACTTAAATGAATCACCTGTATGCAATAAAAAACAATTCAATTTTTCAGTAGAAAAACTTTTATGGTTATAGAAAATATTTACAACTAGTCAATTTATTAAGCTTATAAATTAATATATACATAAATAAATCAAATAATGTTTTGGCAATTTAAGTACAAAATTGTATTCAATATATATGTTATAGAATTATTATAATTGGGAAAAATGTAGGGGGGGAAATAAACTATTTTAAAATTTTACACTAATTTAAAAAAATTAAATGAAAAATAAATACATAATTATTTTTTTATTTCTATGTTATATCATATAAGTTATTATTTTGTTTAGATTCTAAGGCTAGTAAAGGGTCTATTGGTTTTGGTTACATTTTAGATCTAGTCAGTGCATTGAAGAGGTCATTATTTGATTTGCACATGTTTTCCTTAGTATAAAATATAGGTTCTGAGGTTTTACAAAGATGTTTATTATTATAATTTTTTTTTTTTTTGAGGACAACTCTAATAGAAATCTTGCTTTAATTTTTAAGTATAACACCTTTTCTGAAATCTGACTGGGGAGGTATACTTTAGAGAGGTTATTTTTCAATTTTCCTAAAAGTTTTCCCAGCAAATGAAAAAATACAGGATAACCTGGATAAACTTAGAAAAACAGGAAAAATTGTTTACAATACTACTACACAATATAATTGAAGAAAATATATAATGCATATTTAATTATTTTACCATAATATGATATATACATTGTTGACAAAACATCACTACTCTCATTAACTGAACTCTGCTCAGAATAATTTTTCATTAGCAATGGTTGATCATTTCTTAAAAATCTAAATTAAATTCCTTTCTCACCTACAACACTGGCTGCACTCATACCCATTATCCTAAGACAGATTTTTATAATTTATGTTTTCAACCAGAAATACTTCTGGAGTGTCAAATATCAACAAGAACATTTTTTTTGTTTATTTTGAGTGAATTTACTAATTAAGTCATGTTTTACTTAAAAATTATGCAAACCAGGAAAAAAATAGGGAGAATACTAAATGAAAAAAGGATTTAAATACATGGGTGGGACACTGTTGTATGTGAGAAATTGGAAAGGTAGAATATATTGGATACCTTTGGATAATTAGGGAATTTAATGTATATGTAATCATTAGAGCATGGATTTCTATGTAAAAACAAGTTTTTAATGGATTTATACATAACCATGAGAGTAAGATATGTCAAGGATTCACAGTACAAAGAATCTGAACACAAAATTTTATCTTGCATATAAGTGCATATTTTGATGCTAAGAGAATACATTTATATAAAATCAGTTTTTTATTATATTTGACTGATTAAAAATTTATGAATTGAAATATTTCCAGGAATTAAAAAATTATGTACATTTTAACAGTTGTGATAATTGACAAATGATAATGAAGTGTGAAATTTATTATTTTACTGTTTATCATAATATGAATACGGTAAATGATCTTGATCCTGTTGGTCAAAATTTCGTATATAGTTATTTTACAAACAACACACTACCTAAGACCTGAATAATTGATAATAATTGTTACCACATAAATTATCACAGGTTTTCTTCAGGGAAAAAGAGATTTCCTTTGTATTTAAGTACTGATAAAATTAAAAAAATTGGTTTTATATATTTTATTATGGTTGTAATTTGATTTACAAATTTGAATTTAATGCGGAAATAACTATCTAAAAAAATGAATTTATTATCATTTTAATAATGTTATTGAGTTGTTAATTATTATTTATCAAATTTGCTTTGTATATAAGTACATATTTTGATGTTAAAAGAATATATTAATATAAAAACATATTTTGGCTATTTTAATAGATTATAAATCCACGCTCTAGTAATTATTATTCATTAGTCATAATTCATAACTAACGCAAAATGATTCAGTGCGGACTTCAGTTATACATATTTAAAAAGTTCATCAAAATTTGATATTAAAATTATTATAAAAAAAAAATCTACATTAAACAATTTTTTCTTTTACCACAAAGTACAAATTAATGTACCTGCTGAATTTTTATGTTAGTTTATGATTTACGAACCTGTTGAGCTTATATTTGATCAAATAATATACTCAGAGTACCTACTGAATAAAAATGATGGAAACTCTCAAAATGTCTATAAATAGCTCAAAAATGGTTAAAATGTTAATTTTATCACCTCTACAAATATTTTTAACTGAATTATTAAAGTATTATTTTTGTAAATTTTCTGGGTTTTTCCTTATTACTATGAACTCTCATGAAAAATTAAAATTTCTTTTCAGAAAAAGTACTATGCTTGAAAATTGGAGCAAAATATCTGGTAGAAAAATTGTTAATTGATAAAAAAAAATAAACATCATTGTAAAACCAATAAATTTCTCGCTATAGATATAAAGCAGTTAATGCAATCAATTAAATCAATCTGCAATGATTTCACTACCTAAAAAAATGATTATAACTCCAATTATTTTTTTCACTTACTTTATCATAGAAAATATCAAACAATGTATACACATGATCAGCTGTATAACATGACTTAAAAACATCAACAATAATTTGTTGATAAAATGGTTTATTCATGTTAGTAAATAAATCAGATTCACTTAACAAAAACAGTATATTAATCCAATAGCGCATTATTTCGCTGTAATCTTCGTATGATGCATCATAATATTTTTGTACAGAGTTCATAACCATAATAGCGGAACCCATTTCACAAATGGTAATTAAAGTTTTCTGGTTATTTGACAAGTAATTTTTTTGTAAAGTTGAAAGATACTTAATTTTTTTATAAAAACTACGTATGAGTTTTTTGCCTTCATCTTTTGGATCCTTTTTTTTAAACTATAATCAAAATAAAATATTGAGATATTTCATAATTAATTCATAAAAATATTACTTCCTAAAAAATAAAATACATCAAATAAACATACAATATTGATAAGCGTTCTCCTTCTGTAATTTGATTCAAATAGTATATAGAGTGTATCTCTGATATATTCATAATCTTCTTCGCGATAAAAAGTCTGATTACTATTCTTAATTACAATTTCTTCATAAACCTTCACTGCCACATATGCGAATTTCATTGCAGATATAGTTTGTTCAGTATCATTTAATAACACCTTCAATCGATGCACTATTATAATACTCTTTTCGTGGGTGACCAAATTTAAAACTAAAAAAATATATAAATGAATGATTATATTTTTATGAATAAATTAAATTTTCAAAATATTACAGTCTTCGTTGGTTGTTTCAGTAGGTATATCATCATAATGTGGCATAGGAGCATAATGCCATGGACTCCTTAATAAATATAGAAAACGCTGACATGTATTCAATACTTCCGGAATACATTCAATATTTTTGAGAACAGGTATAATTAGTTCCACAAATCCAACAAACTGATTTTTAATTTGTTCTTCAATTTTTTCCCACTGGAGTTGTAAAATTAGAACAGCAGATTCACTGGAAGATAAAATAAAATTATAATTATTAAGATAATATTTAATACTATTATTGGTAATATATTTAATGACATTTTTATTTTCAATACATCATTGGTTATTTTAAATAAAATTAAACTCCAATAAATGTAAAAATAATAATTAAATACAGAAATGATAAAGGTATATAGTGATTTATTTAATTTAAAACACACAATATTTCACAAAGTATTGATTTATATCAAAGAATTTTTTTAGCAATTTACAAAACAAACCTCTTTCAAATGTTAAAATTGATTAATTTTATTAGTAAAACAACTACATACTTATGATTTTCTAATAGCTACCTATATTAAAAATTCCGTAATTAGTTTAAATAAATTGTGTAGTTGACATTTTTGGTTTCGTAGGTATTCAAAGTTTAAATTTTGGTATGGGGAAAAGTAGTGTAGAATCATGTGTGTGGCAAGTGACTTAGTACTTCATGAATCTCTCATCAACTTAACATAAAAGTGGAATATTGTGGGTTGGTGAAAATTAAAAATATCAACATCAAATGTATTTAAACTTATAACTATATATTATGGAATTATTAATAGAAGTTGCCATATGAAAATCAAAAGTAGGTAGTTCTAAGTGGGCTTCCCTCAAGAATAAGGACGATAAAAAATTATGGTAATGTAACCTTTTTAGAAGAGCATATTTCTTAAATTCTTTAAAAAAAAAGTGTTAATACTTAGGTAAATATTGAGTGTTTTATTTTAAACTTATAACTTATATAATAATTTATGAAACTATAATACATTTTTAGTTTTTGATCAAGGTTTCGGATTTCAAATTCAATACACATCTTAAAAATACTCATTATCAAGGATCTAAGTTGTAGACATATGCTTTTTTTATTCTTTTTAAAACTATGTCAATAATAAATCAATATATGCAACCTTATTTTTTATTTTTAAAAGAGAGGTATTTATTTCCATATAGATAACTAATAGATATTACCTTTCATAATGCCTAAGAATAAATCAAATTAATTTTATTTTGTAATGTTAAATTTAATAGTTTCAATATTTGTTAAGAGTTAAACAACAAATAATTGCATACAAATTATTTTTAAAAAATCTGATATGCCTAGATCACCACTCTGGCTGCTTGTTGATAAAATATGTGTTAATTTTTAATGACAATAATTTACAACACAATATAAAAATGTCAACAGTTTAAAAATAACAATTTTTTATTATAGATTATAATATTACCTAACAGCAAAATGTAAAAATGTATGTATTCCAAAACAAGGATTACAGTGTAATAACAATGTAGAACTGCAATTTTTCCAAATCTGTAATAACTTTGTTATTTTAGTTACATAATTTAAAGAAGGATCCTTTGTGAACAACTCGATTTCCTAAAAAAAAAAACAAAAAAAAATTGTAACATTAAAAAATATTTAATATTAATAAAAGAAAATTTAAAATTAATCAAACAATTTGGTATTGCAGTGTAGGTAAGTAATTTTAATTATATTAGTAGAACTTAGATTAATTATACTCTATGCCATAAGAGAACTGGTTTATTATCCAAAGACTAATTTTCCACCATCAGCGAACCATATTAAATATTTTTATTGAAGAATGCGAGATATAAAAAGATTTTGGAGAATCAATTCTAGTCTAATACACTTTTTGATTTTTTTCAAAATGTGAGTTTTTAAGTTTGTTAAAAATGTGAATAAAAGATAAACTTTGTTTGGAAATATATATTGGGAAATCATCAAAAAATTCCCCACTATCCCTATTTCTTAGTTAGAAATTAATATTTTAAAAATAATTTTTTTCTAAAACATTTAATTTTAAATGCTCTTAATTCATTGGTGTAATAAAAAGTGTCTAACATACTATTAAAGATTTTGCAGAAGTGAACCAATACTCAAATAAATGATAACTCCACTTAAAATTTGAATATCTATATCTATATGGGTTGACAAAAATCAAAAATTTAATATATATTTTATTTATTTATACAATTTTAAAAATGCAACTAGAAAACCAAGAGTTGTTAATCATTTCACGCACACAACTTTGGAGTGTAAAAAATTAACAATAATTTAACATTTTAGAGTTGTGTATTTCATTGTAATAAACACCAAAGCACAACAAAATGTTGAAACAATATTTAAAATAATACATTTTGTAAATTTTCAGGCTTTTTCTAATTTTTCAAATTTATTATGAAAATCCATTTGAAAATCAAATATTAACTACCTTAAGTATCACCCAGATAAAATATTCTTTAGGAAAGGGTACTAAACCCGAAAATCAGAGAAAGATTTCTGGTAGAAAAGTGGTTTAAAGATAAAAAAAAAAAAAAACACATGATAGGTGGGCCATCATTTGACTTTGGCAATGATAAACCATTGCTAACAAAAAACAATTCTGAGTGAAGGCGGATAATAGAAGTGCTTTTTAAATATATATATGCCATATTACAGTAAAATAAATACATACACGTAATGAATTACGTAAATAAAATGAATCACACAGTAAACACATATTGTGTTGTATTTATTTTCCCTATTACCTACCGGATATGGTTTTAATGTAAATACAAAAAAATAAAATTTAACCGAAATAAATGAAGTGAGCATGCTTAGTGCAATCATCCTGTTTAATGTTATTAGATAAAATTAGTCAAAGTATTAATATTCATCACAGATTAGTTATAAAAAAAGTGAATCCAACATGATTATAAAAGAAATTATTAAACAGTTTTTCAACCTAAAGTTATATTTGTTGAAATTCAAAAGGCACTTACTAAAATAATTCATGCAAGCGAAGTGAAACCCAAAAAATAAGAAAAAGGAATTCAAAATAATGACTTTATTTATTTATATTATTCAATCAAATTTAAAAATTGTTGTCATTTAGTTATGTCTTACACATCAATAATAATAAAAAGTAGGTAAATTTAATAAATATAGTACCTACATTTAGATACCTATGCCATTCCTCCAAAATTACAATAATTTATAGCTACAATAATAGATGAAATTAAAGTTATAATATGTATATTAAACAATTTATTCAAACACCACAGCTTAGATTAAAATATTCTATTACACATTTATAGTACAAAATATTACTACTAACCTGAAGTATATCAAAATATTCCTGTTTAAGATATGTTATCTTTGGTTTCTCTGGATTTAGAATACATTCAATAACTTTATGATTATCATACATAGGAATCTGTAAAATTATTAAAAATCATTGTTGTTATAAATGTTACTAACCAAAATAAAAATTGTGTAAATAGGTTTTGATTATTTTTTTTAAAAAATATTCAAATTAATAAATAAATTACTAAATACAATTATTTACTATGCATAGATGGGCACTGAAAATCAAATTTTTCATTCATGAAATAACACAATTTTGTATACTCAACTTATTTCATACAACATTATTATTATTATTATTATTATTATTATTATTATTATTATTATTATAAGCACTTAATTAACAATTTAATGTTAGTTAATGGTTAGGTACTTTATTTAACTACTTCCTATTCTCCATATAATGATTGTATATATTTTGTTGATCATCTCAATTCATACAAAATGTAATTAGATATAGCCTAGTATTAAAATTATTCATATATAATCATATATAAAAAAATTACTAAGATTTGCCTTAGTAATTTTTTTTTCTGTATAAAATCTAATTTTTATTTCAAGAAATATATGGAATTATTTTTGGTAGAAGTAGCACCAGGGAGGTGAGGCCTGCACAAATTGTATGATAAATATATTATATGGTTAAACTATGAATTTTTATAGATATTAAGATCAAATAATATGATCATACACAAAAATGTATAATAAAATTAAAATAAAAGTTATAATTTTGTTGTTAATAAAGATATGTGTAATTAAGTATTTAAATGTTAACATGGTTCATATCCTGTAAAAATAATTTGTAAATCCAAATTCTTAAAAATAAATCTATTCATAAAAAAATTTAATTTTGCACAGAATTACAGATTTCTATGTTCTCCATTAAATTGTAAATTAATTTTATTAGATGGTTAGATGGTTTCATATTTTTTTTTAAATATTTCATACAATATTATCCATTAGGACTTTGAATTTGATGCACATTTTTTTTTCTTGTTTACCACTAAATACAACATATAATGAACCTCTGTTAAATTTTACAAGCATATCTGTTTGGTTTAATAATTGTATACACAAAGTACCTTCCAAATAAAAATTAATCATAAAATTGAAGTGTCTATAAATAGCTTAAATATTACTCAAATGTTTTTACAGTTTTACAACCTAAAAAAAAATCAAATTCAAGTTCTCTGTCCCAATTTCAAATGTCTACTGAAATTTTAACTGAATTACAAAAAAAAAAAAAAACAAAAAAAAATAATTAAAACATTATTTTGAAATTTTCCCAGTTTTATTAAGTTTATTTTTTATTTTGCTCAATTATTAAACTACACAGAAAATCACCAACTACATTAAAAATGCAACAAAATATTTTCTTGTCATTTTTTGATTGAAGCAAGAATTTTAGTAGAAAACATGTTACCTACAAAAATGTAAATATTTGTCCATTTATCCCTGTGTTTTTTCAATTATTATGAAAACGCTTGAAAAAAAAAAAAAATTGACCTCCATGAAGTACCAACTAAATACAATTTTCTTTCGGAAAACGTGGTACATTTGGAGGGCTATATGAATTAGGAATAGTCAAAATGTGAAATACAATTGTATTTGAATACAGTTAAATCAGAACTTAGGTACTATTCCGGAAAAATATCAAAAGCTTCAATAATATTTTCATGAGTATGAAAGATATCTAAGCTATTATTTTTTCTTGGGTGATAAAAAAGGATATTCTCGATACAAAAGATTTTGAAAATATTGGTTTTTAACTAAATTCCGAAATATAGAATTCCAGAGTTTTACAATCAATTATTTTATGTTTCGAAAAATTAAACTTGGGTTTTCATCAATCCGAATAATTACATTCCTAAAAATTATGGCTTACACTTAATATATCTGAGCAAAGTTTCTGGTAGACATTTTTTACACAGTAAAATGAATAAATTACTTATACCTTATTCCCTATATCTAAAACCATACTAAAATGTTAAATGATGATTAATTCAAAATTATAAGATGTATTATTAAATACATAAATCATATATATATATATTATATAAATGCTACAATGTTTAAAATTTCTGCCAAACTAAACTAAAATTGCCCAGAAAAAAAAAAAAAAACTATTAGCTTCATCACTAATATAAAATTTTCTTCAGTCTACTTGTTGCCATTATTTCATTTTTTTTTTTTTTTTTTGTATAATTGATCTAAAATAGTTATTGTTACAAAAGATTAACAGGTGTAATATTTTATTACTTAATTAAATCTAATTTTTATTTCCTAGACACTCCTCCTCCTTGTCCTTTTTCCGGGTATACTATATATATCTCTTCTTTCAGGCAAGTATAAAAAAAATATCCTATAAACTTTCTATACTAATAAATGATAAGGCATCAAACAAAAATAGTTTCATCAAAATAGGTAAATTAACTTTCAAGTTTTTGGTTAACCTACAGATGGGGTAGAAAAAAGATATAGCTACCTATATAATGTATAAGTCACAATACAGCAATGGCGTAATTCTCGCTTGGGTTTTTTTTTAGCACTGCTACAGCTTAAAATCAAACAGTGATTGTTTTTAACTTTTGATAATATTGAATGATTAATTTCTGTTACCTTATTTACAACAACTTTTGTCCTAGTAGTTTATTTTTTCTAGGATACTGAAAAAACTTGTTATCAGTTCCCATTATTAAGTTATTAAGTAATAACCACTGTTATATGATTGTAATACAATCATCTACAAAATTAATTTGAATTGTTTTATTATGAAACTCCGCTGTAATTTTATGTGATTTACACATTAATACAAAAACTAATACATAGAAGCTTAAAATAATGGAGCCTCAAAGGAAAACATCCAATATTCTCTCGTAGTTTGCAAAAAAAAAAATTTTACTTCATGAAAAAGATAAACATAAAGATAATAACACTTACCCTGATATTAGATTTATTTGAACCATGATCTTTAACTCAAGTAATATTTAAAATATATAATCCAATATATCATGATCTATTTTAACAATTTAACTCATTAACTATACTATTAAGTATAAAGCAACAATAAATTAATTTAATATTGAATGAAGTATTATAAATTGGAAATATCCTAATTTTAATCATTACTTTTAACATTGACATTGTATATTGTGTTGTTTTCAATAAAGCAAGTAAATATAAAGTAAATTTAAAAAAAAATTGTACCTATTAGCCAGCCATACATGAGCAAATTTTTTTGATGCATTTAGTTCCGCAGACTTCTGCGTACCAGATTCACAGAAGATCTACAAATTTAGTCCAGGACCTAATCCATCAAAAAATCCGCTCCTGTATGACTAGCTATTATTGTAAATAAGAATAGTTAACAATCTATTTTTTTTTTTTAATTAATGACTAAAATGGTTGATCTTTAATTAGCTATTAAAAGAATTACTAAGAGGAAAACTAACTGTGAGAATCCCTATTTTTATGAGAAAAAAAGAGTGTTAAAAAATTTAGAATGATCATTATTATTCCTTGTGTAGACTACTTCATAAAGACATTTTTTCTTTCACATTCGTATATTTTTAAAGGTATTTTTTTAAATATTAAAATTACTTAAATGTTCTTGAATAATACATTTTATTTAGGTTTTGCATTTACAGAATTAGTAAAATTTGTATTCTCTTTATGTGACAAATGATTCAATAACTAAATTTAAATAATGAACAGTAAAAATTCAGGTATTGGAAACATACTAAGACAGGACTCAAAGCATTAGATTGATACAATAAGAATTTATAACCCTTTAATATTTATTCTATGAATAAAATGTTATGCACTTTCAGTGTAAACTATTACTCCAATATGTTCCCTTCTTTGAAAGTTATAATATAATAAAAAATATATTAGTTAACCTTTAAATTCTAATTGTAGCAATTATGCAACATGTTAAAATAATATGTTTTCACACAACATAAGGATTACACAAAACGTGTTGTGCTGTCTAACTTATAGTTTAAGCTCTAATCTATGTATTATATTGATACACACATTTCGCATAGGTTTTGTAATGTATTTCAAACTTAGTAATGTAATTTAATGATTTTTCTCTAGTGTGGTTTTTATTTTTTTGATTTACAAAATGTACTTTGAGTGAAAAATACTATTTTAAATTATCAGAGATGAAACTTAGAAATTATTATAAGGTATATATGAACATTTAAGGTCATTCATAACACACAAATAATTAATAATGTAGTAGTTTTACTTAAGGTAATTTTAGCACTTTAATTATAAAAATACAATTTTTCAATACAAGTTCTAACACAGGATTTTTAAAATTATTTTTCCAAATTTAGAGCATACAAATAAGTTTATATTTTTATGTAAAAAAAAATTGGGCATTCAGTCTTGAAAATACCATACATTTTGTATAACAAGTATAACATATTACAGTAACACAATGTGTCCCACAATGTTTGACAGATTTTTATAGCAATGTTAATATTGAATTAGTTTAATTTTTTTTTTTCTATCAGTTTGTCTTCGAGGGGTACATTAATTAGGAGAAAAATTAAATTTTTATTTTCATTCCTTAAACACACAAAAAAATCTTTATTTATTAATTTGAGAACATTTTCAAAATAGCCATTTTGTAATAAATATTATTCTAAACATTTTAATGTATCATATTGTTCATATCCTATTAATAGTTTCTTAATAATAGCCGTTTCAATTTCTAGAAAAAAGGTGTGAAAAAAATTAATATTCAATAAAAGGTGAAGAATTACCGTGCTGATTGTAATTTCTTATCGCATAACTTGTTATTTTATTGAATATTAATTGTTTTCACGCCTAATTAAAATGGTTATAATTAAGAAATTATTCACAAGTAATGAATGTATTACACATTCAAAATTTTTGAATAATATTTGTTACAAAATGGCTATTTTTAAAATTATCTTATGTGAATAAATAAAGTGATTTGTTTTTTACATTTAATGGATGAAAATAAAAATTTAATTTTTCTCCAAGTCGATGCCTCTCTCGAAGGCAAACTGATTGAGAAAAAAAAGTCGAAAAAAATTGAATATTAACAGAGTTAGAAAAATCCGTCGAATATGGTGAAATACACTGTATACAGGCTGTCCTTAAAGATATACCATATACACCTTAAACACCTCCAGAGATAATAAAGATAATCAAATTTGTTTTTTTTTTTTTATTTATATTACTTACAGGAATGAGGAGCACAAATACACGAATTAAATTTTTTATTTTATTACTTTCATACAATTTTAAGTTAGCCATTCTGTAGAGTTTATTTTTCTGAAAATTTTAATGTATCACACATTTATATCCAATAAATAGTTTCTCAGTAACAGCTGTTTTAAATTATACTAATCCGCGTGAAAACTGACATTTTCGCGTAACACGGTTAGGTTATTGTTATTCTTTAGATAACATCGATTTTCACAAGGATTCGTGAGAAAAACCGGAAAGAAAATTATAAATAATTAAGTTTTCATTGTTTTTAATTTGTTAACACAATGTTTTCTACCAAAAATATTGATCCAATACAAAAAAATACAAGAAATGAATTTTGTTTCATTTAACATATATAACTACTGACAAAAAGCATAATTTCTAAATTTCTAAAGTATATTTCATAATAGGATAACCGAAAGAGACGAATTTCAATTTACAATGAGACTTTATTGTATTCATGATAATTTATTTTAAATTTGTATGGCTTATGTTTTCTACCATATATATTGCTCTAATAGAAAAGCAACAAGAGATCTTTTTTGACATAAAAATTTATATTTACCTTTTCAAAACGTAATTAATTTAAAAATATTTGAGCTATTTATAGATATTTTAATTTTGCTAGTTTATTATGTAATTTTTTTTTGTTAATTGTTAGATTAAACAAAAATGCATGAAAATTTAACAGGTTCATTAAAAGTCTAACTTTGTGGTCAAACAAAAATTTGAATTTAATGCAACATTTTTTTTTAATAAAGGAATTTTAATACCAAATTTTGGCAGAAATCAATTGAGTAAAACATTATGTGAAACAAATTTAATTTTTCAATTTCTTATTTTGAATATATGTATTTTACCGATTTAAAAACCATGGTTAAGTCAGAATTGAACTGACTAAGTTTCGAAATTGTAGAATTTTGAAGTTTTGATTAAGGGGATATTATATGCTATGTTAAATAACTCTATATTATCTGTTTTAAAGTATATTGTCAAAGTCTAAAGGTTTATAGATACTTATTGTCATCCAAGGGATCGTGAGTTTAAACCCGAGTTTCGAAATAAATTATTTGTATTTTTTTCCCCCTTTCACCAAAACAAGGAAAACACAAATGCATTTTAGTTGTACCTAGAAACCAAAGTCATCGCTCGCTCGCAAAACACGTAACAATTTGTTGTGAAAAATTTTCCACCAGTATCTTGCTCCGATGTATCTAACACTACATGGTACTTTAAGGGTGTCATTTTTTTGATTTTTCAAGCAGTTTTCATAATATCTAGAATAAAATATCGGAAAAACGGAAAATAAAAAAAAAATATTAAATTCCCGTCTGTATCCTAACCTACCAATTTCCCAAATACAACAGTGACTGCAACCAGGTGCGAGATATTTATTTATTTATTTTATGTATTAGTGAAGTTATACAATCAAATTTTAACGAAAATCCTAAACATTACGGCCAGTGTTAAATCCAGACAATTTATCTGGGGGGGGGAGGGGGGCTTAACTAAGTTTATAGTATTGACCTTTTTTTTAGTAGAAGGGTATCCTCATACTAGGACAGTCAAATTTGCTTAAACACGTAAGTCATATTAAATATAAATTAAAAATAAAACAAAATGTACAAATAATGTAAAAATCAATTGTTAAATTAGTAAATTTGATTTTAATTTCTTATTTTATGCGACTCAGATCGCAATTTTCCCATGTTTTTCACATTTGCTGAAAAAACTATTGGGAAAATCGAAAAATAACCTCGCAAAAGTATCTTCCCAATCGGATTACCTTTCAGAATAAGTGCTATTATTGTAAATGGTAGCAAATTGCTGGTAGAAACGTTGTTGACAGGAAAACAGAAGGCTGAGATATATTTTAACTAATATACCTATATTTCTAATAATAATAATACCTAACCTAACTAATGGTTACCTACATTTCGTACATTTTCCGTTATTTCAACATTTTCTACCGGTTTTTCCCAGATCTTAAAAAAATCGTTTGAAAAAACAAAAAATTACCTCCTAAATTACCATGGAGATAAAATTCCTTTCAGAAAATAAGCTACGCTTGAAACATCAGAGTAAGATTTTTGGTAGAAATTGTTGTTACAGTAAAAAACAAAACATACAAATAAATAAATAAATAAATAAGCAACCTCTGGTTAGAAGTTGTTAATTTACTTAAATCTCATTTTTCTAGTGCATATAAATTAAATTCACTAATTATTAATAACACTAATAATACTTCCAAACTAGATAACTCACTATTTTGCTTTAACTCTGTAAATATATCTATAATGGATGTTTTCAACGAATTATTGTCTAGTAATTTAAAATTATCTACAGGTCCTGATGGTATCTCTGCAAGGTTCTTAAAAGAATGCTCATTTATATTGTCACCTATTATAACTTTTTTTATTTAACAAATCATTAGTTAAATCATTAAAAACTGGTATTTTTCCTAACATATGGAAATTTTCGTTTGGATCTCCAACTTATAAAAAAGGAAATAAATCATTAGTTACAAAACTACAGGCTAATTTCTAAAATTTCAATATTTCCAAAGATATTCTCTAAATTGGTTAACAAGCAATTATTTCCTTTGTGTGAACGTTTATTTTCAAACGAACAACATGGATCTCCGTCCAGGGAGATCATCGTTAACCTACCTAGGTATTTTCAAACAATTCATCTTTGAATCAATTAATATACAAGCTCAAGTCGATGTAACCTATACGGACTTTGAAAAAGCGTTTGATAGAGTTAGTCATTCTCTTTTATTAATTAAACTAAAAACATTTGGTTTCGACAATCCGTTACTTTCATGGTTCGAATCTATCTTAACCAACCGAGTCCAAGCAGTCAAATATGAAAATCATATTTCCGATCAAATAAATATATCATCAGGTGTCCCCCAAGGTGACCACCTGTCACCATTACTAATTTCTATTTTTATTAATGACATTCAAAAAATCATTAAAAACTTCACAATGTCTTCTATTTGCGGGTGATATTAAAATTTTTAAGANTTTAAAAAAAAAGTACGCTATTTTTCGATTATAGGTTAGATAGTGTCGATGTATCACGCAGAAATGTAATTAAAGACCTGGGTGTTCTATTTGATTCAAAACTCCCATTCAATCATCATATAGATTATATTAAGAATAAGGCATTTATGAAATTAGGATTTTTAAAACGTATATGCAAGAATTTTAATGATGAGTCGACATTTAAAACTTTATACTTCTCATTAGTACGATCCCATTTTGATTATGCTTCCTTAATTTGGCACTCTGATAATATTACTCAGAATCAAAGTTTATCCTCTGTCCAAAATAATTTCCTAAGATACTTATCATTCAAATGCCATATAGAAAGAGTTTCTCATTAAGGATATGATACTGTTGTAATTTTTTTAGGATAATGTCTTTAGATAATAGAATGAACTCTAAATTTCTCTATAAAATACTACATAATATTATAAACTGTCCTGAACTTCTTGAGCGTTTGAATTTTAGGGTAAACCAATTATGTTCAAGAAATAAATCTCTATTTTATCCTTCACAAATCAATGAAAAATACATGCTATACACCCCCGCAAATGTCCTTATGACCGCGGGAAATTCAATCCATAATTTAGATATATTAAATACCACTCTACGCAACTTGTCAAATACTCTATCCAATTATTTTTATTTACTATCCTAATTTATTGCATTATGTTTTTTATTTATTTATTTATTATAATGTTATTATAGGTTAAGATTATTTTGTCTGATATGTTAATACATGTCTCAATGTATTAATTATTTTCTATTTTTATTTATTTTCTATGTTAATTTAATTGTTCAACTTAACTTTATTATTTATCTTACCATGTTCATATAAGCTGCATACTGTCAATTTATTATTTTGTAATTGGAAATTTCCGTAAATAAATTATTATTATTAAATAAATGCGTGGTCTAGAGTACCTGTTACAATAAATAAATTTTGGTCTGGAAAATTTTTGAATTTTTTTTTTCAATTTTCAACTCTTTAAAGGGATACTCCACTTTTAAGTTTAGATATTTGTGTTTTCTAAATGAAGTAAAATGTTCAAAACATTTGAGCTATATTTAGACTTTTTATAAAAATGTTAATATTTTTGTTGAAATTTAATTAAAAATATTTTATCGACTCTATAGACTTAAAATTTAGACAAAAAATTATTTTTGTTTTTTTTAGATATGGAAAAATGTTTAAATAATTTAAGCCATTTTTGAGGTATTTAAACGTTTTAATTTTGAAATACAAAATTACGAAATAAATAAAAATTTTGAAATGTTTTATGTATGTAACCACAACTGGAAAATTGTTAAAAGGATGTTACACCAGCATCTACTGTCTCAATCCAACTACCTAGTAAAATGCAAAAACAATGCCACTCATGTATGAGTAAAATTAGCTTGATTTTTATTTTAGAGTAAAAGTACTTATAACAAAATGTATAGAAAAAAACATTTTAGAGGAAATGTTAGAGTTTTTGTCTTATTCAAAATATACAGCTTAATATAAAAGATATAAAAACCTTCTTTCTTTTTTTTTTGTTTTAATAGTTCATAATTCAAAAAAAACCAATAATATTCCTTCCAAAATATTGTTCTCTATAAAATTCATAATTAGTACTTTTACTCTAAAATCAAAATTAGGCTAGTTGTACTTGTTCTGTGTAAGTAATGTTTTTACAAGTTACCTAGTAGTTGGACTGAGACAGTTGACAAGGGTATAACGGTCCTCTTAAGCACACTATTTTTTATATGAAAAAAATAAAGTATCTTGGCCTTGAAAAAGATTTTTATTTTGTTTTTTAAGTTAGGTATCATTTTCACAACCAAACAAATGGTTTTAAACAAGCAATGCATGTAAAATAATTCTATAGTTTTACAACTATAGAACTGATGGTATAATTCAACTAGGTGCATACTGTGATATAAACATAATATCAAACTATAAAAGTAGTAAATTTAGATAATAGGTATTTAAAAATGAATTATTATTGTCACTTATATGTTACTTATTTTCTTTGGGCAGAAATCGCTCAAAGTTTATCTCTTAACCAATGAAAGACTTTTCTACTTTTAAAATGATTATGTATTAAAGATTATTGGCACGGAAATATATGAATTTAAGATAATATATTTTTTAAAAAACATTTACACTGAACAATAACAGGTTTTTAGCGATGCTATCTTTTATGAAACAAAACTAATATTTCATTTTAAGAGTTGGTGTATCATTTATTAAGTACACCACCTATTAGTCATAATAAATAGACTGTTTACTATATTAGTTTAAAGTTCACTAAAATTCTTGATCCGATCATCATAACCATATATGTTGTAAAACAATGCATTTTTTGGACTTTGTAAAAAGGTTATCCTTATAATTCCGGCACAGTGTCCATTAAAGCACTCAGCACTCTACTGTTCATTGGTTGAACCAATACTAGAATATGGTAAGTATTTTGGGGTTGATATACAACAGGTGATCATGTCCATTTAGAATGTGTCAACAAAATTGTTTAAGTTTTGCTGGGTTTCACTTGTTAATATTTCTCATTCACAACATAACTCCTATAACAAACTATTGTTTTTCCTGCAACTGGGAGAATTAGATTAGATTCTTTAGAGAATCATAGATACGCTAAAAGTATAAAATGTTAAAACAAATTATTATCTGACAAAACATATTCTCCATTAAACTTTTACTGACTGATTTAAAAGCTTCCAAGTTTGACACTCATTCCAAAATGTATTTTTACACACCTATTAGCACTACTAATTATATGAAAAATGAGCGTACTGTTTAGAGTTTGAATTAAATATTGCTAATACGGACTATAAAAAATTATATTGTAAGTAATATAATCTGTTAATTATAAGGAATACCCAGATTTATGTGCACCTAATATCCACGAAAAAATGCTTGAAAATCAATTATAAATAACGCCTAACACATATTTAAAAAAGGAAAAATGATAGAGGGGTTTAAAATTAACCTATCTAATAACTCTAACTTATAAAATACAATTTTCAAAAATTACATTAATGATTAACACACTAAATTTTTTTTTTATGTTAACAGACCAAAGGCTGGTTGACAGCAGTTTTCCATTCCTGACGCTTCGTTTTCCTTTTTAATTCGCAATAATATCTGCAGTCCATATCTCTAATTATTTCACTAATATAGTTCAGTGGTTATTCCCTTCAATGGCACCTTCTATTATCCTGCTAAGCAGACTGTAATGAAGCAGTATGTGTCCTATTAACTTGGCTATTCTTGTTTTTAATGTCTTCAGAAGGCTTCTTATTTCTCCGGCTCTTCGATAAACTTCTTCATTTGTTAGGTGTTCTGTCCAGCTTATTCTAAGTAGCGTTCTGTAACACCATGTCTCGAACACTAGGAGTCTTTTCTTCTATTTTACCTATGGTCCAAGTCTCGCTTCTATACATTGCTACGCTCCAAACATAAGCCTTTAGTAGGTTTTTTCTCACATTTATATCAATATTTCTAGATATAAACATATTTTTCTTGTTCTGAAATGCACATTTAGCTTAGTTTATTCTGCTTATGATCTCCCTGGTACTTGGTTATCTTACTTCCCAAGTATTTGTATTTATTCACTTGCTCTAGTGTTTTGCCATCTAGTGTAATTTGAGTTTGAGTTCCTTCGTTACGACTACAAACTAGGACTTTAATCTTTACCCTGTTTGTTTTCATATTGTATTCATTTTTCATTGCTGAGTTCATTATTTCAAAGATTTTTTGTAGATCCTCCTCATTTTCTGTTATTATCGCTGTCATCTGCAAATCTTAGCGTATATATTCTCTCACCATTTATTTTTATTAAAACAAATTACTTTAATCATTTGATTAGGGTTAAACATTTTTATTAAATAAGTTAGAGCCGTTAGAGGGGATATTTTAAACTCATCTACTATTTTTTTTTTTTTGTATTTTTATAGTGCTTTTTCGACGTTTTTACTCGCCTTTTAATAGATTATGTTAAGTGCATAATAACCTGGACCCTAATTATAAGTAAATGTAACTTGTTCAAAGGACCATACCCATATACATTAATTAATAAATAAATAATAAGGATACCTAGGTGTGAAGAATACCAACACTTCAGAAATAGTATATCATGAGGACATACAAGAATATTCACAAAAAAAGATTCCACACATCAAACATTAAATCACAAATAAATACATAATGTAGTAAATCTAACAGCAGACATTCATACTAGGTGTGTTTGATACACTCCTTGGAGATCTGCTAAAATCGAAATAAATCTTCAAAATTAAACATAAAATTAATAAATTTTAGATTCTGAATAGCGTGAGGAAACTCCATTAGAAGACTATTGGTTTTCATAAGATATTGTATTTTTCTGCCTAGGACAACACTTTTCCAATAAGTAAAAATGCTCTGAAATGACCACACCATACACATCTAAGTTCACCTGTTCTATTGTACTTTATTTGAAACATTTTTGTTTTATTATTTAGCTTTCCAATATATTTTTATAACAAATAATAAAACTGTTTTAGATCAAATCCATAGCTGAAATTTTTAAACACAAAACACAAAGTTCCAATAATATCCCAAAGTATGATTTCTAAATTTTAAATTAGTATAAGTACTGTGGAAGACAATTGACTTATACTATAAATAGCTCGCCAATTTAATTCTTAATTGATTGGCTGAGCCCTATTCAGTAGTTTTTTTTTTTTTTGACAAAGAATTGTATCGTAACCACCTACAGAAACCTACCAAATAACGAAAAGAATATCTTATCCAGCTTTTTATACATATTAATATTAAATCAGCATTTATCTTATTGTACAATAAAACTGTATTGCACAAGGACCAAGTAATTTTTTCTGGTTAGCATAATTTTATACAAATACTTAATACCTAAAGAATTATAGATATGTACATAATTCCAAACAATACAATTAAATGTATATAATAATAATAATAATAATCTTGAATAAAAAAAAAAATGTTAATCGTGTGTATCAAGTACCACATTATTATTACTTATTCAGAATTATAATATTATGTGAAAATGTTTATTCGCAGTTTTCATGTTGTTTAATAAAACATAGGCAGGTATATTTATAATATATTTAGCTTATCACCCACTACTACAACAACAAGGCCAGTCGGTCAACACCGTTAAACTTTATTGTAGCTAGTCGTTTACGTAGGCAAATTATAAGAGCTTAGCTATCAATAACATTTTTTGAAAACGGTTGACAACACATCACAAAAGTCAAACATTAGAGATGTTTAAAAATGAGTTGTCGGATCATAATATTGCTATTACAGGAAAAATAATCTTTGTCTAGGTACTTCAAATATAACCTATTTGAGGGAGGTGAACCTAACTGGCCTCGTGTCATGCTTAATAATGCTAGAGAGATTTTGCTAAAAGTACTACATGATTCATTGTCGTAAGGAAAATTCGGGTTGGTACGACACCAAAACGATACAGAAGAGTATCATACGAAAACTGTAGGTACATATTAATTAATTAATTAATTAATTAGCTAAATTGCCCACTTACGCTGTTAATTGTGCCCAAAAAGGTTCCGGCACCGCAACTGCAGGACGGATCGAGTTCTTTCTCCTCAGGTATATGACTGATAGTGGTTACGAGTGTAGGCCTGCGAGTGCTCCCTATTGGATAGCTGGAAGTGCTTTCGCGTGCAGGACCGGAAGTGCTTTCGCTTGCAGGACTGGAAGTGCTTTCGCATGCAGGACTGGAAGTGCTTTCGAGTGCGGAAGTCCCCGGGTACGGGTCCGTCCCGCAGTTCCAGGACGGACCAACACTCATGTCGTCGTCGTCTGGCTAAGACTGCCGGGTCGGCGTACACTACATACCTACAATAAAACCAGTAAAACGCTTTTGTCCGAAACCACGTTGGCCAAGACGATTGAAATTCAATTTATCGTTGTTGTCGGACTACTCGTATAAATACCGGTAATAATCCAATGTACGAACGACAAACGTCCGGACGGAACGAGCGACGACCAAACAGTGCGACGACGGCAACAGCAACTACAATACCGGAGGCGGATGCAACGATAGGCCACCGTCGGCCGTGCGGCGGGTGCTGCTGTATCAACAACGACGGCGTTCGCGACGGCACGGCAATAACAATACTATCGAAACACACGTGTCGGCAATATTATTAAGTAAATAATAATTACACGCGATATTGTTATTGTTACAGAGTTGTTCGCCGGTCGTTTATAATATTATCATACAACATAGTAACATAATGTGATTAACATTATAAACTAACAGACACGGCCGAGAACAAAATAATAATGATACCTACCTATTACTTAATAATCTCGTGATACCGTGTGGCGTGCGGAAAAAACAGAACTAACGCGATTGAAGATAACGAGCAAGTGTGTACTGTGCGTTTGTACGTGCGTGGACGCGTGGTGCGTGCGCGTCGCTGTTCCGGTACGTGCGCGCGCCGCCGCGAGCTAACCGTCCAACACGATCGACGATGGTGTGCGTCGCGTTGCGTTTGTGTCGGTGCTGCGTTACCGTGAGAGTGGCTTCGGTATGTTTGCGTGCGCGCGCGTGTGTGTGTGCGCGCGCGCGCCGCGTGCGTGTGTGCAATATTATTGGGGAAAAACGACAGAGAAAATAAATAAATAATGAAACAACCTCTGTAGTACCTACAATCAACGGAGAGAAAGAAAAAAAAAAAACAAGTGCACCACGATAAGTGGAGGGTTTTAACAGTACAGACCACATGGGCGGTGGTGAATATTGCACTGCGTTACGACAGTGTGGCCTTCGGCGGCGACCGCCAGCCCCGCGTACGGCCAACCCCAGCGGTCCGCGGGTGCGTGTTTCCCGGGCGGCCGTCACGCCGCGGGCCCGCTGGCGTCTACGTCATTGGCCGCCCGCGGACGCCGCTTCACCGCAGCGCCGGCGAACAGAACGACACCGAGCACGGCTCTTCAAATATTATTAGGTGCATTATTATTACGTGCGATTGTGCCGCGAGCGTAGCGTCCGCCCGTCGCTATGGACGCCGCTGCCGTGCCGTTATGTCCGGGGTTGGTAATTGTCGGGTGTGTCACCGTGGCGAAACAACAATTCTACTTTTTGTTTTATTTGTTCTATAACGTAATAGGCACCGCGTACGCCGGCACTACTTTGCCGCCCAAACCGGTGCCCCCGCGGCCGCCCGCCCGTTCGCCCCGTCGAAAACAATAGCCGGCGTCCCGCCACGACGCCGTTCAAGTCTACGACGCCGGATGAACCGCGTCCGCGTTGCTCGCACAGATCAGTGGCGGTCGAATGATTTGCCACTGTGCCGGGAAAGGGGGGGGGGATAAGGATAATTCCTAAGAACTATTATTATTTGCTCGATCATATTTTGTGCCTAATACCATACATGGTTATTTTTTTGGGCATACACATTGCTCCACCCCATTATTCGTTCGGTTGAGTTATACAGAAATTCATATTCTGCATTTTGGAAATTTTTAAGTGAACGACGGATATTATTTTTGCACACTTCGATTTTTCACGGCATTAAATTTTTTGAAGTTATTTTTAAAGGAGTATCCAGTGGTGTTAACATTTTTCAAATGAGAACCCACGCACGTTTTTTCCTCGAGACATTTTGACATTATAAACGAAATTTGAGCGAAACGTTTCCTAGTTATTCTGATTTAAATAAAGGCTAATAAAAGCTAATAGTCTTTTACGAGGATCGGAGAGCAACTGCGTATAGATAATTTCTTGTTTTGAATCGTGCAGTTAATATTCTTTAGTATTTAAAATGAAATAACTCTGACATTGTTCGTTTAAAATTCGATTAAAATACGTCAACCTTTTAGGACAAATCATCTGATTGACAATTTACATTAAAACATGAAAGTTAAGAAAAGTCAAATTTGATATTTTCACAGGATACTCCTTAAGTGTTGTGAAAAATCTAAATGTTCGAAAATATCGTCTTTATAAAACAAAGTCGGGTTAGTTATACCATTTATAACTCAAGAACGGCTGGACCGATTTTGATGATCTCTGATTTGTTGGATTTTTCTCCGCCCCCAAAAGCAAGATAACTATTAAAATATCGGAAAGATTCACGTAAAAAAAAATTATAGGGATTTTTATGTGTATTTAATACGAATATCTAATTGCCTATTTATTTATTTTTGTTTATTCAAGAGTTGCTACGGAAAAAAAAACTATTATAATTATTGGGCTATTTCACTTTCCAACTATATAGTTTCGTTCCACTCCGACATCACGGCCAAAACCAAAAATGAATATGGGTTAAATAATAATACAAATTGACATGGGAAACGCCGGGCACGGGACAGCTAGTTTAACCATAAAAATGGTTTGATCACTGAGCGTGCTTAAAATATCACTGTATAATGTTATAAATATGATGGAGGGGATACGTCTCCCTCACCCCCACTTCCCCGTTTGACCGCCCCTGGCACAGATTACGGGACACCGCGTCGTAATTCGTGTTTGGTATGTCCGGCATTTATGTGGTTGGCGTCTTTTGTGAAACTTCCTAATGGAAATATTAAAAATGGTTTTTATCGACTAGAAAAAATTTAAATAGGTTTGATGATTTGATCAATTTTATGCGGGTAGGTTCGTAATTTTTATCAGACACCAATTCTGTAGTTCTCTTCCATAAGACGACAATAATAAAAACAAAAACTGTAGGTGGATATTAATAAATTATTGTTATGTATTGTAGGGAAGAGTTTTGAAAGTCCAAGGTAAAAATGAAAATAATTAGATTTGAAAAATCGTATTATTTCAATTCGGTACGGTTATTTATACTCTTATTATAGCCAGGGGTGGACGTTGCAAAGTTATTGTTTTGTTCCCGTGTAGACTGTGTAGGGGAACCGGGTCCTAAAATAATGTGTCCCCTGACACGAAATATGTCCCATGGATTACAAACGTGTGTACCAAATTTAATATTACGTATATTAGTTTTAATTGTAGAAACAACATTAAAAATGAAAACAGACAATCAATTAATCACCTCGCTCTAATCATGGCACTCGTTTTAAATTGTTTAATCATTTATTTATATTTATTTTGTGTTGATAATTTTCGTGTACACTTTTTACAAATAATATAAATGCGTAAGTAGTGTATAAAGCGAGCTACGCCCCGATTAAAATCGATTAACTCTATTAATTAAATTAAAAAGTGCGTCCCCTCGAAATCTGATGTATTTTAGGTTTCGGTAGGAACCTCTAAATCCATTCGGTCGATCGAGTTTACAAAATTTCACAAATCGTCCCATTACTCGTTGTCGATTTCTTTTCAATAATTGTAGTGATACCGTTTTAATTTTTAATCGAGATACGAGTGTATTATTATCTTCAATCAAATTACAACAACAACAACAAACGAATCCGTTAGTGAGTTTGATTTTTTTTCGAAATTATTATGAAAACTACGCGGAAAATTTAAAAGTGTCTTGCCCAAAGCACCGGCCGGACTAAAAGTCTACTTTCTGAAAATATGCTACACTCCCGAGCTCATCAACGGACCGTATCAATGGATTTCTGGTAGCGACACACACGCACACACATAGCGAATACATAGCGAACACAACCAATGCGTCGTACCTATTCCTAGCCGTCGGGTTGGAAATGTTTCGGAACAGATTCGGTTTCAGATGAAATTGGATTTGCCGCGGGACGCAATCAGGCCCGCCGAACGTACGTACAGGCGAGGCATGCGCGTGCCTGTAGGGTTAGGAGATGGCAGAGAGGGGCTATTTTACATCAAGTGACACGCGACGGCATCCCGAAATCGAGCGCAGCAAAACCGATTGATAAAGTGGTGGTCGGTCGGTTACAATACGCTTACGATACGGGCGTGTCGTTCAGGTGACTGCTGTACTGCAGCGGGGTTTTTGGTTGAGCTTAATCCGGCGCTGGAGACGATGGCGTACGGCAACGGGACGTTGTTCGTCGGGGCCTGAAATGTTATGTTAGACGACGACGGTCGTGCGCGCCGTCTCTCCCGTCAAACCCCGCGTGTTGTTATTGTTGTCCCGGCCGTCACTGCGGCCCCGCGCATATCAATTATTAACGACGGCCGATTATTATTGTCGCCATATTGTCGTCGTTACGGCGCGCAGTCCAGAGTTCCCCGGCTCCACCCCCCCTGACCACCACACGCCCTCGCCACTAAACGTTCCGGTCCCTCCGCGGTTTTCCGTCACGCGTAAGCCGTTTGCCCAACACGGGCGTTGGTGTACCGCGACTCGTGTGCCGGACGAAACCGTAACAGTATTATCCGATGCGGGGAAAAACGCGAGTGGACGGGGTCGTAATTGACTGGAAAATAATGAGGTTTTTTTTTGTTTTCCTAATTTTTTTCTTCAGTGTTTTTCTCCCGGGGTTCGTCGTTTTTTTTCGCGCCATGTCCCCGTGCGCCGTTACAATGGCGGTACGTTCGTTTGAAACGTTTCGTCGTCGCGGGACTGACACCACGGGACCCGGGGGTCTTGCGGATCTGGCGCCGTACGAACTACCACCACCACCACCACCCCCCCCCACCCCGGGGACTCGAAGTCGAAATCATTCTGCTAAATTTAGTTTCTCGGCTTAGTTTCCCCCGTGTAAACTCGACACGCACACGATCCGGGTGAACCGATAACGAGTTACAATGAATTTTGCGATTTCGGGATGTTGGATACAACGATTATTTTAACTTTCAGTAGAGCTAAGCAGGAGGGGGATGGGGTAGAGTTTCGGTTGTCCAACACCACCACCCCCGAATAAATGCCTACGGTCGAAAAAAGTCGGCGCTCGGCGAAAAACGACCCGTCCGGGTTTTGCGGTCAAACGAACCGAGCACTGTGTCGTTCGCGAAAAACCCCCCGGGAAAACGTCCCCGGGGGGGGGGGGGGTCGGGTACAAACAGTATAATATTATTGTCTTTGCGATCGATACGTTCGATACGCGCGGTACGTTATTATTAATCGCTGTTATCGGCGACCGCGCGCGTGGGTCGCGGCGCGGCGCACACGACAACACCGCACCGCCGAATACAATAATAATGTCCCGTTGGTTTGCGTTTCGGCTAAAACAATATTGTTATCTGCCGCTGCTGCGACGACGGCGGCGGTTTTTAATCGAGCGCAACAACAATAACGCGGCGTTTGTCGAAAATACACCGCATAATAATAACAATAAATAACGATGTACTGCCGGCAATAATTTAATAACGTACCGCGGGTAACGTAAACACGCCCGACGACGAAACGTCACGGCCGGCGCGCCGGCGGCGGATCAGAAGACGCGAAGAAAACGAACGATAAGAAAAAAAAAACTGCCCTGTGATGCCGGGGACGGGTGCAGCCGGCGGCGGCGTTTACGGGCGGGAAGTCGCGAAGACAGTAGCGGGGAAATTGAATGCATACAATGTCTGTAAGCGACGGTAAACCGATGAAAACGATTCTGAGCGGAGTTCGGTCGATATAGTGTTGTTTTGTCAACAATATACACCATAACATGCGTATTATGGTACTATATGGTTCTTCTTCTTCTACTTCTTCTTCTCCTTCTTCTACTGGTCGTGTCGGTCTTCATATACCCTTCCCCCTCCCCAGTAAGCAGCAATGTGCGTTGCTTTGTCCGACCTTTTTCCAGTTGTCACAAAATCTTCTTTTCTGCGCTTTATCGTTGGTAGTGGGCATGCATCCGGATAGTCTGCGTCCTGCTGCCCACCGCATTCGCGTTTTCCGCCCTCTTTTATTCCCCATTTTTTCACATAATTACTCGATGTCCTTCCAGTTTTCCATTCGTGATCTGTTTAGTATTTTCCATGTGGACCATGGTAGGTGACTTCCGGGTGGTAGGTAAGTTTTCCTTACGGTTTTTCCGTAGTTGTGAATTATGCCTTTTCATTTCCTCCTTCTATAAATCTGTTTTTGTCACTTCAGGCGTTTGTGATAGTATTCATAGAATATTATGGACCCAGCATACAGTCTTAGGCTATTTCGCCGGGGTGTATCAAGGAGGTCGATTTTTTTTTGTTTTTTTTTTTTTTTGAAATTCCTCTCGGGTAGGTACTTAAAAAGTAATAGCCAGGAACAACCGACGGAAATCGACTTTTATGCGCTACGTCGGTTTTGGTCGGAATAGATTTGGGAAAATAATCGTACCTACGTGCGTTCATTAAAAACCAATTTTCTACTATTAGCTTTGATATTAAACCTGTAACCGACCGCGGTAATATTGCGAAAATCACAATTTAAAAACCCCTATATCTCGTTTTTAAAATTAAAATATCGTAAAAAAAAAACCCAACGCGCACAACGTTCTTATCCTTAAGTTTCATAAAAGGTCAATTTATTTTTTAATATACCGACGGCGTAAATTCGATTCTACTGAACGCAAATCGTCCACGACGTGTGTAGGTTAGGTACTTTGCGTTTTTTTAGACGAGTGGTGGGGGGGGGGCGGTATACGGTCCGAAATATTTCCGGTGGACTCTCCATCGGGTTATCGGTTATTTATTATTTAAAATTTGGCCGGGCAGTTTCGGCGTGCTCGCTTTTTTAAAAAAAAACAAATATTAATTCGAATATTAAAGCGAGCGGACGACTACGCGGAGTTCGCGTAAATAGTTCAAACCGTTTCAAAAACGTTTACGTTAATTAAGTTCGTCTGTATAGTCTGCTGAACTGTAATTTATAGTATACCTATTAACCGTCTAGTTGAAAATCATTTAATAAAACGACGAGAACACCGTCGGCCCGTCACAATAATTGAAAAAAAAAAAAAAAGCCGGATATTATATTTTGAACCGTGGGTGGACATTAACCAGCCGTTGTAGACCGCGAGAAGTATACGAAGTATGCGTGGGGGATACGGCATAATAGGGTATTAATTTAGTTTATGAAATATGCCGAGAGTGACGGTGCGATCGAAAAACAATTCTAAACGGTAACGCGGTAAACGGCCGATTATATAATGCTGTAGTTGTAGTAGACTACTGTGGGTACACTTATTTGTTACTTTTGTAGCCCGGAAATCGACAGTAATTGTATGTCAGTTTTGTTTTGTTTTGTTTTTTTTTTTTTTTCGTAGCAAAACTAGATTCCCGACATCTATGGGGAAATTTTTCGAAAAATGTGCCGCCGGGGAAAAAGTCGGCATCGATATGCGCACGATTCGGAACATGTTTAGCACACTTTATAACCGCGAACCAAGTGCCTTCCGAACGAAATCAGTGGCGTATTTATAATTTTTCCTTGGATAGGGAAGTACTGCATTTTGCAATTGTGCCGTATTGTATAACGTGTACACATAGGCAAAATAAAAAAAAAAAAAAAAAAAATATTCATTCATGTTTTCGTGAGTAATTTATAATGTTCGAACTGCCCTAAAATTACCATTGAAGTCAATCGTTATTAATTCGTTTACAATTTTAAGCACTTGTCTGACAAAAACTTCGTGTTACAACGGTGTAAAAACGAGAAAATCTATACGTTCGGGTTTTCTGTTCGACGCATTACCAAATATCATTATATGAGTACCGTCGGTACCGTACCGACACGTTAAATTGTCGATTTTCTAAAAAGCAAAGCGATTTTAATTATTTAATAACATGTAATAAGAATAACAAAAAAAAGTTGTCCTAAGGTAATGGAGAAGCGGGTGCAGCCAATGTTATAGATAATTTAATGTATACTCGATAAACTATTGCTAACGATTCTGAGCGGAGTTCAGTTGACAGTGATGTTTTGTCGACAGTATATAAATGTCATATTATGGTAAAATAGCATTAATTAAGCATTGCATATTTTCTTTAATAATATTTGTTTAAACGTACCGATTTTCCCATTTGTCGTGAAAACTCCTGGGAAAATCGAAAAATGACCTCCCTGAAGTACCACCCCAAAACGATTTCCTCTTTCAGAAAAGGGTCTGCGTCGTATGCATCGGAGTATAACCTTTTTGGTAGAAAAAGTAGTGATCGCATAAAAAAAAAAAAAAAAAAGTGGGACTATACATATACTATGTACGTCTCCGTGGCGGAGGGTCCCGTAGATAACATCGAGCAAAATAAACGTGCCCGTGACCAAAACTTCTTTGTTTACGCTACGAGTATTTACGAAAAATGTACACGTTTCCGCGCCGTCTGGGTTACAGCGCGCTATCGCACCGAAATATTATTATGTTGTCGTCTTAATCGACGAGCAGACGGCGACGTACGCCGCGTACTACGATCGGTCGTTATACGCGCTCAGGAATTTCGTCCCGGGCCCCAGCATACAGAGCGGTCCGTTCGCACCGGCCGTTTTTCCCGGCGGATTCCGAGCGAACGTGCCGTATCAATTTCCCCGGCCGCGACCTCCCACGCGGCCTACCGCTCGCACCCGGAAAACGACGAGCGTTATTCGCCCGGATAAGCCGCGCGCGCCGGCACCCGTACGGCCGGGGCGAAAATCCGTCGCAAACCGCGGCCGGCAATAAATATGATTATCGTTTTCCGGTGCCGTTGCAGGCGTCGTCCGCGACGCCGGAAACCGCGTACAGAGCGTGCGTCGCGTCTCGTCGGAGCGACGACACGAACGCGTGGTGTTTACCGTTCGTTCGCCCTCCCTCCCGTTCCCCTACATCGCGGGTCCTATCCCGCAGTAATGCCGCGATCCCCCTGTACACACCGATAATATCCAACGGTGTTATTATATAACATAATGTGTGTGCGTGTGCCGGCAACGCGACGTCGCGGCCGCCGATGATCGTTGGCCCGCCCGAAAACATTCCGACCGACCAGGACGGTGCGGAGGGGAGAGGGGGCGGGAATATTATTTCGTTAGTGTATAACATTGTAATACCGAGCCTACTTGCGTTCGCTACGACGACGACGTCGACGACGACGACGCCCGTCCGACGCCGCAGGTGAGGTATCCTCACAAAAGTCTATTGTCGGTTTTCCCCCTCGTTTATACGTATTATTGTTATTGTTATTGTTATTTTTTTTTTTTCCCATTCTCCGCCGGAGAATACCCACGCGGTCCGGTTATCGTGGCAAACGGCGACGGATGGGTAGGAGGAGGAGGAGGAGGAAGAGGAGGAGGTTTTTTTTTTTCTTTTCTTTTTCTCCACCTCTGTTATTTCGTCGCCGCCGTCGTTCGACCCCTCCGGACACATTCCTTCGGAGAAACCGGTCGTTACTCGTTTGTGTGCGGGTGCGGCCGCGCTTCTTCCCGCCACCACGGTCCACTACAAACGCGCGAACGATCGTATTTCATCTCCACAACGAAAGCGACGTTAGGATAGGTTTTCACCGTACACAATACGGACGGATTTTTTTCTCTCTCTCTCTCTCTCTCTCTCTCTCTCTGTCGGTCGGTCGTATAACCTTCACCGACGAAACTGTGTTGTGTATAAACGAAAACAAAACGTAAAAAAAAACCGAACAGATCTATCCACAAAGGTACCCGGGACGATATTGTGTACCGGTATGCGTTCTACGCATTATTATTATTTTTTTTTTTTTTCCCCTGTCGTACTAGTCCCTTTTTTCATTAATCATTGCCGATAAAGCGTTTGTTACTGTTATTACTATTATTTATTTTTTTTTTTTTCTTAATATTAAAGGCGTATATAAACGCGTTGTCCGTTAGCAGCAGACCTACGCTTTTAACAGTCCAAGGATTACGAAAGCGTGGAGAAAAATACACGGTCTTCGGGGGTACGAAATCGCACGGTTTTTTTTTTTTTCTGCTCTCGCTCCGAATCTGTATACAAATGCCGCGCGCAAATAATACGCAGTTTCCGGTCGAACGCTCGGAAACGTTTACAATACGTTATTGTATAGAAATTCCATCGTTGAAAATATCGTTCCGTAAACCATATTATTATCACTGCTTGCGTTCAAAAATACTATTGGGTATAGCGGGAGGCGGCCAAACGTCGATCGCGATCGACCGGTAGATCACGGACGGTTCAAATGTCGGTCTCTCATTGTTAGAACTCATTTTCATATAACTAGTAGGTAAACCACAATAATTGCTGATCATTTGTGTAACGATATATCATTACTTTGTTGTCGTCGATTTGTCGAGTAAATACAATTAAACAGCGTACACTGCCAATCTTGATGGAAAACATTGTTTAACATTATACGTTTTAGTCGTATTATTTGTACACGTACGTTTAGTATTAATGCCTATTTGGTAAATTTACGACTGTACATTTTCGTCAGCAAGTCGATCCTCAAAGGAAAAATATGTTCTTGGTAAAATATCTCCACAAAATAAAGTTTGGCCACCCCTGGGATATAGGCACCGTAATGGACAGGGGGTATGAATGGTGTGCGATATTTCGGTATGTAACGATAAATCGTTAACCGGTAACCAATAAATCGGAAAACGATCCTGAGCGGAGCATCGGACGCGTTTGCCCCTCACCAGAGGTACTTGACCGTCGAAAATGGACAAAAATAAAAAACCGTTGTATCCGACATATTTTGTCGTAATTTATTGCATACGTCCGTTTTAGGAAGTAGGAAGAGTTTTCTGAAATATTTTTAATTTAGCGAGAGAATTCCCCATCCCGTCTATAAACGAATATTTTAATATTATCTTGGTTTTTGTTTTCTTTCCGTTCGTGCGTTATTTTTACAATATTATAAGTCAGTTTATATTCTAAATACCACGTTTTTATGTTGTTTAAAATAAGCATTATTATTATGTTTTTTTTTGTTTTTGTAAAATGCCAGCTATAATAATGATGTTTTACATCGTTAAAAATGCGTAATATTTAATTTAATCAGTCACACAGGTACCCAGGATTTTGCAATGGTTAGCCAAACTAATAACACTCGGCTAAAAGAAAAATGTTTTGCAAAATACAATATTTAACTTATAAGTGTTTAGTGCTGCTAACCAATC